AGATAGGCGTTGGGGGGTCTGTGAAGGTAGTCACAGCCTCTGAGAGGCGCCTTAAGCCACTTGGGGTTCAGCCTGGTAACAGGGAGTGGGTGACGTTGATTGCCGCCATCAACGCCACAGGGTGGGTTATCCCACCCTTCATCATCTTTAAAGCCAAGAACCACGACCAGGCCTGGTATCATAACCCTCGGGATTAGAGAATAGGGGTTAGCGATAATGGATGGACAACAAATGAGCTTGGGCTTGCCTGGCTACAGCACTTTATCAAGCACACAGAGGTTAAGAAAGTAGGTAGTTACAGACTACTAATTCTTGATGGCCACGAGAGCCACAAGTCACTCGCCTTCCAGGATCTTTGTGAGGAGAACAATATCATTACCCTCTGTATGCCCCCTCACACCTCACACATCCTTCAGCCGCTTGATGTGGGTTGCTTTGCCCCCCTGAAGCGTGCGTACAAGGAGGAGATCCAAGTCTTGGCAAACTGCTATATCAACCACATTGACAAGAAAGCCTTCCTGGCTGCACTTACCCTAGTATTTGACCAGGCCTTCTCAAAGGACAATATCCTATCAAGCTTTAGAGCAACTGGCTTAGTTCCAGATAACCCAGAGGTGGTGCTATCAAGGCTTGAAGTGAAGCCTCGTACACTAACACCACCTTTACCTAGGAGTACCCCTTGGCAGCCTAAAACACTAAGCAACACCTGGGAAATAGAGGCTCAAACAACGCTAATTCTTAAGAGGATAAGGGACTATAGGAGTTCCTTACCTGAGTCTATTCTTGAGATAGTGCTGCAGGTCAAAAAGGGGTTAACTTTAAAGGTACACTCACACACGTTGCTTGAAGCTAGGATAGATAGTCTTGAGCAAGCAAATCAGGCTGCTTCTGAGCGTAAAAAGCGTAAGAAGAAGCGAATACAGAAGGGGGGGACCCTATCACAGGCAGAGGTAGAGGTAATAGTTACCCAGGGGGATGCTGAGGTTCGACTTGAGGCAGAGAGGCGTGAGGAGAGGGTGCAGGCAGGTGCTAGCAGCAGGGGTATTCCGCGCTGCAGGAGGTGTGGCAACACAGGACACAACAAGCGTACATGCAAGAAAGATACAGTAGAGATAGGCAATTAATTTAAGCTATTGCGCACTATTATATCTTGTTGTTGTGTTGAGTTATTCACGTTCAAAGATATATTGTTGCATTTAGTGATTCGCTCGGTGGGGTGATTCGCTCGGTGGTGGACCACGTTATCTAAGTATATTCTTACAACAACACGAGAATCTGCGACATTGAGACTTGATCTGTAAAAAGTAATTACTATTGCTACCATATGTGGAACAAGGAAGGACGCATGTCTCTACGGCAGCCACGCCACTACAATCATTTTATAGGAAAGCCCTGCATCAAATCTGGCAGTAGAGCATCACGTCTAATAGCAGAGCTCTGGGCGCCTTAGAATTACTCAACGTCGAATTCAGCACTAGTCGCTACAGGGCGAAATCTCTTGAACAATAAGTTCATGCACGCTTGCGGTTGAGTGCAGTTGGAGTGTTGCAGCTGCAGATGCATCCTGCCCATATTTTTTGGTAGATGTGCATCCTCGAGCCACTCGGTATCTTTGCAAACTTCACTTGCAAATCGTCTCACCTTTCGGCGACGCTTTCCCATGTCGAAGACTCACGACCTGAAGGTCACTGGGCCTCACTCTGATAACATAGAAAAGATCGACGACAAACACATCCAGTAGACTTCAAATACCTGAGAAAGACCGTTGCATCTTGCTCACTGTTGAATTTTAGGTTCCTCCCCACGACGTACCGCAACCTCAACTACTTTGTACTACACCCAGGAGGCGGCCCTTAATGCCATCATGCAAGCGATAAGCCGCGAGTGTCTCCTGTTTGGCTTTGGTCTCTGGTCACTTCTGGCGTTGTTCAGACCATGTAGACGACAGGAAAGGGTGCCATATTACGGGAAAGACGACGCAAGCTTTGGCTACGACGTGACGGCCTGCCTCCTGGTCGCGCACGCCGAACAAGTTCATCCCCTCGTCTACGCTCAAGGGATGAGCTTGTGGATAGGACTCACGCAAGATCCTCGATAGATACAATTTCTCGAACGCGATCAGGAGCAAGAATGAGGTCGACCTGTTTGTCAGCAAGCCAGACTCCATCTACGATGTGCAAAAGGCGGAGATCTGAACAACATAATTTGGTTTTGATGATATACCTGACACCACCTTAATACGACCGAAGTCCTCTCTAACACGGTCCAGACTCCAACGCACACCGCGGCGCCCTTCAACCCTGCACAAATTCGTCAGGCGCCAACAGCTTCTCCAACTTCTCCTTGATAAACGCCTCCGCCTCGGGACATCCCTTCCCAATTAATCCCTCAAACGTCTGAGCATTGACCCCACACATCGCCGGAATTTGCTTGAATAGCTTCAGACACAGATCCATCGCGTTGCCCTCCGCGACCGCTCGCACGATTGCATTATACATGGCCGACTTACGTGTATACACCGCGCCCCTAGGCGTGAAATCGCGCATAGCATCTGTGTAGATCTGCACATACTGATCAACCTGCCAGTCCATGTGCGGCATGTCGCTCGCCTCGTGCTCTGGGACCCAGCAGCGGCGCAGGAAGTCTGGAACCGCGGAGTAACCGGCGCAACGGGGTGTGGTTGTGCAGCCTTCCCAGTCAATGATGCCTGTCACGTTGCCTTCGTCATCGCAGAGGATGTTCTGGAAGTCGAGGTCTGGGTGGCTGAGGGTAAAGGTTTCGGGCTCCTCGGTAGCGAGAGGGGCGATTGTTGATGTGGCAATGAGCGGATGCGAGTAGAGGATATTGAGGAGCTTGCGGACACCGAAGATCATGTTTTCCGTGTCTGGATACTCGTCGAAGTCGGGGCTGTGAGTGCTGGGCCACTTTGTGTCGATGCCGGCTGTCATATATTCTTGGCTGGAATCAAACGGGCCGTACTTGAAGATCTGCTCATCGGATTCCAAGTCTTCTGGCTTCATTTCGTAGGGAGACTTCCACCGGTAAGCGCAGGTGACATTTGGCTTCGCGTCCGTGATGAGCGTGTCGGTGAAGTCAGGCATACCGATCTTGTCGAATCGTAGATACTCAAGCTTTGACATCTGGAATGCCAATGAACGTAGGAAGATGAGACGCTTAATCTCAGTCTCAGGCGTGACGTTGCTTGTAGTCTCATACGTACGGTTGCCTGGCTGGTCGTACCAGATCATCTGGGCTGGGCGTCCTCGCATTTGTTTCATCAAAATGTAGGGCGCGCCGATGATCGTTTCGAGCGTATTATTGAACGCAACGATCTTAGGTACAGGCACAACCCGCTCGATATTCAGGTACTTTGTCAGAGAAACCTCGCAGCGCATGTTATGCGCATCGCCTTCCCGCCAGCGGGCCTTCGTCCCAATTGCAGGGATGCGAACAACGTATCGCTTGACCCGCTTGTTGACAACGGCCGCCATCATCACAATATGGTTGTAGCCTCCGCGGAACCGCGACTCGATGCTGCAGTCATCGAGGCTTACGTTGCGATTGGGCTTTTGGTTGATTGAATCTCGCAAGAGTTGCCTCAGGGATCCATCTGTAATCAGCTCAATCACATCCCACTGGTGGCGCTCTCGCGCGATCTCCTCTTCACTGTCGTCAGTCCCAGTCGTGCGCGGTAGCGCGACGCTTTCATTTGCTCGTGATGTACGTGTCACGGAGATCTCCTCTTCCGTTGCTGGAGGGGGAGCACGATGCTCTGAGTCCTGTTCATCATCAAGCTCGACGGCTTCCTTCTCATGCCTGGAATCGGAATCTTCTGACTGAACTAGATTTGTATCAGTGTTGTTTGAGTCTACTGTAGCAGTGGTCAACGACTTTGAAGTGTCTGCGCCACACGTGGGGCAGTTCTGTGTTGCAGGTGTGCATTGATAATCTGAGGTGATGATATTACCTTCACGCATAGAAGCACCAGGAAAAGGAGGAAGACCCGCAGCTGTCAAACCTAGCTTGAAAGACGGCAAGGAGTTGACTGGAGTTGCCGCGGTCTGGTTCGAGGTGTTTGAACCGACGGCGAACGTAAGGCTATTGCTACGGGTCGAGCTGCTAGTGCCGTACACAGGAGCCACCTTATAGTTCTGGAAGAACTCAAAAAGGCTGCCTCCCTTCATATAATCATCATCGAATACAAGTATCAGTAGGCTGCGAGGGCATGAGGAATACAGAGAGGTCTCGGTAGTGTCGTTGCGATCATGCTTGGAAGCAGTTCGGTAACGACGGTAGCAATGACGTAGAGTATGTACCATCGACATCTTCCCCTTTCGCGAAGATCGAGTGAAAGGCGGAAAAGTCACAGGTGGGGTCGTGAGGGGCGTGGAATACTGTGTGGGCGTCAAATCACCGTCAGGTGTCCTGTACCACAAGGTCTTGAAGCTACTGAGGATACCCATGTTGATCTACCCCCGAGGCGCGGGTTGTTATTGGTTGGAAGGAAGGTTACAGATGGCGGTATGAAGAAGGCGAGCTGCAGACGGGAGCGAGCATAGGAGACGTGGGCCGTTTGATTTGCGGACTAGCTGCGTTCGATGCGTTGCTATTTTTTTCACAGTTGACTTGTTCACGCTGCGGAGCAAGTTCCATCGGTTGCCTGGCAGTGAGCGAGTGTGACTAGAATGCAAGTGCTTTCTCGACGCTGCGTATTGTTGCTTTCTAGTTCTGGACAAAGCCAAAGTGAATCGTCCGCCACTTTCAGTATGTTCTACGCACCAAGGGAAGGTCTGATGGCAGTGAAATCAGTGCTGCTTGAGAGTTTATCTTCAACACAACTCCCTGATTTCCACTACAAAGTGCATACACCTTCTCAACCTGCATCAACAGTTAGCTTTCGCCATCGATTGACAACTCACATACGCACCTCTACCATGTCCATCTTCGGCTTACCATTAGGTCGACTCTACGGCCCTGCGTGGTTGAACGGCGAGCTCTGGTTCCCTGGCTACAAATGCGTCTGGACAGCAGAGAAAGATCAGTCCGGCCATCACTGCCCAGATCAGAAGTGCGACGCAGAGATCAAGACGCGTTGCTACGATCAGCTACACGTCGCCTTCTGCCTCGAGGCCATCACCATGGCGAACGGCCATAAACGCTTCTGTGGTCACCGCTTCCAGGCAGAGTCACCTAAAGCCTGTGCCCTCCACGGTTGGGGCACCAACAATGAAAACCGCATTTTCCAGCATGCGAAGAAGCGCATGCCCTTCAAATTGCCAAATCTGATCCCACACGAACAGCCTGGCTGGGAAATGGTCCTAACCCACCTCGGTGGCCTACATCAGCCAGTCCACATACGCACAGGCTTAGTCGACGGCGAGTTCTGCTTTGTTCGCGTTCTCTCGTGGAGAGCAGACGAGCAGCCAGACCAGGTACATGAGATCGCGCGCGTCAAGACCAAAGAGCTGCAAATGACTTCGACCGATCCGCATGTCGGTCTTGTGGAGGACAAAGCCGTAGTCCAGATAAGCCCGGTGAAGAAAGGTATTCAGGCGTTGGCGAAGACTGAGCTGAACGACGAGGAAGAGTTCAACAACCCTTGCTCCTTCCAGAAATACGTCAAATTCAACGCACTGAGTGTCGCTGAGCGGAAGTTGGCCGAGAAGAGAGCGAAAGAAGCGAAGAACACAGCTCGGGCAGCAGGGCGTGCGGCTACGACCAAGGGCTGCAAGAGGTACGTCCAGCTCGACGCGACAAAGCAGCTTCGAATGATGAACGCCAAGAAGAAGCAGTCGCAATAAGTGAGTCAGTAAGTCGTGAGAAGTTCTCTGCAGGTAGCGATTGTTGAAGCCCGCCCGCAATAGTGTCTCCATGTGCTTCGATGCTTGGTGAAGATCATCGTGACCAGGGTATCAAACGTTGGCCATGTTTCGATAGAAATTGGGTGAAGTGGCAACCGAACCAACAATCGAATTGTGTTGGAGTGAGATACGTTTGGCGCACCATGGTTTGCAGCGGTATCGTTCAGGGTTCTCTCTCTCGCGTAGGTACGTATTCTAGGTACGCATCTACAACAGGCCGGCGTGTAGAAGTCGGGCTGCTCTCTAGACGTGATCTCTCCGGCCATTCGAAAACCGCTTGAATATAAATTGGTACATGTCTGAGAGAGTGAATGGAGTTGTGTTGCTTTAGATGATTAGTAGTAATGTGACGCGTTGAAGGGATGAAAAATACTGGTGTCGGAACACAGTCGCAGGTCGCGTACTTCGTACGCGTCAAGATTGGGGCCAACAAGCGCTTAGTCAAGATTAATTCAATATCGGTCTCTTGACAACGAGGGAAGGAACAATATACAAAATGTTATGAACTAAGCAGGGTATCAATCAAATCAGGTTTCGTACGCAAGGTGAGCCCTAATGTTACTTTTAGCACTCAGGAGCTACCGGAACCAGCACCAGCACCAGAGCTCTCGCCGGCTGCGTCCCTACCCTGTAACCTTCTCTGTCTGTGTTCCTCTTCCATCAGGCTCTGCTTCTTGATGTATTCCATCACGATCTCATCCTCGCTCTTCTCTTTGCTCGCATTCTCCCGCCTTTGTTTCTCTGCCCTCTCGCTCTCTTCCAGCGCCTTCATCAACTCCTCGTCTTCAGCGCCGGCATCCGCTGAATCGCCTGCAGCAGGCACAGTGCCGCTCTCCTGTGCGCCTGCAGCACCCTGGTAATCCTGAGGATAGTGATCCTGCAGATGAGCAAGCTCCTTGCTCTCGGCGATGATGCGTTGGAAGTCTGCATCGTTCTCTGTGTCGCTGCTATCCCATTCAGAGTCCGAGCCATGTTGTCGATGGCGCGACGTATCAAGAAGTGACTTTCGCAGTGTCTCCTCGAGCAAATTCTGCTCCTCTTCAGTTGCACCGGTACGACCAGCTTCTTCCATGCTAGCGTGCATTGCACGTTTGAACATCTCTTCTCCATCCTCCTCGCTCGCACCAGCTGGTGCACGCTCAAGCTCGGCCACAGACGCACGGATAGCACGTGCAAGGACCTGGTCCTCCTCTGCATTTCCGTGAGAGTTCTCAGCAACGGAGGCAGCGATGGCAGCTTCGAGCTCTCGACGCTCAGCCTCTTCTTCGGCGATGAGTTGAGCATCGAGCTGTGAATTTGTCTGTTGAGACTGCTGCGACTGCGTGGTCGACACACGTGACATACGCTCTTGCTCTTGCTGCTTCCAGGCGGGCAGGGTGTTAGAGCTTGTACGAGAAGCTGGCTCACTGACTTCGCTGTAGCTCGTGTGCTGGCTCATAGTGGGTGGAACTGACTGACGCGCTTCCGGCTTCTGGAACTGGGAGTCCACTCTGTTCCATCGATGTTCTTTCCGCTTCCGCTTGTCAGCCACAAGTGATTGCAGTGAGTCCATAGTGTCTCCTCCGGGGTTCTTCTTCTTCTTCTTCATGTTGACCTTGACGATCTTCCACCTGCTGACAATGTCGGCACGCTCCCGAGGAGACACTTCAATGGACTCGTCGTAGCCCTGCGACATGCGCGCTGCAATGATGTAGTTTTGGACACCACTTCCCTTGCTCTTGATCATCTCCTGGTACAAGCCCTTCATGGCATAGCCTGGGACTGCCCAGGCACCGCCCATGACGCGGAAGGGTACACTGAAGATACCACGGCCAACGCCCTTGACAAAGCCAACGCCACCTTCCTTTTTGGCACCCTTGTAAGGGTCTGTGACGATGCCGGTGATACCATCGTAGAGACCGAAGCCGAATTGCTGTCGTGAGTTAGGGGAAATCATGTCGCTTCTCGAGATGGTACTTGCCTTCGCTGCTGTAGTGATCCCGCTCTTGAAGTCGGTGACGTTATCGACCTTTCGCACCTCACCACCATACAGCTTGGGTACATTGTGGAAGCCCTTAGCGACGTTAAGTGAGAAGTCCATTGGCGACTTAAACCCTGCACCGACAATACGTGCGAGGCCCTTCCCAGTATCGACAGCAGATTCAACCTGCATGTTCCTCAAATTGTCTGTGAAGTTTGAGGACGAGCCAGTATCAGACCGAGATGGGCCTGTGCTGGAAGCCGAGTTCTTTCGCTTAGGTCCATCGGCATCTGGTGACAGGAGTCCGCGTGACGAAGGTCGTGAGCGTTGTGCTGAAGCTGATACTGCCTCGGTCATGGAAGTAGACCTGTGAGAAAGTGATCCCGGCGCACCTGGGCTTGTTGCCGCTGCACGCATGTTTGCTTTTTCGTCTAATCCAGGTGATTGTACCATTGGAGGTGTGCTCTCCCCGCTCAACACGGAGTCTGCACCTGTTGCAGTTCGCGACGTTGTCGGACGGCCTGAGCGGCTTGAATCCCCGGCATTGGACGTGCCTTCAGGCTCCTGTGCCCTTTCCTTGCCCTTCTTCGAGGCAGCTCTAGCATCAGGATGAATGTTGAGCAGCTTCAATGTCTGGATGGGCATATCTGCAACTCCCATCATCATCGATGTTGCTGTTCCGGTCAACGCACTTGCTGCTCCGGAGACAGGGTCCCAGGGGCCCTCGTCTGTCTGGTACTCGCGAGCACGCGCTCTGTAGCATTCTATCAGCAGGTCACATGGTTACGATTGATTGTCTGACTTACAACTTCAATTCCTTAAAGTCGATCTCGCCTTCCTGAGCAAGTACAGTCGCTGCCTTTGCGCTCAGCTTTACCTGCGTTCGCTTTACGCGCCACACAGCTGGTCGATCGGAGACCACAGCGCATCGCAGATCGTCATAATTCAGCATCTGATGGAAAGACTGCGCTCCGCTCTGGCTTCCATTCTCCTGTTTGATCTTGTTGCAGAGTTCTTGTGCCCGCTCTAAAGACTGAGGTTCAAGGGCCTTGTTGATCGATTCGGCCAGCTTCTCAGCTGTCAGCTCCTTATACGGTGTAGGATCAGGACCCGCGCCAGCTCTGGCTACCATGGCACCCCAGAATGGCTGATCGCCGAAGAATGGCACTACTACTGTCGGTCTTCCAGCAGCAATACCAGCGGCTGTTGTACCAGCACCACCGTGATGTACTACAGCTGAGACACGCTTGAACAACCAGTCGTGAGGGCAATTTCCGAGCATGAAAACGCCTTGTGGAATGCCGAGTTCATCTGCTCCCAGGCCTCCCCAGCCCTTTGAGACTAGCGCTCGTCTGCCTGTGATCTTGACTGCATCGAATATCATCTTCGTCATAGCGTTTGGATCATCGACAACGATCGAACCGAAACCGATGTAGACAGGCGGCTCGCCTGCATCGAGGAATGCTTTGAGTGCAGGCTCAGGCGTGTAGTTCTGCGCTAGGTCAAGGAAGTAGAAACCTGCGATGGAAATGTTGTGGGACCAGTCGCTCGGCTTCGGGATCAGTGCGGGTGACCAGCAATATGTGAAAGGGACTTTCATTCGCGCCAGCATTGCTGGTGCCCATATCATGCTGATGGGATCCATCGACAGGCTCTCCTTACGAAACCTGTTGATGATATCCCCCAGTCCTTGCCATGTCAGCAGGTCAACCATGATATATGACATGTAATTCGTGATTGTAGGATCGGCATTCGACGATTGAATGTTCGCGAGTGGGTGAGGAAACTGTTGGGTCGGTGACCACGGCATCCTATAGTTGTTTTAGCCAATGTTGCTCTCTTTTAACAACAAATACGTACGTAAACATCATGTGCAGTGGTATACCCAGCTTCTCTGCGCAATGGATATGTCCAAACGCAGGAGGGTTCGCAATGATGGCGTCAGCTACAAAAGGTTTCTTGAGCTGCTCAGGGAGCTGCTCCTCGACGCCCATCCATTCCTCGACTGTCTGCTTAAGCGGATCCACGCCCAAGCCATTGCCAGGCTCGATGCATGATCTCCACGTCCCGCGCAAGATCTCTGCAATGCCCTTCCTCCTCTTGCCTACGTCGCCGCTCCACAGCGTGTCCATGCCAGGCATCAGGCCAGGATTCTTGACCATGAATGCCATGAGCTCTGCAGGGTCGCCGCCGATACTAAAGAACTCTAGGCCATTCTCGATAACGAAATCCTTGAATGTTGGATGTGTGGCTAGTCGTACTCGGTGACCATATGTGTCCTTCAGCACCTTGCCCAAGGCGACAAATGGTTGTACATCTCCTCTTGATCCCACAACTTGTATGACGATATTCAGAGGTGGAGGTGGGCTCTGTCCTGGAGCACCACCGAGCGACTCGGGAATGTAGGGTGGAGGTGGCTCTGGATCTTCTTGCGCCTGGGTGAGCTGGCGTTGGATTTGCGGTACGATGAGCTGTGAAAGAGCACGGCTCTTCTGGTTGATTCTGATGTTCACTCGACCATCCTCGGCGACAGTTGCGTTCGTGTCGAGCTCGTCATTGTCGCTCTGGAGCGTGCCGGGGACCTCGCTGTAGGCCGGTGGAGAGAGGTCGGCGGGCGTCGCGTGCTGTTCATCAACATGGCCCAGGTCATGGTATGGTTCTGCTGTAGTTCTACGTATCATATCAGTAATGAGCCCTTTGCGTGGCATACTGCTATACTGACGTAGCTGACAGCCGCGAAGAATCGGAGGGTCGATAGGAGCCGACATATGACGACGCCTCAGGCTTCGACTCTGGCGGCGGTGGCGCATTGCGCTGAGCTGTAGGAAGTGCTCGTGATAAGTTGGTAGGCGCGTGTCCTGGTGGCTGTGTTACGCCCTGTTCTGAGTACTGCGGTGGGTGTGTTGATGGTGCCCCACCATCGCGCGCGTTCGCGTCTGAGGGGTTGTTGGAGCTCGACATCGAGACTCGTGCAAAGGAATGGGGTATCAAACAAGCATGCCAGCAAAACGGAGAGTGACGATGTAGAGAGAGGCCTGGACCAGGAAGGACGAACTGTAGTAGCCTGATTTCAAGGTGACGGGAGCTTACGCTATGATGCGGAGTTGTGGGGGTCCTATTGGCTTCCAGAAAGGAAGCTCGTCATCAGTGGCTGTGCTACTCAAGGAGCAACATTTGAAAAGCGCTTCTGGCATGCAGCCACCACCTGAGCTTCTTGTCTACGAGTAGTGGCGGTTTGCACTACGCGTTCTGGCCCCATTCACGCTCGTCTGCCACAATCTCGCCAGTACGACCTCGCCAATCGAAGAGCTCCACATTCAAGCACAGCTTCGCGATCTACTGTCATCATCTATCATTCGCTTTGCGCAATGAAAGCTTTGCGATGCGAGACCCGGATCAAGGCAGACTTTCGGCGTTACTACGATCAATGTCGTATCCGGCCGTACGGCGCATAATGTATACTAAGAGAATGCGTTCAACGCAAAACTTCCGTCACACGCAGCAGGGTAGAGGCAGTTGAAGACCCTCCCATAATCGACTTGAGTGATTTACAGATGCCTTCAAGGATTTGGACCTTCCTCGAGAGCGAGTCATCTAAAATGATGCTACGGCTCTCATAAAATCTTCAAGATAGGAGTCAGCAATCACTGCAGCCCAGCTAAATGCTCAGTATGCGTACTTTACCACAGATGTGGCCACACCGTGACGACTCCGTCCACACGAGACTTAACGTTGACCTTGTGCACCTGGCTGAGAGTCAAAAAGCTGTCTGCATTTTGATTGGTCTTCTTGATCGCCATAGACACCTGCACAGAGTTCTTGGCTGACCAGCTAGTTGCTTTGTCAAAATGTGGTTCTGAGAGACTGGTGGTTGATGTATCGACCTCTGAGGACGTTGCGGGACTGTGAGCGGTCTGCTGTTTGCTTCCTATTGTACTGATCGACATGGCGCATGACTTGAGAGGTTGAGCTCGTGACAGACTTCTGTGTAAAGCTGCTGGTGAAAGGCCATAACGATGATTGAGGCGCATCTTGGTGGACGCTGTTGAACTTGATGTATGGATGAGAAGTTGGCGATAGGCAAGTTCTAGCAGTTTTCGCACTGGGAAAGAGCACTTGGAGGGTGAAACTCCTGAATTTAAAGGTCAGAGTAAATGGCAGCGGCTACATTTGACGACATTCGTTTGTTGGCTACAGTGAATGTGCGAACTTCCAGTGAGACAGCCGGAGCTACTGATCGAGGCAGCTGCGAACCTGAAGCAAGGGGACTACAATATGTCCAGTGTCACACCAACATATCTCGATTAAACACATCGAAGACACTATTCTGCAGGCTCTAGCCCCGGTCTCATGAGTGTGCATCTATGGTAGGACTGTGAACTAGCATACGAAGCTGTATGAAGACATGGAGTGGCTGTGACATCATCACACAGCACAGAACACTGAACATCAGAACGGTTTATAGGGCAGTCTGCGTTATCTACGATGCCGAGCAGAGCGTTGTACTTGATATGCCTGTAGGGAGAGTGTGTCTCCTCAAGCAGATGTTTACTTTGTGACCAATTAGGTTACCGGTAGCCGCTTTGGACCCTGCATGCTGTGGAGACATGCGCGTCACAGCTCACATGCACCTGCCGCGCTCCAGCTTCAACTTCGAGGATACAACATTGACGCGTCTTGTTATCAACACCGCATAGCCAACCATAGTAAAATAATTCTACTCTTCTTTGTCAAATATACGTGTCGACCCGCGTATCCCGTCCACCTTTACCATTAGCACTATCGACTCGTCTATATTTTCATCCTACTCACAGTAGTAGAACACCCGGTAAGGAAGACACGAGACATCATGGTCCCAACGAGGATATTCCTCGGTGCCGCTGTCTGTCTTACTGGAACAGTGGCCTGGAACACAGATGGTAAGGGAACACCGGCTCAGATTACTCGGGCTACAGCCGACAAGATGCAGTACACAATCAGATTGGTTTTATGGCCGAGACATTCTTATCCCCCGAGACGACTTCGACCCTCGCCGAGATCCTCGAACCGCAGTACAATGGCTCCATAGGCCGCGCAGCTGCATGGGCAGACGGCTACGCGCATACCGCTAAAGGGAGCTTCTCATACCAATGGCACTGGATAGATACACACGACTTTCCTCCGCAGCATTGCAGCCTGGACTACATGAGCGACTGCGCTGAAGGGGGTTGTGTAGTCAGCGCCATTGCAAACCAGACTGGGATACTGAAGGACTGCATCGAAGATGTGAGGTCAGGCGCGCTGAGTGGAGGCAGCAACTTGACGTGCTCATATGCGCTCAAGTGGGTGTCGCATTTCCTCGGCGATATAGCACAGCCCCTTCACGCCTCTGGGCGTGCTGCAGGCGGAAACTTCTACAGGGTAAAGTTTGCCAACCATTCGACTGAGCTGCACGCTGTAGGTACTCCCTCGGCCTTGCCTTTGGCTCGATACTGACAGGCTAGGCTTGGGACGGATATATCCCCTACTACGCCGCCAAGGTCATAAAACCATTTTCGAATCACTCGATCGATCCTTTCTTCGAAGACTTAGCATCTCGAATCCGGAGAGATGGTTTTTATGAAGCCCCGTACATGTGGATTGCCTGCAGCGATCCTTCAACACCTGTTGAGTGTGCAACAACATGGGCTACAGAGAGCAATAAGTGGACATGCGACTATGTGTACAGGCATCTGCACGGAGATGAGGACCTGGGATATAATGGCTATGCGGACGGTGCTGTGCCCATCGTCGAGCTGCAGATCAGCAAGGCTGCGTACAGGCTGGCAACTTGGCTGAACAAGTTGGTTGGTGTCGAGGGTCCAGCATTGGACGGACAGGAAACGCTCGAGCTCTGAAAGAGCATACAATGCCTACCAGTCAAGTTTTGGAATCCACACGGCGGGTTTGAAGACATCTTCCAGCTATGCTACATCTTGTGGCTCTTTGAGTGATTACCACGTACAGTCGCAGGCCCAAAAGAAGCTTCTATACCATGCCCAGTTCCGCATAGCACACGGTGCCTACCTCTAAGCCCTGACTCGTAAGTAGAAACGCCCTTTTTCCTCGTCCGAGGAAATTGTCGTCCTTACGTACCACACTTTCGCTTCGCTCTTCGATATTGAAGTTTCACACAGGCCATGTGTGGCTGCATACCGAGAGTCGAACACGGAGTGCAGCTCATTTCTTTTCAGAAACCAAGTAGACCGGATATATATTGATCGCTTCGCAACGACGATTCGCCTACTACTCAGTATCCACCAACGATGAGCGACTGTCCAAAATAAGGTGCCACGGCAGTACATCTCGGCTCCTGCATCGATCACTATGATGTGTCCCTGTTTCCGTTCCCGGAGTCGAAGTCACTATTGCTCGATATAATCTGGATCATCGATGAAAAGGTTTGTACAAGCTCTATTCTCCCAGCCATTCGAATGCGAGTACTGTGTGAATCATCGTGATGGTGGCCGTAGCATTAATCACCGTTGGGAGTGCCATAGACGTATTGTTGAGACCGGAAATAGTGGACTGGGTGAGCAACATGGCCAAGGACTGGGAGGTGTAACTAAAGAAGTAGAGAAATGACCGTAGACTCATGACACCATCAATGAAGCAGTGGAGTACATGACGAAGTCTCTCTCTCCTTGGTTCTCAAACTATTATCGTCATCCGTTCCGTCTTCGTGCGTCTCATTCGCCCTGTCGTGCTCCACCAACACCAAAACGCCTTCAGGTATACACCAACACCGAGTTTAAATAGACTCCATAGCCTTGAGTGAGTGTAACGAAAAGCAAAGGAGTTAGGACACGTTGTGTCTCGTGGGTATCAAGTTTGTCGATGAAAACGCGACCACCCAGTATTAAGCGAGAAATAGGAAAGCAAATCCGTAGAACAATATGAGCCAAAGTATGGTCTCGACAAACGATATGGAGTGGCAATTGTATACTCACATCTCCGACCAGTGAGTATCACCTAAGCGATCGTACTCCTGCTGCGACCTGCTTTTCTTATCTTTCTTCTTCTCGCTCGTACTTCGTCGTAGCAGCGACTTCATCCTCGTCGCAAGTTTGCCAAGAGGCGCTATTTCCGTCTTTGGACTCAGCGATGGCTGGACCTTATCAGTTGCGTCTTGTAACCTCGCTGTCGCTTCCTCTTCTTCAACGAGCTTCTTTGCCTGTATCTCCGCTTCGTTGCGAAGAATGTCCTCTGCGCTGATCGTCTTCGCAACCTTGGGAACATTCGTGGTAGTGGCTCTGGTAGGCGCGATCGGTTTTGTCTTCTTGACTGGTCTTGATAGTGCCAGGGGGGTCGATGATGCAGTCGGCAGCTCCGGCCTAGCGAGGGTGCGGTCCTCTGTTGCTGGAACGATGTTGACTGGCTGCTTGACGGGTGCCATCATCTCCCATACTGGCTCTGTAGGGCTCGAAGGGAGTGACGAAGAAGACATCGACCAAAGTATTGTGACTTGAGAGTTATCCCATTCTCCGCCCTCTTGTCTTGGCGAGTAGGCTGGTGTGGAAGGTGCTGAGTCGATGAATGTGCCAAATGAGTTTGCCGACATAGGCGGTGACGTTGGTCCTGGTGACAGAGGAGTCATTGGCGATGAGTCCGCTGGTGAGTTAGGTAGACCGATGACCGAGAATCTGTGAGGTCGCTCCGGTGACAAAGTGCGGGATGCCTTGGGCATGCCGTGACTAGACAGTGGCATGTGGAAGCTGCGTCTGTTGGTGAGGGTAGATGTAGAGACCGGCGTAGGTGCAGGAACACGAAGAGACCCCATGGTATAGCCTGCGTTACTCAATGCACAGTAAGCGCCTGCTGTGACCTTTGATGTTCCAGAGCGAATTGATGTAGACTGTGTGCGAGTCGAGGGGAAGAACAGGTCAGTATCAGCCTTGGGATACAGGGTATTAATGACTTCGATAGTGCGCAGGCAGCAAACCCAACATGCGGGGTCTCATTGGAAGAGGGGAAAGACAGGAACTGCGCCCCGAAGATAAAGAACCAACAACAGCAAGGCAGAAAGCAGTGCCACCTGAGGCCGGCAGGCTACATGTTCGTTATATGAATGCACCATACGCGCGTACTCCACGCCGTAAACATGCGTTAATCTTACAGGGGAGCAATGCCAAGATCAATGGTGCCAGGTATGGTGGTGGCGACGTAGAGTTAGTATACTTGAGTATACGCCGCACTGCAAGCTTTAGCAGCTCCACAAAGTGCTTATAGGGTCAAAATGACACCACTTCCTGGTGTAAGACGGACAGTTGAAGGAAGTTGTGGACCCAAAGGCGGAGGGAATTGGCGCCTCCAGCAAGAAGCGGCGCTAAAATCGTATGCTCATTGGCCTCAATCAACAAGCCGCGGACGCGCATGGCGACAACGCCGCAAGTCATCAGCGGAAGCGGCTGGGAGATGCAGACGCCAATCGGTTTGGCAGTTGAGGGCTGAACGAGTGTCGATTCTTCCCTACCGGTAAGTGGCGGGTCAATCCGCATCCCTCGCTGTGTTGGTTGGTTGGGACCTGACGCGGCCAGTTGGCTGTGGGCTTTAGCCAAGGAGCTTACCGGTATGCCATCTTACGCGCAATGACAGCAAAACTTGTTCACAATTGTCTGGAAAAAGCTGGACGAGTAGCGGAATCAGAACTCTTAGTTCCATAGTAGATTAGAAGAGGGAGGTTTGATGGTATGTGGTTCGGCCCCACTGAACTACTCGCGCCCACCACAAGCTTCGAGCTTTGGTCATGAGTTCGCGATCCACACCTCTCAACGGCTGGCATCATTGGTAGGAATTTGGTAGTACGAATCGAATTGGAGCCATGCCCCAGCTGATATGAGCCTACAGCTGAGTTCGGTAAGGGTTTTCATGCAATGTCCTGCGACGCAGACTGCCCGCTTTGCACAAGTGGAGACGGGTAAACTGCTTCGGTCCGGGCAGCTTTCAGATCACTTTACAAACCACCGGTCAAGATAGGATCGACTGATGAGTATTTTTGCTGACTGAACCATCTTCAGACGCCTGAGGCTCGAAACATCTTCAAGGGTCTTGACTCTTTCACAGCCGACGGTCGTTGCATTGTGAGACTTGTGAAAGTCGCCTTTTTGGAGATGCAGCTCGCGTCAATGCGTCTAGTAAGCGCTTTGCTCTGCATGAAGGATGCTTATTGCATATGGAGGACGAAGGCGAAGCTTCAAGATGCCTCTCGGCCAACCACGCTAACGGCTTGGCGGGAGTGACCTTCCAAATCTGACGCCAGCTCGAAACGGGAAAGGCGTTGTTTACTAGTCACGATGCTGAGCCTCAGGCATTGCCTGAGTCAGTCTCCATCGTCCTGTCTTGACGACATCAATCTTTTTCGGTCACCTTCTACCTTTTAATGGCGTCGTCAGGGAGACAAAGCCCTTAAATGCGTTCACCTGCAAGACGAGCGCTCTGGGACTGCCCTGAAATCCGGGCGTTGGAATGGCGCCGAAAACTCTATCTCTACCTTAATATCAACATTCCGCTGTTGTAGCCGCCTCGCATCCCTTACTAAGGATTCATGATCGATGTGGTGCCTCCGTTCTCTCGAGTGAGATGGGAAGACTATCGTCGAGGAAGTATTAGGTGTTTGAAGGCGTCATCGCGTGTGTGACCTTAAAGTAAGTGTATAGATTGGGAACATCGCATTGTGTTGTCTTGCAGCTGCATCGTATGTCCAATGTCAAGATTGGGGCTTAGCCACATTCCGACGGCCTCCACTCCCGTGTATGCATCACCGCTCAACTTCGCCAAGTTTCGACTGGAGCCATCATGTGGTACAGTACATTCCTCTGCCTCATCACCTTTGCCGCTCGTAAACAAGATCAACCTCTGTCTCGCTCACCATAAATGGGACGTATCCTAGTAAGAGGAGTCTCACAACGGCCTACAGCTTCATCTACCACGTTCATTCCCGACACTCCTTCCCATCCGCTCATTTCAAGATGAAGGCCAACTTCCTGGCACTCGGTCTCTTTGGCCTGGCTGGCGCCTCGGCCGTCCTGCCTCACGATGACTACAAGCCTGTTGAATACAAGCCTAAGCCTACTCAGCCTTCTTACCCGGCGAAGTCTTACCCCACTAAGGCGCCGGCTCCCAAGTACGGCGGTGACTACGCAACCAGCCCGGATTACGCACACGAGGATGACTACGAGACTGGCTACGACTACAAGAACTCCAAGGGTAGTACGAGCAGCTGGAAGCCCAAGTCGAAGAGCCCCGAGTTCTTCAACCTCCGCGTCGACGAGAAGTGCAACGTTGTCAACGGTGTGCCTGAGGCTGCCGCTGACTGCCCTTTCAATGGATACGCCATCAGACTCGAGGGCGGCATCTTCATTGCCACTCCTTATAACAAGTGGTGGGACCCTAAGCTTCCCACCTTTTTCGTCGACGACGACACACAGCTGTACACTGTAAGCCGCCTACTGCTGACATCCCATGGTTCACCTACTGATCAGATATGCAGGTCAGCAAGGACCCCCTCCAGGTCTACATTGACGGCATTACCGGTGCCCTCAAGTACACCAAGATCGGCTGGCTCCCACCTAACGCCATTGCGATCAGCTTCTACCACACCGGTAACAACCCTCTTGGTCTGGTCGACCCCAGCCCCTCGTACCTCAGCTGGCCCAGTACCCAGGGTGGCAGCTTCTTCGGTAGTCCTTGGGTCCTCTGCCCTCTCGGTAGCACCCTTCAGTACCAGATCTTCATCAACAGCGAGAACTTCGGCATCGGCGGCGTAAGTACCCCTTCAGCTATAACATCAGGCAGAAAAGATGCTAATACTACAATCTCTAGCCTGCAGGTGTTGCCAAGGACCCCGGCTCCTGCGTTTCTCGCAACCTTGCCGCCGTCAACGCTAACCCCTGGAAGCAGGAGAGTAGCCCTGCTCCTTACTACCCTCCTCAGCCTTACCCTGGCTACGGTGGCTCCGCTGGTAACTACTAGAGGAGCTAGCAAATACCTTGCAGCACGTATCACTACTCGCAGTCAAGCAGCATTGTTCAAGGAGTCTCATGCTTGTAGTTTACTTTCTTACATTCCCTCCGTAATTGCCCCCTACAGATCCTTCATGTTTTCCAAGTTGTATTTTAGGTCAAATTGAATACTAGTGCGGTTCGATAGACAGTCAATCTGAATCCTGTTGCGTCATATGAACTTTGTGCATTGCCACATCTCTTATTCACCTTCACTTTCATGTTGCCACCGCGAAAATATTGTTCGCGTCGCGTCGCGTTTGCGAGGCAACCGCACGCCCCCCCCTGCGCCTTCCTGCTCTGCTTCACTTGAACCTTAACACCCCGCGCTCATCTGCACTCCTCACAAACGCCTTCCTGCCGCCGTCGATTCACGATTGACACTCTCTGAGCCATGTTCGGTATCGGCCCTATGCTGCCGGTCATACCAGCTGCAGAAAAGGGCGGCCGCTCCTCCAAGAAAGTGCAGAAGTGCAATTCCAAGCAAAACCCTGGCGCAAAAAGCCACGAGCTCACCATAATGCGACGCCCGTCAACGACCAGGACTGAGAGCACTCTCTTCGATGACAACGACGACTACGCAGTGCAAGATCCTGCTTCCACGTCACATCACCAGCGCAACCTCTCACTTATAGTGGACTTTGACCTTGACTATGCAGCGGCGCAACTCAAGCTTGGCGAGATCTCGGATCTCGAACTTGCGCTCTTTGCGTTCTGGATCAAAGCCAAGTATGACAATTATCTCATGGCCAAAGAGCTCGTTCGAGAATTGGCGCTCGATCAGGTCAGTGTCCAGTCGTCAAATGGCCTAAATGTGTTCACATTGACTGTTAGGGCTACAATGTGGACAAGATCACCAACCCACGTATACGCAAACTCCTTCAGGAAGTGCACGACATTCGCCCAAGGTACGTCCCCACGAAGACCCCTCTATCAAGGTTGGCGAATTCAGATGCCTCACATCACGACCAGAAGATGAACTCTGTGGAGTCACCTATCTCAGTCACGACGTGTAAACGAATCTGATTTGCAGCCACTACCGAAATCTCAAAGACAAGGTCTAACAAGCTGGTTTCTAGGGATCCGCGACACGCCAGACCATTGGAAGGTCCATTCCTCGGCCAGACACGGAGCTCAGGCATGAGAACGAGTGGTAGCACCCGCGTTGTCAGCTCACCTTTGACTGCTCGGATGGACACGCTTCCCCCTTCACTGCGGCTAAAGCGAGAGCTCGCCGTGCAAGAAGCCGCTCGATCTACAATGACGTCGAACGACGTTGCCGACTACCCGCCGAACAGTGAGTACAGCGCTCACACTGTACAGTTTATAACGAGGCCTAACGCTTATAGCCCCTGATCGTCCGGCACCACTGAGCGTGAAATCACGAGGCTCACAGGCCAGTAAGTCGACACCTATGCCGACCAGCATCCTGCGTTCAATCTCTACACCCATTCGTGCTCAGCGTAAAAGTTACTTGGATCCGGTACCTCAGAGAGACTCCATAGTCAAGATTGATGGTAGCGAGGCTCTGGGTCGTCTCTCCTTCACTGCTGCCAAGCACTCACGTCGAAGCACGAGTGACGTCTTTGACGCTGCCCAGAACGTCAATCAGAGTCATAGCAATGCTTTCACTGATAGACTGCAAAACTCTGAAGACAGACGTTACGGTACGCCTGGGAGATACATGCACCGAGATTCTGGTGGGCCCGCATTAGGCCCATACCAGCTCGACGCTTCGGACATTGCGTCGGTGTCAAGCTACGGAACATTCACGAGTCTCATGCAGAAGAACAAGAATCGGACCAGCACAGATGTAGCATGTGATGGAGGAGTCATCGGAGACCAGTCTTTTGATGCCCTCGAGTCTTATGTCGGTTCTGAAGATGAGGATGAAGGGTCCGTCCTGGAATCAGCCTCGATCAGTGACGAAGAGAACCCGACAAAGTACCACTTCGCTGGCCAAGCACTACCTTCTCAACCGTTTATCACAGGCCCAGTACCAAGATCTTCGGAACATCGTGCTGCTGTGAAGGCTCGTCGCAAGAACCAGGCACTGAGTGTCTCCTCACAGGCAATCAACTTCCACCGCCCACTGCCTCTGCGGAGCTATGAGAGCGAAGCAACTATGTTCGTCACCACTGGTTCGCAGGCAAACTCGGGCCACAACCGATCGAAGTCGGTCACTAGCATGATCGCCAGTAGACGGCCCGCAATGGAGACTATGGCCCTCCCATCTCTAGCATGCTCCGTTCAAGAACGCACGAGTCTTGATGACATTGAGCAAGAGTTCTACGGGAGTGACATCTCACAAATCAAGATATCGGAGCAGGTGGACCGAGACACAGCGTCGGTCTCGCAACGCTCTTCGAGTGCATCTACGCTGGCAGCATTTCCAATACCTCCTATGAATAACCCTGTTGGCGAGCTTCCTATGCTGGTTTCGCGCGCCGTCTCATCGCCTGGGTCTTTACAAACGACAGCTTTACAGCACCCAATAGCATCTGCATCGCTCGAAGATACTTATCGTGCTATCGTCAGAGTCGCCATGACAGGGGTACTCAAGCGCACTCGAGTCCGAGGCGAAGGACTACAGGCTGTGGACTGGGAAAAGTTGACAAGTTTTGAGCGAGCCTGGCGGGAGATGAACGCGTTCCTACTGGTGACTATCTACGGAAGGCTGAACGTCGCCTTGGATGAGACTGATATCAATTACATCGACAGCATTGCGCAGGAGCTTCGCAATGAGTTGAACAATCTTGAATCTACAGATTGGGTTCGCCGCATGTTCGAGGCGGATGCTTTGGCGTCTTCTCAACAATAGTGGAGGAGAAATTCCGCAGAAGTTGCGCTGTCGAGGTCTCAAGTTCGGGGATGTGGCGAGGCGATGATGGTCCTAAGGTTTGGGGAGCGATCATGCAGAGATTAACTGGCTAGACGGACCGCTTTAAGCGTGAACGCTGTGAACGCCAAAGGGAGAACTCACATATTTGGCGTGACTCACTATATCAGTGAGGTCGCTAGAAGTATCTAAGTGATCATGCATTCGAATGATAACTCGTACTTTTCACATGCCGATTAGTTGGAGACTTACCCCCGTGATGCCTTTGTCCTACAAGCTCTACTGCAGAACTACCAGAAACCTACGATTATCAGTATCATCGGGTAGCTTTTTTATTGCCTTCGATACTTGGTATGAATTGCAAGCTTTCGCAGCTTGGTCAGCGTTAGTACGAAGGGGATTGCAAACAAGTATGATGCCGCACAAAGCAGCATGTCGGGCGATCATATGACTATTTGTTATCTTAAAGAAGGCATATTTTGGCATACCTTAAATTCAAGGAAAGAGTGTTCAGTACAGGATTGCGCCGCTGAAGCAAATTGAATGGAGTGCCCCCCCCCCCCCCCCCTGTAAGCTAGTCAGGACGGAGCTATACAATTTTCTCCCTTTAATCACAAACTTACTGCAAATAAATTGCAGTCCAAAATGATACCGTGATCTATATTTACCTACAAGCTACTCCTAGGTTATCGTTGATAATATCAGACGCTTTGGCTGAGCATAGGTTTGCGAGTGTGGTTAGCGCAGCATCGACGGCGCACGCATGGGTTCACTACAGAAAATGATACTGTTTATCGCAGTGTCTTGGTTTCACAGATTTACATCGCTCACAGATTTACATCGCTCGCAGATTTACATCGCTCGCATTAAGTTGAAAGTCATTAGTCCTGATGTTGGATTACCTGGACGCACAGAGTAACGTTAAGTAAGCGGCTGATGACATCTTCTGTAAAAGCAAGGCTTTTGAGTTTTGGGCAATCATTTGAGGAAGACGGCAGACTAATCTTGAGCGTACTTAAAATTAAATATCTAGACCCTAATTTCCGTCGTCTGCTGCACTTCTTCGACTTACAGGATCGTAGGACCGTGTCGAAACACTGTCCTCACGACGAATCCAATACACGCAACACTTTTCAATTTAGCGCACTATCAAGAATGTAGAGAATATGTTCTGACCAAACAGTACCTACGATGTTATCGTCGCAGCCTTTTGGGATTGTCTTCTAGTGGCCACACCGCTCGTCTCCTATTTGGAGACACTTGCAGCCGCAACCCACTTATAGTAAGAATCGACTTCATCATTTGCCCTACCAATCTGGTTTGACGTCCAATATCCGCCACCTAACACAGCATCCCAGCAACTTCTGTGCATCACGCACCCTGCATGCCTGTGTAACATGTGACTCTACGAGATGCCGTGTAACCCTCCCTAACCAGGCATCACCCAGGAATGAGCCGCTGCTACCCATGGATCTGCCTTGCAGAGCTCTGCTAAGGTAGTGGGGTCACGTACAGGCCTCCGGATGTATGTAACGTCCTCCGAGTGCTCCAAGGATATTCCTGGCTACGCGGTGCACAGCGCTGCAAGTGTCATGCAAGGATCCTGCGACGCGGTCTAGACTAGGGAAAGACAATCGGGGGTGCGAGCGCCGGATACGAGAATGGCAGCCTGCTTCATCGTGCATGATGTGAAACAAGCGTCTTATGGCTGCTTCTGGGGCGGTGTGCATGTTAGGAGGCATGTGTTGGGATGGTGAAGGAGGCGGCGGAGGCGGTGGAGGCGGTGAATGTTGATCTGGATACTGTCTGTGAGAACGATCGAAAAGAGAAAGAAGGCGTGCAGATGTGCACTTGCTGTAGCTTTAACGATAATGCAGGTGGCAGTAGCAGCTGAGCGTCAAGGAGCAGCTCAGGAGTTTCGTTTTTTTGATGACATTAGTGCACTATATTGGTGCAGTTACAGTACGTGATCCTAGTACTTTGGAAGCCGAGCCGCGCATGCGTGTGCCGGTCTTCTTTCAAAGCCATGACAATGAAAGCGTCCTTCTGTCGATGACGATTCGTTCAAATGACAGCGCAAATGAGTGGCCCTGACGTGTGTCAACAACCTGCGAAGGGATGTGACGAGGATAGTGATGAAAAACGTGATGTATAATAGAGAAACACTGTTGCGCCACCGAGCTGAAATGCACAAATGTGATGTTAACCGAATAGATGGATATAATGCTGGAAGCAATACCAGAATATGCGAGGACCGTGCGGTTATGACCGATGTCCACAGTGCTCAGGACCTTCCCGAGGCCCAAACAAGTAGCGACATCATATGAAAACGCCAAATAGATGAGGTGACCAAGTAAGGGCGATCAAAGCACGCGGGAAAGAGTCAGAATGATAAGCGAAGCAGTGTAGGGTGAGGGAGCTTCGAGTAGCCGTCATGTAACAGAATGGAGCGTGACCAGAAGTTTGCTTAAAAGCTACTGTTGAGATTGGAGGTCGAGGCATGACGCAACGGAATATTTCGCGACTCGAATGACTCCCTTGTAAGGTTCTCCATGTTTGGTGCATCGGTTGGTTGGCTAAGAGGCGTATATTGGCGCCCACTGACAAGATTACCAGAAGAGCTATCGCCAGGGTAGGATGGCCGTCTGGAGGAGCTATTAAAGGGGTACAGGCTTGATGAAGAGCCGTTTCGTGGAAGCTCAGTCAATGATGCAGAAAGATCGCGGGATTCCCTAAAGTTCGAGTATGCCGGCGGGGTTGGTGCGGTCATGGCCGACGAATCAAGAAATGGCAAGGTGCTGAAGTTGAGCTCAGCTGTTGTTCCAGTGTTCTTCGAGTTGGGGATATCTGCTGCCGATATCCCGGTCGCAGAGAAGTCTGGCGAGACATCGCTTGCGCTCATCGGTGCCAGAGGGGTTATCGGTGGTGGCATAGCTGTCGTAGTCGTTTCGTTGACTGCATTCATCAGGTTATCGTTGGCAGCTGCCCAAGTCAGGAGTGGTTTAGCAAAGGAGCTGCTAGTATAGGAGGGAGTCGCATTGCTGAAAGATGGTGTGGCAATCGCCTGAGATGAGCGCAGGCGTTGGCCTTGTTGTTGATCGAGAGCATGACATAGTCCGTGACCTGGATTTGGCTGTGGCTTGGGAAGTCGTCTACGCGTCGGCGTGATTGCTACTTCTGTTGGCTGGGTCTGTCGTTGGCGATGCCTCTCCGGGAGCGTTAGCTGCAAGGAAGACATGTTCAGGGGTGAGACCGGCTCTGGCGCAACAACTGGTCGTACGTCGGTTTGCAAGTATGGCAAGCCATTGGTGATGTAGGAATGGCCGTAGTCCGAGTAGTAACTGGTCGTGGGTTGGTGTTGTCGCGCAGTCTGGTTCGTCCAGCGATACGATGATCCGTACATGTTCGAGCCTGCTGGCGTAGTTGGCGTTGGTAAATACGCCGAGGACTGGTCGAAAGAGCAGTCATCGATGGGCGATGTGTCATCCCCATAAGATGTAGACCATTCCGGAGCGTAGGCTGGTTTGGCATCGAGGTGACTGTATGCGAACTTGTTTTCCAGCTGAGGATACGACTGGCTGTACACGCTGCGGTGATATGGGCCGTTCCCACCAGCAGAATAATTAGGCATCATATCGTGAGCTGATGCCATACTGGCGAGGCTCTGCACCATGTTGAAATTGTCCATGACCTTATGGACGTGATCCGATCCGACCTGCAGCTGTTAATAAATCTCGCCGAGGTTCGAAGAATTAATACGTACACGATGGAACTGACAGTAGCTGGCTTCAACGCCTGCTACCTTGCAATTTTGACAGCCTTGACCATCACCTTTATCTCCAGAGCAGCGGATTTTCCTCTTTCGACAACGCGCACACTAATTCTGAGGTTAGTCGCTGCTATGTAGATTTTGTTACTAGGCTCAAGTAGTATGGCCTTGCGGGTGCCATGATGAGAAGGTGTATTAGCGGGCGACGGAGGAGCGATCAAACTTACAGCTACTGCGATACGCCGTCTGGCGCCTGGCTGCTCTGGTTGGAACTCATCTCGCTCAGCATGAGCTCGATTTCGCAGCCCACTGACGGGGCCTCCCATGGGGTAGGCATATGGATCCGCTCGAGGGTAGTCATAAGACACACGGCGCTCATTGTAATAGGTCTCCGGGAAGGTACGAGCGGAGGCTGGACGCGAGAAATGGCGCGGGCCGTCGTAGTTCATGGACGACATTGGTGTTCTTGATCAAACATCAGGCATGCTGAAGGCAGGTGCACGGTCGGAATACGTACCCACGGTGTAGACGAAAGCCACCCTGGCTCTTCTTCCAATGATCGATCGGCCGTCAGGATGTTGGTGTCGGATTCTGAAACGGGTTAATCCAGCTCAGTATCAACAGGAGCCAAGTGATCCTCATGCAAAAGGAACACTCTACTCGAGAGGGATTTGCTGGATTACCAGAAGCCGATGAAGCAGCCGTCGGAAGAAGGAATGGGCGTATCGAGATAGTAGAGGATACGACAGAGACTTTAATCTCCGGTTGATAATGTTTGCTGTTCGGTGTAGTCGACGAGAGCGGTTGAAACAGATCTGTGAAATCGTAAGGCTGGCGCGATGCTGAAGTGATTGGCACGATACCCACCAGGCTGTTGTGCCAATCAGATCCGGTTACTTGCATGAGTATCGCCCCTGCAGATGAAGGGGCACACCGGATCATGGACCAAGTGATTTGAGAGACGTGTGAGACATTGCACGGAATAAGATACTTTCCTGTATAGAGAGAAATGGCAGCAGCAGCTACCTGAAGATCAAGACAGCCCACCTTGATGCGCATATCTCCGACGGACCATTATATCCCATGAGGCTGTGAAGCTGACATCCTAGTTTGAGCATCGCATTCGAAGCCTCTTGTTTTGCAACCAAATGCGGACCTCGAACGAACAGCACACTGGCAGCACAAAGCGTTTGCTCCTGGCCGCACGGTCTCACCGGGGAAGCGGGATACCTGTCAACATGTCATTTGTCGCTCGCCAACTTGCATTTGCGTACTTGACAGGTCCCTGGACGGACAGCCAGCACTAGGCAACTCATTGTCCAGAACTTCACAAATCCCACATTGGTAGCGACATATGAAGGCAGAAGTGTACATGACGCCCACTTGATCCAGCAAGTGCAGCCTTCCCAAACGTTCAGAAAAACGAGAGAGCAAGTCTGCTAATGCTCGAACATCGTTACAAATCAAAATCTCGGTAATCAGCCCGAGACATCCTCCTGAACTGGGCACCTGCACGTACTTCTAGGCGAGGCAACTGCTCAGATCGGTGTTCGCTCAGCGAACTTTGTATCGCCCAAGCGACATGTTGATCTGATACTATTCCCTTGCAGGGGTATCCTGGGAGGAAAGCCCGGCAGGAATCAGGACGCAACCACGATTCTCCCAAAGGAGATTTTCGGATCCGAATACATCTAGCTGCGTTAAAGCACCGACCAAGCCCAACATCGAAACTCATTGCAGTATACGGCGTACGCGGGGAGCGCTGGATAACACTTCCGACGGCACCTTTGTGCACTTATGTTAGCCTGCACCAGTCCTGTGAGTGGGCTGTTACTAGGGTTTCTATCATTTAGATCTGAATGTACCACTCCAATGTCTACAGCAGTATCGGACTGCACGCACTGACTGTGGCGTATTTGTGGGTCTAAGCAAACAAAAGCAGAGTGATGCCCAGGTAAGACGTAGGCTTTGCTCCGTGGGTATCGTCATCCTCCAGCTTCGCAGATGAATTCAACAGCGACCTTGCAACATCGCAGATGCGTGCGAGTTTTTGCAGCAGCGACCAATCGACCACGGCTAACAATGCTGAGAGTGTAGCAAACACTACCATGTGCACAGACGAGTCCCGACTGCATAGGCGGGTATCGTTACATAGTGGAAAGCCAAGATTATCTGTCGAACGAGACCGGCGTCTTTTCTGGCGCAGGGAGTGGTGCAAATCTCTCAACCTCTCAGTCAAACTCCTGTAGAAAGAATTTCATGCATGGGACATAGACTGCTCGTGCCGTGCGTGAATGTTGACGGTGCCAATCATTATCAACTTACATCGAATCGAACCAACCTACATGAAGAATGCTAAAACGAAGGTGCATCTTTGTCGACCATTTTGGAGATCAAGGCGATAGTGCTGCGCCGTGGGAAGGAGGTTGAATGGCCGGATGATTGCATGTCTCTCAGATGGGCAAGACGCGGAGAAGGCAAACAATCTAAAGGATTGCGGCTTGCAGCCTGCAGATGTCGGCAAGGTTCGGTCGGTCACAGCAACCGGGATCGAAGCAGCGCTCAGCCATTCGGCTAGCCGAGCATCCTAAGGATCCAACGAAGGATGAGGCAGGGGTCATTGTGTGCCGCGATCGAAAGGCGGGTGCTCTCGACAACGGCCCGCACAACATGAATTCCGGTTGCTTTCTTCAAAGAACCAATGTTCCTTGCATATGAGGCGCGCGACCATTGTCTCGTAAACAAAGGATTGCCGTTGGATGAGAGCGATCTTAATAGAGGCTCCATATGCGTCGCCAGTAGCGCACGTCGATGTGCAGCTGGTCTCGATCGTCCTGAGCACCAGTCGCGTCCAGTCACTGCACTGAGGCGTCGGAACGTTACCCATAAAGTATTGACAGTGGCTTGCAAGACCTTGAGGATCAACTTAGCGACAAGGTCGATCTGGGTCCTGTAACCTGAGACGAGAGTCGTGTGACTTCGTGTTGCGTTGAGGAAAGAAGCTACTGCGGTTGCGTCACCGCTGACTAATCGTCTTGGCGCGTCTAGCTAATGAAGCTGTCGCGATGTTGCGAGAAACCTCGACTGCCCGCGAGAACCATGTCCGTGCTTCTTGAGACGTCACTCGGTGACATTACTATCGATCTTCTGGTGGACGAGGCGCCAAAATGTTGTGAGAAGTAAGCGTTTCCCCCAATCCCTATGCGCGCCATTACTTTTCATGTCGTTCATGTATCTCCCGCGTTCACTGCACTTGCATGCCTTACTCCGCTGTCTTTTGACGCACGCTGAGCACACGACAGCCACTGACAGCTTGTCACCTCCAGCTTTTTGAAGCTATGCAAACTGAAGTATTACAACTTCTCGCCTGTGCATAGTGTCCAGCCCAACTTCTCCTTCCAGAGCGGCGACCCCATTGGCCCTGGGTCCAGAGACAGCGATGGTGGCTCCTCAATTTGGGGCTTACTTGACCCCGCGAATCCAGCCAAGAGGAGCTTTGCGCCAGAATTCAAGCACAACCTGAAACATGCGGAGATGGGCACCGTCAGCATGGCCACAGCGTCAAATCCCGACAATCCAGACGAACGTTTTGCTGGCAGCCAGTTCATCATCACACTCGGTCCGAACATCGATTTCCTCGACGGAAAGGCTGCCATATTTGGCACAGTTGTCGAGGGGTTCGACGCGCTCGAGAAGATCAACACGGCATACGTCGATGACACGGGCCAGCCGCTCAAAGACATTCGAATACTGCACACCGTAGTGCTTGACGACCCGTACGACGATCCTGCTGGCCTCGTAGAGCCACCAGAGAGTCCAGTCCCCTCCGTCGCACAGCTTGCAACAGTCCGTGTCGCCTACGATGAGAACCTTGAAGAAGAAAATGATCCAGAAAAGCTCGAGAAGATTAGAAGGGAACGCGAAGCGCGCGCACAAGCTCTCACTCTCGAGATGGTCGGCGATCTGCCATTCGCTGAAGTTGCTCCACCAGAGAACGTTCTCTTCGTCTGCAAACTCAACCCCGTCACGCAGGACGAGGACCTGGAGCTCATCTTCTCGCGTTTTGGCAAGATCGTCAGTTGCGAAGTCATTCGGGACAAGCGCACTGGTGACAGCCTGCAGTACGCCTTCATTGAATATTCGAACCAAAAAGAGTGCGAACAGGCGTACTTCAAGATGGACGGCGTGCTGATTGACGACCACCGCATCCACGTCGACTTTTCACAGAGTGTGTCGAAGATCGCAGATGATTGGCGCGACAACACGAATAAGAAGAGAAGGCGTGCAGCAGGTGGCTTTGGTGGTATCGATAACTTAGAGAAGAAGACACAATACCGTGGCAAAGGAGGGCGCGAGATCGTCTCGGACTCCGTCGTCAACAATCTCGTGGTCGGCCGCGACCATGCACCAGAGTCCAAGCCACGAGAAGAGCGCGACACGAGACGTGACGGCGCACAACGGAGAGAGCGAAGAGAAGAGTACCACGGCGACAAGCATAGGCGCGATCGCAGTCGAAGCCCGCGACGCGATAGACGCGACCGCGACGACGGACGCTACGAGCCTAAACGGCGAGACCGCAGCCGCAGCCGCAGCCCACGGCGCCGTGACGACCGTAGAGACCGCAGTCGCGACAGGCACAGCGCGGACGACAGAGATAGGAAGCGATAGAACATAGCATCGAGCCTTGAAAGCGACTTTCCATCGCAGGCTCCGACTCGCACTGTAACATAGTGGCCGTTTTCGTACAAGAACAATGACACCAGCGCCGCCCACGAGCGTCACACAAACACACCTGACCTAACTGCACTTGAAGTCGTATGCAGCCACGGTCCCCTCGTGCAAACACCGCCCACCACCGCGCTGGAAATGCACTAACAACCTACCACATGCTTATTTGCACTTCGCCGACAAGGATGCGCTGTTGTCAATGTTGCCTCGAGGCCCTCCTGGTGCATGCATGTACCTTTTGGTCCGAATCGCACGCATTTCAATCGGCCCTTTAATGCATGCACACACGCACACAGGCGCCATGTATAACAAACGCCGCTGCGAACGGGTGCCACGAACATGTCGGCAATTCCACCCGTCCAGTATCTGACTGAGCGTCAATCGGTCCTTGGTTCTCGCGCGGGAGGAAGCGAGCGCGCTGCAAGCCACGACGGCGCGAAGGAGCGCACAGCATCGTGCATGATACATACGGCTCGTCAGACGGGATTCGAGTTAGACGGGCCAGATACGCGAGAGCGTTGTGCGTGCTGTGGAGATGTACGGTGTCTTTCCGTATCTGGGGATGACGTGCAGTTTTCGCGAGATTCGTGACGACTACGCCACGCTCCGGATGGGCGTGGACGTGGCTGAGACGATTATCTCAAGGGCAAAGTCTAGGGTGCAACGATGCATGTTCGTCCGGGGAGTTTCAATGTCGAGAGCTGGGTTTTACGCACACCATTGGCGGCGGGTTCCTGGAGTCTAGCAAGATCGCATGCTGATGCTGGAGCTTAGTGATGCGTGACATACGTGGACGATTATTCAGTCTCTAATTTTGGTATAAGTGTACAAAGAGCCATCCAGTCTTGAGCTCATTAACAATGCAAGAACCCCGCCCGGAGTCCACAGCCCCAATGAGGACTCCAAAACTCCGTGCCATGCAAATCAGTAAATTTTCTGCTGCGTTTTCCGCCATCGCGCCGCCGTCAGCAACGCCTGGCTATGCGATCTCTCATGCACGACGCATTTGCTGTAAGTCCGGCCTGCCGTCTGTTGGACATGACTCCACGTTTGGAGTGAATTGTTACCGTAATAGTCGCCGAGCGCCTAGTCACGGACGCTGAGGCCAGAGCGGGTTGTGAACATGCGGGTGGCGATGTTCATGGCGAGGAGCTCCTGGAACAGGAGCTTGGCGGCGTAAGGGATGTGAATCTGGGAGATGCGGGTCTTGTTATGGCAGGGGCGGCACTCGTATTTGCCTTGCTTGAGTTGACTGCACCCTTGTTAGTGTGATGATATGATAGAGCATGGGTAATATAAACTTACGCAATAGGGCTCATCAGGCCACAAATGTCGCAAACGTGAACCGTGTACGCATCCGAGACCGTGAAGAGACGCTCCTTGAGGAAAGCAGCAGCACCGTGCGCAATCATACAATCACGCTCCATTTCTCCAAAACGCAGACCACCGTCCCTAGCACGACCCTCGACAGGCTGTCGAGTAAGGATCTGAAGAGGACCGCGAGCACGGGCGTGGATCTTGTCGTCGACCATGTGCCTTAGACGCTGGTAGTATGTGGGACCTAAGAAGATCTGTGTACGCATCTTCTTGCCGGTATGGCCGTTGTACATGATCTCGAAACCACGCTTCTGGTAGCCAGCATCCTCGAGCAGCTCGGAGATTTGATCGACGGTAACATCGGTGAAGGGCGTAGCGTCACCTTCACGTCCAGTGATGGCGCCGACCTTGGAGAGCAGACACTCGACCAAATGGGCAATTGTCATACGGGAGGGAATGGCGTGGGGATTGATTACGATATCAGGCGTGACACCGTCCCTTGTGAAGGGCATGTCCTCGTGTCTGTATGTGATACCGATAGTACCCTTCTGTCCGTGACGAGACGCGAACTTGTCACCGATCTGGGGCACCTTGGTTGTTCGTGTGCGGACCTTGACGAAACGTAGGCCTTCTGTGTTGGTTGTGAACAGAACCTGATCGACGATACCGTTCTCTGTGCTACGGAGAGGCGTCGAAACATCACGCTTGGTGTGCAGCGAAGTCTTCTGACCCATCTCCTGTGCGTCAGCTGCGATAGGCGCCGTCTTACCGATTATAATATCGTCACCGGAGACACGAACACCGGGCGCAACAACACCGTCGTCGTCGAGCTTGTCGTATGTTCCTCCCTTCAGCCTCAAAGTATCAGCACGCGTTGGCTTCTCGAACTGTTCCAGGACGTTGACACCAATGCGCTTCTCCTGCTCGGTGTACGCTCGGTAGAACAGCGATCTGAAGAGACCACGATCGATACTGCTCTGGTTCATGATGACGGAATCTTCCTGGTTGTAACCGGAGTAGCAGGCGATGGCGACAATAGCATTTTGTCCAGCGGGCAGCTCACGGAACTTGAGGTACTCCATGGATCGTGTTGTGGCGAGCGGTTTCTGGGGATAATAGAGGACATTCATCATCGTCTCCATGCGCAGAGCGTAATTTGTCAGAGCGACACCCATGGCTTGCTTACCCATGGCAGATTGGTAAGTATTACGGGGCGACTGGTTGTGATCGGGGAAAGGGATGATACTGGCACAGATACCGAGAATCATAGCAGGGTGAATCTCACAATGCGTGTAGGCGTGGATGCGAGGGTCCGGCTTGGGCTTGATACGTGCGAGGCGATCCTTGCCTTGTGGGTCGCGAGCATCTTGTGGGATGCCCATCTTCATGTCGCGCCATTCGCCGAGGTCCTCGGGTGACATGACAATCATGGCAGTCTCCTCTTCTTCAGCGTCTAGATACTCGATGACACCGTCTTGGATGAGTCCCTTCCAGCCATATGTGAGCTCGCTCTTCTCCTCTTCACCGGCACCTGCGGCAGCCATCGCCTGCTGCTCCGCTACCAGTTTGCTGTAGTGCTCCTGGTTGAAGACGAGGTGGTTACGGTTTGGCTTGCGGACATCGCTCTCGACAACAAACAGCGGCCTCATGACACGTCCAGCATCGGTGAAGATCTTGAACTCTCGGTCACGAATGTCACGAATCAAACTCATCTCGTAGGAAAGAGTTCCGTTACGGCGCAGCTCCTGTACGGTCGACACAAGCTGCTGTGCGTTGGAGTGCACACCGACCCATACACCGTTGACGAAGACCTTGGTGGCATCAGGATTCTGGTTCTGGTCGTACTCCTCAAGAAGTTGCATATTCCTCTGGCTCATGAAATCAGAGATGGGCCCGGCATCACTACCAACACTGACGTAGCACATGAGAGACAGGTTCTTGACCAAACCACAAGCCTGTCCTTCGGGTGTCTCGGCGGGGCAGACGAGACCCCAATGACTGTTGTGCAATTGGCGGGGCTTCGCAAGCTTGCCGTCACGACCAACGGGTGTGTTCGTTCGTCGCAAATGGGACAGTGTCGAGGCGTATGTGTATCGGTTCAACACCTGGGAGACACCGGCCTTTGCAGAAGCGGCTTTCTTCTGGTCACCCCAGTTTCCTGTAGCGAGCGAGTATTTGAGACCGTTGGTGATGATGCTGGCTTTGACGGCCATTTGCACGTTAAAGTCCTGGTTATTCTCAACGCATCTCTGGAGGTACTTGTAGACATCCTTGGTCAACTTCAGGAAAAGGATGCGGAACAAGTTCGCAATCAGTGGCCCTGCGAGATCGAGACGCTTCTTACCGAAGTGATCACGATCGTCCTCGTCACGCCGACCAAGAACACACTGCAGCATGCGGTGGATCATATAACCGAAGAAATAGGCCTTGCGGGTATCCTGGCCTTCTCGCTGCGAGATGTGAGGAAGAAACTCGCGCTGCATGATGTCTCGCGCAAACTTAAGACGCCTGTCCTTTGTGCCTTGTGTAGCTCCACGCCTGGCAATGAAGTCAAGCGCAGACTCGCGGTCTTGAACCACCGAACCCTCCTCGATACTGGGCTTGAGCAGCTCCAGCATCTGTGTATCTGTGCGGTCGTATACTATGTGTCCGAGGATCTCTTCGTCCGAGACGATACCGAGCGCGCGGAAGACGATGGCCATGGGCACATCGGCCTTGATGTAGGGAAGTGTGGCGTAGGCGAAAGGTCCAGGCATGCGCTTTCCGCTGGCAAGTGAGTTCTCAGCCCACTTGATGTTGAAGGAGGAGATCAGGCGAGTTCCCTTCTCGACGGCACTTCTAATCTCGGCAATCCACGGGATAGGGCCCTGCTTCTTGCGGAAGACCTGGACAATATTCGCAGCACTGCGCTCCTGTGCGATCAAGACCTTCTCGGAACCGTTGATGACGAAGTAACCGCCCTGATCGTATGGACATTCATTGAGGCCAAACAGCGCCTCGTCGTTCTGCGAACGCAGATGGCAGAGTTCTGACCGCAGCATGACAGGCAGCTTTCCAATAAAGACACGTGCTGACTCGTCGCTGTCCATGGGGATGTCCTCGCGGTCCCAGCGAATCTGTGTGACGCCTCCGCCTTGCCCCTCCACCTCATCGTCGTCATCCTCAGGGGGTATTGTGGTCTCGCGGGCGACCATGATACGATTCTCGATGTCTGCCAGCATGGCGCCGGAGTAGGTGAGGTTGCGCAGACGCGCCTCGTGGGGGTAGAGCTGCACGGTTGTGCCGTCGCCCTCGGTGTGTGTTGGGCGCGCAAGGTAGACACGGCCGAACTTGATCTCGTAGCGGCGCTTGATGATGGGGTCGACGTCCTCGTCCGGGTTGTAGGGCGTGTTCTGCTCGAGGATCACGCTGCCGTTCTCCTTCACGATGTCTTGTATTGTGTTGCGCGTGAACTCGTCGTATGAGTCCAGCTGCTGCGACACCAGACCCTTGGTGTCGAAGAAGGAGCTGATGACAGCCCAGCAGTCCTCAGAGGTGATGGCGCCGTCCTCCTCGTCTTCGTACTCGTCCTCCTCCATCGCGAAGTCGTCCACGTACTCGGTCATGTTCGCGTCAGGGAATGTCACAACGCAAGACGCGCGGCCGAGAGGTATTGAGGTGGTGAGGGGGTGGAGAGGTGAGGTCGGGAGTTGTCGTGCTCCTTGTTCCTTGCGCGACGGGCGGCGACTGCCTCAAAGAACGTCGGAACCCTAGCGCGCTTTATGTCTTGGCACCGGCTCGACTCGACAGCCGTGCTTCTTCACCCTTGTAAGTATTCGACTGAGTGAAAACTGTTTTGATGCTTTCGAGCACACAGAAGAGCTTGCATTTGGTGTTGAAGGGTGAATGTACAAGTCGTTCACATCACCAACTGTCACAGAGAATTAGCCTTACATAAGCAGCCTATTTGGGGGTATAAGTGTAGTCTACATTTGCCACTTTTTAGCTGTCACACCAAGAAATAGGCAAATCGATAACCGACTGAACGTATAAGACGATCGTCCAAGTCGACACTTGCTGCACGAGAGGCCCCGAGTCACCTCGTGGCCTAGATCTTACTCTGTCCTTCCTGAGGAACTTTGATGACGACCTTGCCCCAGCTATCTCGGCCACCCAATGCCTTCAGCGCAGCGGGCACGCTTTCTAGTCCAACGTACTCGGTATCTGTGTAGCAAGTACCCCTGTACTTGCCTTCTCGCACTAGCTCGAAGATGCCCTCCCACACCTTGTCGACCATCTCAGGCTCGTTGACGGCGTACATACCCCAGTGCAACCCAACGACACTGACGTTCTTCAGCAAGATGCGGTTGGTAGCCATCTTTTCGATGTCGCCAGCAGCGAATCCAACGACCAAGAGCCTACCGTTCCATGCCGTACACTTCATGGACTGTGCAATGAGGCCAACAGGGTCATATACGATATCAACACCGCGACCCTTGGGAGTCAGCTTCTTGACCTTCTCAGGCCAGTCCGCCTGTCGGTAATCGATGGCGTAGTCGGCGCCGAACTTGCGAGCGATGTCCTGCTTGTGCTGCGTACCAGCAGTCGCGATGACGGTTGCGCCGAAGGCTTTGGCGATCTGAACGGCAGCAAGACCGACACCGCCAGCTGCTGCGTGAATGAGCACCCAATCACCTGCAGATGTTAGCGTTGCAAGCCAATCAGAAGACGGCTACGTACCCTTCTTGATATTTGCCCTCGTGACCAGACCAGCATAACTTGTGGGTGCAGTGACGAACATGCCCGCTGCCTCAGCAAAGCTCCAGCCCTCAGGTACAGGCTTCAGTTGCTTCTCGGTGCAGGCGACGTGTGTAGCATAACCACCCTGACTTGCGCCGAAGACCTTGTCGCCAACCTTGTACAAGGGCGTCTTGCCACCTGGCAGTGACGGCGGCGCCACGGTGATGACACCAGAGAACTCTGAACCGGCGATCCACGGGAAAGGCGGCTGGTGTTGGTACTTGCCGCGAATCTGCAGCAGATCAAAGAAGTTGGTCGCAGATGCGTGAATGGCGATCAAGTACTCGTCGTCTTTTGGTGTAGGGTCTGGGAAGGACTGGACCGTGAGATCATCTGGGCCCTGATAGTGTCAATACTGGCGATAGATGTGTGGTGGTGGATGTAGTACCTTGACATACTCCTTGATCTGAATGCCCTTCATCTTGATCAATGGGTGCTTTACAGATGGTAAAATGGGTGTTACTAAACAGATCAATCTGGTCTCCAACAGAGTGAAAGTAAGGAATTGGAGTCGTGGGAGATAATTGTACCGCAGCTCGGAGGAGACGACTCTCCGCAAGATGCCTCGGTTCAAGCTCGCTCGTCTGCTACCCCGACCTCCAGGCCGCGCCTGCCCCACCACAGCCGCTAACGACCAGCGGTGGGTCGCGCACGAGGTAGTGACGGCTTTGGTCCGTTGCGGTCTTTCCACTTCTGCGGCCTTCCACACCTGCACTGAAGCATACGGCAGCTCTACAACCTCGTGTTCCTTTCACCACACCACCTCTCAGACTCGTTATTACTACGCAGCTTACATAAGCTTCCTCTGCACCAGACTCGCTATTCACCCCACTAGACACTCGGTCGTTGCACCTCACTCCATCGCTACCCGCAGACATGGCCGACGACGCCACTGCTTCCACCGAGGAGGGCCAGGTCACGTTCAACGTCAAGGCTGCGAACGACCAGAAGCATGTCCTCACACTGCCCTCCACCACCACAGTCGCCGACCTCAAGCAGAAGCTGTCGTCACCAGACTACGCGGACATCCCCGCCGAGCGCCAACGCCTGATCTACTCTGGCCGCGTGCTAAAGGATCCGGATACACTTGGCGGCGTCAAGGTCAAGGACGGCCACACAATCCATCTGGTCAAAGGCGCCGCGAGCAATGCACGACAGAATCCGGCAAACCAAGGCACAGCGAGCACAGCCGGTGGCACAGGTACACCAACGCCCCAGGTACCCACAAACATCGCCGCAGGCACAGGGAATAACCCTCTCGCCGGCCTGACGGGTGCGCGCTACGCCGGCTTCCACGGACTGCCTTCGATGGACACGTTCGGCGCCGACGGAGGGGTGCGTCTACCCTTCAACCACGCTTGGGAGCTTGCTAACATGACGTAGATGGGCCCACCCCCGAACCCAGAAGCCATGCTTGAGATGATGGACAACCCCATGTTCCTGTCGCAGATGAACGAGGCTATGAACAACCCTGCTGTCGTCGACATGATGATGCAAAGCCCTATGGTATGTTTCAATCTGCTGCTTTCAGTCTTCGTGGCTGACCTGTGATAGATCCGCGACAACCCAATGCTGCAGCAGATGCTCCGCAACCCCGAGATGCGCCGAATGATGTTCAGCCCTGAGATGATGCGCATGCAGCTCCAGATGCAGCGCGGCATGGAGGGAAATGGCAGCGGTGGCGCCATGGCTGCCCCGGGGACCACAGACAACACCCCACAGCCGGCATCGACAACAGCACGCGAAGGCGCGAGCGCGACACCGCCCCCTTCGACCACTGCAGCCGCCGCGAATCCTTTTGCAGCGTTCGGCGGCGCTGGCGCCGGCACGAACGCCAACCCATTCGCCAGCCTTTTTACAGGGGGCGCAAACCCGTTCGCGCCGCAGACACAGGGCCAGGGAGCAGCAGGCACACCTGGTACAGATTCTACACAGAACAACCAGAACGCTTCCACAGCGCCTCCGAACCCCTTCGGAAACTTGTTTGGCGGAGCTGATGGCGGCCAGCCCAACCCGATTGCAGATGCAGCGCGCAACATCATGCAGAACCCGCAGGCGATGCAGCAGATGATGCAGATGATGGGTGGGGGTGCCGCCGGTGCTGGCGCCAACCCCTTCGGCGCCTTTGGACAGACGCCTAGTGCCGGTGCTGGGGCTGGAGACGTTGGCTCGCAACAGGCCAACCCCTTTGCCGCGCTCTTCGGCCCCGGAAGTGGCTTTGGCGGTGGTTTTGGTGGACCACCTGCACCTGCAGACAACCGACCACCAGAGGAGGTTTACGAGTCTCAACTCAGGCAACTAAACGAGATGGGTTTCTACGAATTCGACCGCAACGTCTCCGCCCTGCGCAGGAGTGGAGGCAACGTCCAGGGTGCTATCGAGTACCTGCTCAACGGCGGATCGTAGATTGGCCCCGTACTGGATCGGATGCGCCTCGAGCAGCAGCCAGTGACCGCATCCGGTACAGAACTGCAATACAACGAAGGGACCCCATTCTCTAGGCAACTTGGGATCGTCGGTCAAGTCATTGACCAACACCGTTCGATTCCTGATTTGGCACAACGACTGGGCGTCGAGGAACAGCAAGCACGATACCCATAGGAGGACTTTGGCGACGACATTGACGGCATTGTTGACACGTACGGCGATGATGAGGAGGAGTGGGTTTCCCAAGAGACTGATTGTGGCGAGGGGGGATATTACCTCGACAGCGTCTACTACGTCTACTCCAAGCCAGCAGACCGTTATCGTTAGAGTAGTAGGCATGCAGGGATTGGCATAGCGTAACATATCATGGAACGATTCTGTACACTCAACGATACACGTAATAGACTTGAGATTCGAAACATTTTGATTGAACCCCAGAAAGCGTTGCTCGCCCTGAATACTGGCACACCCTTAACGCCACTATATGCCGCCAAAATACATCATCATGCTCCCACCCACAGCAGTGTGCCCGAAGACCTAGCTCACCTCGGCGATGTTCTGCCTCTCGATGAAGCTCTCCTGACTTGCATCCCTGCCGACGCGCCAATACACATCGGTGTAGTCCGCACAGTTCATCTCCCTCAGAAACTGCTCGTCGTGCGTGATAACCAGCAGCTGGAAATTGGCCTGCGCGCGACGCATCTGGATGATGTGGCTCAGGCTCTGGGCCAGGCCCTGGATATTCTGCGTATCGAGGTTCGTCGTGGGCTCGTCGAGGGCGATGAGACCGCACGCCGCGCCGAACGACTCGGCGAGCGCGAGCCGAATCACGAGGCACGCGAGGACTTTTTGCCCTGCGGAGCAGCGCCCGCGCATGTCCATTGCCGTGTCCTGCTTGAGCATGACGACGCGGTAGTTGTAGCTGCGGTTCGCGCGCGCGTCCGTGTCGCCCGCGATGCGGATCGTGTCCACGTCGGTGCCCTGGTAGGCGTTGCGCCACAGCTCGGCGATGATGCGGTTTATGTCTGCCATCTTGAGGGCGTGGTACTGGATGATGGCTTTGTCGAGGGCGCTGGCGTAGCGGCCCAGGTCCTCGATGGCGGCGCGCGTCGTCTCGACGCGAATGTGTGCTTCCCGGTGGCTGCGCGCGGCGTGCTCGTACAGCGCCTTGTACTCGGCCATGAGCTCCGTCAGCTGGTCGTCCTTGTTCTTCATGTCGCGCTCGAGCGAGGTTTTGCGCGTGTTGAGCGCGTGGAAGCGCGTGTCCCACTGCTGGGCGTCTTGCTCGTAGTGCTCCTTGTCGCGCTCTGCGCCGTGCTCGTGGAGCTTTTCGATTTCGGCGCGGAGAGTCTCGAGCGCGCGTTTTGCTTTGCGGTAGCGCAGGTTGTCGCTGATGGAGCGCTTGGTCATCTCCGTGTCGCGCGTCGTGTCCTCGATCTTCTTGATCGTGCGCGTCACGTCCGTCATGGCCGACTCGATGCGCGTGATTTCCGCCTGCAGCTTCTCAATGTCGCGATGCGTGCGTGCGAGCTGCTGTGGGCCGCCGCGGTCAGTGTACGCGCTGATTTCACCATCGGCTTGGGCCAGTTGGCGGACGCTGTCGGATAGCCTTGACGCCTCGTCGTGCGCGCGCTGGACCTTTTCGTTACCACGGCGGTTGATGTCGTCGTAGTTGCACTGGGCTTGCTCGATTTCTGGGACGAGGCTGGCAATGTCCTTGTCGAAGCCGCGCATAGCCTCGCGTCGTGCGTCGTTTTCGCTCTTGAGCTCCTCGATCCGGTCAGCCAACGCGCGCTTCTCCTTTAGTTTCGACTGTGCGTTGTTCAGATCGGCGCTGATGTCGCGAATTCTGAGCTCCAGAGTCGTAACCAGGTTACGCGACCTGTCTCGCTCGGACGCGAGCTGGTCCAGGGTACTCCTCGCAGTCTTGCTATCCTCGGTGACTGTCTTCAGATCGGCCTGAACGGCATCGATGCCCCTTGACAGCCCAGCAGTCTTCTGCTTTTGTGTCAAGTCCTTGACTTGCGCCTCGAGCTTGACAATCTCGTTGTGGTTGTGGACAATGGTCTGGACATCCCGCGAGAGCGACTCCACATCCTGCTTCTCGGCTTCAAGGTCGTGGATGACGGCGTCTTGGTCTTCCAGCTGCTTGTTTGCGCTGTCGCGCTCCGTTGAGAGGTTCGCAATGTCCTTCTGGAGCGCTGGGATGTCGCTGTCGCGCAGACGGATTGCCAGCTCGTAGCTCGGTTTGGCATTGCGCGCGGCTTCCAGCTCAGCCAAGAGCTCTTCAGCATTGTCGCCCTGCATGTTCATCTCGGCCTTTTCGATGATCCTGTTCAGCTTGTCGATGAACCCAGCGGCAGTGAACGATTGCGACGTGTCGTCATGCAGCGCCCTCTGACACAGTCGACAGGCATTGTCTCGCTCTGCGGTCATGAGACACTGCCTCATGTACTCGACCTGCGCCTCGAATTTCGCCTTGTCTGTTGATGTGGCGTCGTAGTCGTCCTCGAGCTGCTGCAGTGCCTCGTCAAAGTCGCTGACGTCGTCCTTCTGGATGGCCTCCTTCACAGTCCGCTCGTACTGCTGCAACTCGGAACGCTTCTTCTTGAGCTGCGACTCCAGGCTCGATAGCTGGAAGTTGACGTTGTCGAGCTTGGCTTGCGCAATGTCACGTCTCGATGCAGCCTCCTTGACCTTGGCAGTCTTCTCCGAAAGCACGTCCTGGAACGTGTTCTCCAGGGTGCAAGGGTCCCAGTCAGAGTCGACGAGCTGAGACAGACGCTTGTTGTGGACCTTTTTCATCTTCTCGAGACTGTGCTGCTGCCCCTGCAGCTCGTTTCGTGTGTAGTCGATAGACGCCGACTCGCGAGCCTGCTTCGTGGCGTCGCCCAGCTCAGCCGTCAACCGCTCCTTCTTGTCTTCCAGTGCTCGCACCGACTCTGACGCCTCTTGTATCCGCTCGTCGAAGCGGGCCGAGGCTGACTCTGAGGTGGCCCCGTTCAGCTGCTTTTCGGTCTCCTGCTTCTTATCCTGCAGGATGGCTTCGCTGCCTTGGTCTGCCTTGATTTGGTTCATGGACCGTTGCAGATCTGAGATGCGCCTGTCGTTGCCTGTGATTGTTGTTCGTGCAGCCTCCTTGCTCTGGCTGAGGTTGGACTTGCGCGTGCTGAGCTGGTTCAGCTCGTCCTGCGCTTCGCGAAGCTCGCGCTGTGTGTCTTGTCGCACGCGATCGAGCGCCTTGTTCCGGTCGCGGGACATGTTGCCCAGCACCTGCTCAAAGTCCGAGACGTGCTTGGCCGTAATCTCGTAGTCGTAGCCGCGGATGCCGTGGCGCTTGGCGGTCTCTTTGATGAGAGTCTCGCGCTGTTGCAGCTGGCGGTCGTGCTGCTCCTTTTGCGCCTCGTACTTTCCAATCTCGCCCTGCTTCGCACCGAGCGATTTGCGGCTCTGCTGCAGCTCCTCCTTCAGGTCGACATACTGTTGCTTGGAGTCGTCCATTTGCGTTGCGTACGTTGCAATCCGCTCTTCGTACTGGTCGAGCATCTCCTGCAGCTCTTGGTCGGATTCGGCCATCTGCTTCAGGTTGTGCTGCAGCGTCTCTACGCTCTCTTGGTTGGCGTTGAAAGTGATGCGCTTGCCGTTCAGCTGGGCAACAATCTGCTCGAACCTCGCCGCGTGGTTGTAGGCCTCGTTGGCTTTCTGCTGCGCCTCTGCACATTGCCCGTCGACCTCCTCGTACCGGGCGCGGAGCTCTTCGATCTCGTCAAAGAGTGCGGCTTGGCGCTTCTCGCTCTTTGCGGCTCGCTCCTTGTCTTCCTTTGCGTTTGATGCGATAATCTTCAGCTGGCCAAGCTCGACGTTCCGATCCTTGCGGATCATCTTGATGTTCTCAATGGCCCTGGTGTACTTTTGCGCCTCGAATATCTCATCAAACTTGGTCTTCAGCGTCTTCGCATCGCTTAGCGGCCACAGGCTCTCCTCTTGATGGCAGAAGATGACGTTGTCCAGGATGGCCTTGGAGACGCCGAGATACTGCGGGATGATGGTGTCGAGCTCGGCGACGCGCGTGGAGATGGAGTGCTTCTCGCCGTCTTTCAGCATGAGCAGCGAGCCCTCGAGGGTCTTCTGGGTGCGTGTGTTCTTCTTCACCGTGACTTGCAGGTTGCGGGTGGCGACCATGCGCACGCCCGACGTCGAGCGGAACGACAGCTTGACCTGCGCCAGGAGCTCCTTCTCGTTGCGCAGGTTGGGGTCGTGGATGAAAGCACCGCCCGTCTTGCTGTTGGGCGGCAGGTCGCCTGTTGTTGCATATCTCAGCGACTCGATGATGGTCTGTGGGGCGTTAGTCTCGACGGGGGCAGGTTGGGGCGTCAGTCTCGACGGGGGCAGGTTGGGGCGTCAGTCTCGACGGGGGCAGGTCGAGGCGTGCACACACCGTCTTTCCAGACCCGTTCCAGCCGACAATGAGCGTGAGCGGCGAGGCGAAGACAATGGTCTCGCCTTTCTCCGGGCCAAAGGAGCGGACGCCCTGGATCATCATGCGGTCGATTTTCGACATGGCGGCGGTGGACGCGCGGTGGACGCGCGGTGGACAGGCGGTGGACAGGCTATGGGCAGGCGGTGGACAGGCAGTGTACTGGCGATGGACAGGCAGTGTACGGGCGATGGACAGGCAGTGTACGGGCGATGGACAGGCAGTGGACGGGCGATGGACAGGCTATGGACAGGCAGTGGCCGGGCAGTGGCCGGGCAGTGGGCGGCCGGTCGTGCACGCAGGACGGTCAGTCGTGCATGCAGGACGGTCGGTCGTGCACGCGGGGCGGTCAGTCGGTCACGTGGGTGGTGAGGGTGGCGGTGGTGGTGGTGAGGGTGCGCGAGCCAGACGCGCAGTCACGTGCGCTGCCGGTGGCGGTGGGCGTGGGCGTCATACAGTCCCTAGTGCAGCACAACTTGGCATGCGGGCCATCGTGCACGGCGCGTTGTGCCGCCCCTATTGTATGAAGCAGCGGGCCTCACGAGCAAACCTCAGCAAATCATCGCGCGTGCGCCGGGCGTCCGAGACGCACAGCAGACAGGGCCACACGCGCGGTCATGTACCCCAACGGAGCGGCTGAGGCACGCCCAGGCGCGCAGGCCCCACACGGAGGCGGGCAGCGGCTGATGGATGGGCAGATGGGCGGCCACGGCGACGCGCGACGGCGGCCGCTCGTCAACTCGACGCTCCACCACGACCCGGGCAGCTCCGGGCGCAGCAGGGCCGGCGACTTTGATGGGCTGCAGCTGGCGCTGATGGACAGCAACGCGATGCCGATGAGCCTGGCCCTGGACCTGGACATGGACCTGGACATGCTGGGCACCGACGACGGCACCAGCACCACCGGCGGCGGCGGCTTCACGCCGTTCGGGTGCCATGCGCAGGGGCAGGCGCTGCAGACGGCGGGTCTGCAGACGGCGGGCGGCCTGCCCCCGGGCAGCGCGCCCGGCAGCATCGCAGGCGGCATCGCAGGCGGCATCGCAGGCGGCAGCATGGCGACGACGACGACGACGACGGCCGCAGGGCTCTCCGGCGCGGGCGCGGGCCCGCTGCCCACGGGCTTTGGCGCGCCCAGCCTGAACCCGTCCGGCAGCACGCTGACCGAGTTCACGAAGCGGCGCAACTGGTCGCAGCGCGTGCTCGAGGAGCTGCGCGACCTGCTGCACATCCTCACCCCCAACGGGCGCATCCTGTACGTGTCGCCGTCGTGCAAGGCGCTCACCGGCTGGGACGCGCCGCAGCTGGTCGGGCGCTTCATCAACGACTTCATCCACCCAGAGGACATTGGCATCTTCGTCAAGGAGTTCAACGAGTCGATCGCGTCGGGCAACCCGCTGCGGTTCTTCTACCGGTTCCGCCACGCCGACGACTCGTGGCGCATCTTCGAGTCCCACGGCCACCCGCACCTGACCAGCGACCCGAGCTCGTTTGCGCCGCCCAACGCGCTCAACTGCCGCGGGTTCTTCATCATGGCGCGGCCGTACCCGACCAAGAACGCGGCCCTGCTCGACTCGTTCCTGGAGCACAAGATCGAGAACGAGCGGCTGACCAAGCGCATCGCGGAGCTGAAGCGCGAGGAGCAGGACGAGCAGGGCGAGCAGGACGAGTCGTCGCGTCGCGGGCCGCAGAGCCAGTCGGGCGCGCCGACCGAGTCGGTGGTGACGCAGAGCGTGCCGCCCAGCGACGCGGCGTCGTACGCGCAGATGCCGCCGCCGGCGAAGCCGAGCGTCTCCAACACGGCGCTGACGCGCCAGAACCTCGACGAGGTGCTGGCGGCGAGCCGCACCGAGAACATCAGCGACAAGATGGCGCGGTACGAGGGCGCCAACCACCTCGAGACGATTGAGATGCTGACGGGGCTGCGGTACCGCGACGGCGAGCGGTCGCAGGGCATCAGCACCGGCGACGCGAGCCCCGTGCTGATCCGCGGCGACGCGGGCATCCAGATCTCGCTGGACCGAGACGGGCGCGGCGCCTCGGATAAGAAGAAGAAGCTCAAGCTGGCCGACGAGTACGTGTGCACCGACTGCGGCACGCTCGACTCGCCCGAGTGGCGCAAGGGGCCCAACGGGCCCAAGACGCTGTGCAACGCCTGCGGCTGTAAGTGCCCCTTCCTGCGACGCGACCTCGCTTTGCTAACACGGTCAGTGCGCTGGGCCAAGAAGGAGAAGAAGAGAACCAACCCCAACACGCCCGGCCACCACTCGGCCTCGGCCTCGACCCCCGGCCTGCCCATGCACCAGAGCACCGGCAGCAGCTAGACTGCAGTGGAAGACGTGAATCGGGCAGTAAAGGACGTGAATCTGGCAGTGGAGGACGTGAATCTGGCAGTAAAAGACGTAAAATCTGACAGTAAAAGACGTAAAATCTGACAGTAAAAGACGTAAAATCTGACAGCAAAAGACGCAAAATCTGACAATAAAAGACGTAAAATCTGACAGTAAAAGACGTAAATTCTGACAGTAAAAGACGTAAAAATCTGACAGCAAAAGACGTAAAAATCTGCCAGTAAAAGACGTAAAAATGGCGACACGCAGAACGGCAACGTGTTGAATACGGCCACACGTTGAAGCAGAGTGCATAAGCTAGAGTAGAAGATGCCACATCCCAGACATGTAGTGCAATATCACTAGATTCCAACAAAAACACCTACACGGCCCGTATCAGCGTGAGATGAGACAAACGCCTGGTCGCGGCCCTCCCAGGCCTCGATGTCGCTACACCACATCCCTAACCCTCCTGCCACCTCTACCTCTACCCTCCCCCCGACAAAAAACCCTAACCCCCCTCCCCTCCGCATACCCCACCGCATCCCTCCCCACCACCCTGCACCCATCCACCCTAACCGTCTCCAGCCCCCTCAGCCCGTCAACCAGCATCTTGACACTCGCGCCCGTCACCTGCGACGCAGATAGATCCACCACCCTCAGCCCGGGCGCGCGCGCGGGCAGCATCTCGATCTCGTCGTCTGTTACGGGGAGGTCGTGGAGCCGCAGCGCGGTGAGCGCGGCGGTTAGGATGCGTGGGGATGTGGACAGGACGCCGTCGCCGCGGAAGAGGCCCTGGGTGAATGTGTCGAGGGTTCCGGACAGAGAGAGCTGCTGTAGAGGTGCGCCGGGCTGCGCGGAAGGCGTGCTGTGCGTCGAGGCGGTTGGGGCGTGGTGGTCTAGTAGCGTCGCGAAGGTTGTGGCGCTGAGGTTGCTGAAGCCGTCGAGGGTCAGGTGGGTGAGCTTGGCGGTTGGGCTGGCTAGCATGTTGGCGTGGGACGTGGCCATGTTGCAGCCCATCGAGAGCTGTATGGTGAGGTGGGTGAGTGTGGGCGGGAGGATCGGAAGGGATGCCATATTGACGCGCGTCAGGGTCAGTGTTTTGAGCGGCAGATGCGCGACGGGCAGGGTGCTGATGACGAGGTCGGTCAGGACGAGGCTCTGCAAGGAGGGCGTCAGAGTGAGGAGCTTATCCATGTCCATTTGGTGGGTGTTGGGTTTCATCGGCATCGTGGCGTGGAGATGTACAAGGTTGGGAAACGGGCCTGTCCAATCTGCCTGATATCGATACGTCTGCAGGGCTCGATACTCGACGTGCTCCAGCTTCTGACCGTAGCGGAGTATTTGCGTGGACGTATTCGTAGTCACGTCGGAGTGGACGACGAGCTTCTTCAGATTCGTCGACGATTGGACCATTCCTATCAGCGAGTCTGCCGTTTGCGCGGGCAGCGATAGTATGTTGACCTCATCCAGGCTCTTGCAAGCCTTGACGAGATTCTTAACCACGTCCATATGCTGGAAACGATGCAGTGTGAGCTTTTCGAGTCGATACTGGGACCGTCGTACGGCTTTGTCGACAAAGCTGCGAGGAACGGGTCGTCTGGCTGCCGACATATCGAGATGAAGCCATAGGCGTGGCAGCTTCTGCAGGTAGTCACGCCACCCTCGGCTGACGCGCATGCAGTTGATCATGTTGTGGAAGGCGAGGTATTCGAGTATCATTTCGGCAATCTCGACAGGCAGGATGGTGAGCGGGTCGACGGCTTTGGCGGGGGACAGCTTGCGGGTGAGCTTGTCGTGCAGCTGCTGGAGGAGCTGCAGGCTTCAATATGAATCCTCAATGTGTTCTGGCGTCATCGGGTACCTTGAAGTTCTTGTCGTCGACCGGGACATGCTTCATGCCGTATTTGTATATCCCAAGCGCAATCTCAGGCTTGCCAGACTTCTCCAGTACGGCGGTAGTGCGCAGGTATCCCCTCACATCCTGCTTGTCGAGCTTAATCATCGCTCTGCCGTCCCTCACTGCGGCATCGTAGTCGCCGAGCTTGTCGTAGCACGCGGCGCGGTGGTCGTGCAGGCCGAGCGTCGGGGACGCGTCAATGGCATCATTAAACGTCGCCAGGGCCTTGTCGAATTGCTTGAGCTTGTAATAGCGACGGCCGAGCTCCTGGTATTCCTCAGGCAACAGTGGGCGGGGCATGGTGGGTGTGTTAGCTCCAAGTGGAGGCGTGGAGCCGGAGGTGACGCGACGCGTTGTCGCGTGCGCAGGTGATCCATCTATTTAAAGTTTCAAAAATAACAGCATTTTCACTGCCACCAGGCTTTCGCATCGCTTGAAAATCTCTACATCATCTAGACAGGATTCTTATGAGACTGAGTTCCATTGATAATGTTATGACTATCCTATGGACTCCAAAATTGTACAAAGTGCCCTCGATGGCTGGGTGGGTATCTTATCGTAACTCATGAACTTGATGCAGCAAGAACGCTCAAAATGCTCAATTGACACCTTGCAATGCTTCGAGAACGCCGTGCAATGCTTCGAGAACGCCTGGCCGAGTTACTGAACCCAGTGGACTGATCCGAGGGTCATGTGGAGATCCTTGACAGGAACGCGTCACATACCCAAACGAGATGTGATACTTACCAACTTACCGTTGCGCGTAGAGTCGGGGTATACTGGCTCCGTTGCGCAAGCCGGTATGTTGATGCAGCAGTGACATAGTCCGTGGACAATGGCTGTGCTGGGTATTGATAGTGGTGCTGTGGCCACTGCTTCTCCCTCCTCCGCTCCTTCATCTTCTCTGGTGACGACGCTTAGCGAATCGTCATCTGCTTGGTAGCGCTGGGCTTGGTTGAGACGGCACCGGCGGCAGCGATAGAAGGCTGGCCGGGCTTCTTCTCAAAGACCTTCCAGAACTTTAGCGACTCATCAGCAGCGGCCGTGGCCAGCATCTGACCATCGGGGCTGAGGCAGCTGTGGAGGACACGGGACTCGTGAGCGGGAATCTCCATGTTCTTGACACCGGTGGGGTAGCTCCAGATGCTGAGGCTGTTGTCAGGGAAGCCGCCGCTGCTGACAATCTCCTTGTAGTGAGTGCTCCACCTCAGGCTGGTGACCTGGGAGTCGGTGGCAATGTGGTTGACGCGAGCACCAGTGGTGGTGTTCCAAAAGTAGATCTGACGATCGTTGGAACCACCGCCAGTGGCGAGGAGGTTGGATTGCCAGGGGCACCAGGAGACAGCCTTGACGGCAGCACGGTGGTTGGTCTTGGTAAACTTGGGTGCAGCGAGGGAGCGTGCATCCCAAATGGAGACCAGGTTGTCGTTGGCGCCAGTCGCGAGCTGAGCACCGTCGGCGCGCCACTCAAGACCGCAGACTTCGCCAGTGTGAGAGACGAGCTCGGCGATCTTGTGCTGGGCGATGCGAACATCGTGGTTGTAGACCAGCCCCGATCGAGCGCCGGTGGAGAGGATGTGCTTGTTCCAGCCCATGACACCGACACGGGTCTCATGGCCGAACATGCTGCGGAGCTTGGTCTGCTCCTCGACGTCCCAGATCTGAACCTCACCAGTGCCGAGGCCGACACCGACGTAGGCACCGTCGCCAGACCACTTCACAGAGGAAATGTACGTGTCGGCAGAGCACTCGAGCAGCGAGGAGACAGAGCCAGAGTCGGCTGACCAGACGTAGACGTTGCGCTCGAGACCAATGGCGACCTGGTTGCCAGAAGACCAGTCAAGCAGGTTGAGGTAGTAGTCGTCGACAAGGCCAGGAGCATCGAGGACGCGCTCGGGTGCGGAAGGAATGCGGCGACGGCTCTGTGCATTGACGCCGCTGGCGGGCTTCAGAGGGCGGTTGTACTGCGATCGAAGGTCAATGGGTCTGGATGACTCTGGTGCGGCAGGCTTAAAGGCAAGGATGCGCTGGTTCTGGTTGATGCCACATGCCGAGGCAAGTGTGGACTGGTACGCGACTGTCTCTGGGGCAGGCTTCGCCTTTGGCTCGCTCTCCCCATCGTCCTCGCCGAGATTCAGGCCCTCGAGCGCAAGTGTGACGTCCTCCTCTGACCCACGGCCGCCGAGGTCGAATGCACTCGCAGCGTTAGCCAGTACTGTGGAGCCCTCCGCCTTGGAGCTGGACTTTGGCCGCGACTCGCGGTCGATCTTGCTAGAGCCAACTGTCGCAATGGCGTCGCTGGCCGTCCGGTTGGGAATAAAACGGTCGGCGGAGTTGTATGTGATGCGGGTTTTAGTAGGGCGAGCGCGCACTGCACTCTCCTTCTTAGCTTTGGCGGCGACGGGAGCCTTTACTTTTGTCGTGTTGGTCGCGGTTCCTGTGAGCGACCATTCTGATACACCGAGTTCGAGCCGCTTTGGCGAGTGGACGCGGGCAATGTTTGACTTGGGAGAGGGCCTCTGGCTCTTGGAGATGGAGCGCTGGAAGCGGGCCATGAGGTTGCCGTCGTGGATCGACCCTTGCGCCTGCGCATCAGGAGTCTGTGTCTTGGGTGTGCGGGGAGACGGAGTCAATGGCATCCGGCCGCCAGCGGCACGGGTGGAGAAGACCGAGTTGCGGTTCTTGACCGGCGTCAGAACAGCTGGGCTGGCCATGACTGCGAGCTTGGCTTGCTGAGGTAGTGTCAGACGAATGCACGCACGTGAAAAGTGGGGCGCCCGTACAGTATGGTCTTTGGTTATGCTGCTGTAGGTTGGTAAGATTAGTATTAGATGCTGCTGTAATCGATGCTCTGAAGTATTGATTGGAAGTGGGTAGTCGAAGGTAGTTGTGCGTAGCCTGTCTGGGAGACAAGCAGGCAGAACTATGTGGGATGTGAGGTATGAGATGTGAGATGTGCGGTGGTGCAGTATGGCAGCGATGGCTGTCGAGCAGGCAGCTGCTTCCTTAAAAAGGGTTTGTTTACGGTAGGCGTTGGCTGGGCGACAGCTCGGACAGACCCTTGACCAGCGCTGAACTGCGCTGGCCAGGCGATGACCTCACCCCAGCGGGCCAGCGTGAGCATGAGTGGCCTCGCCGCGCATAGTGCTATGGCTCCTCCGGCAACGCAGAGAGGCAGTGCGCGAGCTGCGCGAAAGGACTCCACGGGGACAAGTCAGCTGCCCGCGCCGTGCAGTGGCTCACCGTCAAGGCAGTCGCTGGCGGCTGAAGTTGCTGCTGCCGCCCGCTGACTGGCGCTCTGGCTCGGTGCTTTTCTGCCGTGTGCTCAGCGCCCGTCAGCCTCACGGAGTGAACATTTTCACCACCCGACACAGGCTGCCCTAGCCTCAAGGGCCCCATATGCGTCCCCACTTGCCGTGCACCTCGCTCACACGCAACCCATGGCATACGCTCTCGCTCCGTCTGCCGCTGCCCTTCCCTTGACCACGCCCACCCCCGCAGCCCTCTCCACCCCGTCCCAGGCGCAGTCCACGGCCCTCACCGCCCCGCCTGGCAGCGGCTCCTCCACCAACACCTTCCTCATGTCTGCGAGCCCGGTGCGCGGTCGCAAGAGCATGGGCGATGGCTACAAGCCCAAGATGATCTCCACAATCGGCGCCAAGCCCGCCTGTCTCGTCAATGCCTCGGTCACATACGTCGGCGACGACCAAATCTACGCGTTTGGCGGCTTCGACCAGTTCACAGACGAAGTCTATAACCACGTCTTGCGCCTGAACCTGGTCACGCGACAGTGGAACCTCGTCGACAACTATGGCGACATCCCGGGCGTGCGCATGGGTACGTCGATTGCACCGAGTGTCTGCATGGAACGCTGGGCTAACCGCACGCAGGCCACACGGCGTGTCTCTGGCAGGGCAGCAAGCTGCTCGTCTTTGGTGGAGAGAACGAGCATCGCCAACATCTCGCGGACGTAATAGTATTCGACCTCAAGACGGCAAACTGGACCCAGCCTGAGCTGCACGGCGTGATTCCGCGCGGACGCGCTCGACACTCGGCCGTGATCCACGACGACAAGCTCTACATCAGCGGTGGACAGACCGGCCACGACAGCGTGCTGGACGACATCTGCTACCTCGACCTCAAGACCTGGACCTGGTCGCGCTCATGGCGCTTTGTTCCGCGCTACGACCACGCCAGCTGGATCTCGAATGGCCGCATCTGGATCTTCGGTGGAATTAACGATGACTTGGAGAAGAACAACGAGATCTGGTGGCTCGATCTGCGCGGCAGCCCGGAGTTTGACAACGCCATGAAGTACGGCACGGGCGACCGCCAACTGACTTCGTCGCGACAACGGTCCCAGGCGCCTGCCTCTGGACACCTTGCTGCGACCGGTAGTACCGGCTACACGGCCAACTCCAGCGTACAGTCGTACCACACCATGAGCTCTAGCAGATCGCCCTACGTCGCGCCAGGCTCCATCTCCTCCCTCAAGTTCCATTCAAGTCCGAATCTTCCGTCCCAAGCGTCTGGCACGCATTTCCACGTCTTCTCGTCTGGCTGTCTCCTTGACTTTGTAACGCCAGCGGAACTCAACTGCGAAACCAGCCTGTCCAGTCTGGAGCTGGACACTCTTCGATGGCAAAAGATTGCAGACGGCAAGGAGCTCTACAGCCCCAACTACCGCTGGCATTACTGCACAACCAACCCTGAAGGAACGCACGCATGGCTGCTGGGTAGCCCTGTTGAGACGACAGCGGACGGCACACACAACAGCGAGTACCTCAGCGATGTGCTTGCGATTGATCTGCGCAAGTTTGGCATCTTGGGTAACGAGCTTGCTTCTGACGCGCGGTCGAAGACGATGCCATCATCAGACGCCAATGTCTCGTCGCATCTTACCGGTATAGGTGCTGATCTGTCCACGACCTTTGACCAGCCACCTGAGACCATGAGTGGCGCAGACTTCGTCATCACCGCAGATGCAGATGACGGCAATGACGTTGGCACAGAGCCTTGGACGGATGGAACTTCTGTCTCGAAACCAATCCACGTGCACAAGTTCATCCTACATGCACGATGGCCGCACTTTGCTAGGCTGTGGGCCGCTCAGATGTCCGAGTTCCATTCCAAGAAGATGCACATCCCAGAGCCATATCCAGCGGTCCGCGCCTTCCTGTTCTACCTCTACACCGACAGCATCGCACAGAACCCGTCGAACGGCCCCACGCTCCCCGATGTAGCTGGTATGCTCGTTATGGCCAACATCTACGACATGCCTCGTCTCCGCCTCTTGTGTGTCAATCGTCTGGCCCGCGAGCTTGACATTGAACACGCTGCGACCATCTGGGAACGCGCTGCTACTGCAGGTGAAGAGTGGCTTAAGCAGCGAGCCGCGGCTTTCTGTATGCAGAACTTTGGGCGGATCGTCCGCACGGCTGGCTTCAAGAACCTACCCGCAGACAGTCTAATCGAGCTCTGCAACGAAGCCACGCCCGAATCGCGTATTGTTGGTGCCGAAGAGCTGGAGCTGCTTGGCCAGAGTCGCTTCGGCAATGCGAGCAATCGCAAGAGGAGCCTAGGCAGCGCCGGCGTGCTGACTGCAGGCGAAGAGGAGGGCGATGAGGACGTGGAAGACGATGGCATGGACGTCAACTAGGGGACAGTCAGTGTATTCATGGCGGCTTGGATGCACCACTAATCTGGCAGGTGCACGGTAGAGGACGGCACTCTGATATCATCACAGCATTTCGGCGCGGCGCTTGGTTGTCTACTGGGAAGGAACGTGTCAATTAGCGTGACGACGCATTTCATAGGAGTTTGGATACCGCGCTGTCAGTCTACAGCATCTCACATAGTCCAAGGCGAGCTTCATACTCGTTCTAAACATCGCAGTCTCACTCTTCTGGTCCCGTGCCCGCCCCTTATTACGCCCCACGCTCCCCTCAGAGTGCCTCGTTTGCCTACCGCGAATACACTCACACACCCCGCCACAAACGATACAGCTCCTACTCGAAAATACAACGCCGACCATGAGGAAACCGTCCTCGTTGGCTTTGTGGCACTCACGCGCTGCGAGATTCGCAGAGACTGTTGTCATAGCTCACCTCGTGCCCGGCTATGTAGGAAATGCGATACTGAATGTACTGATATCTCGAGATGAAACACATAGCATACCATACCCGAATAACACATCGGCCAAGATCGGACTCCAAATAGGAACATGAAGACCTTTCCGGCATCCGGCACTCCTTCATTGGTGCGATTCCCGTCAGAGCTTCACCATACCTGGTGCCGATAGAGCGCGCGGCGGCTACTCTGCTGAGAGTGCGGTGAGCCTCGTGAGGTGTCAGTGTCAGAGAGATTTCATGACCTTCTTTAGCCTATGTATTTCGCCCTTCCGCTCCGCCACGGGTGTCATGTATTAGATCGGCAAGAGGGCCAATTGGCCCTGGTGGTCCTGCTCCTTTCTCGGCGTCGGAAATTTTGCTGTCTGCGCCTCGCCAGATCGCTGTGCAGATGAGGAAGATGATATGCTCGATGGTGGCGTACAAGTGGGCCCATTATAGTAGCCCCTTGGCCGACTGCAGTGGAGTTCTGGTTCTGTCGTCCGTGTCGGTGTTACTGTTTATCCACAGATCGTTGAAGGTGCGCGTTTCGTTTTGAAGTCACCAAGACCATTTAGCGGGTTGACTCCATAAAGGCGCATCCAGTTGATAGTTAAGGCTCTGAGACGGGTTACTTTGGTTGCAAGCCATCAGCCTGCGATTGCTAAAGCGTACTGATACTCCACGCCTGTCCAGTTGATCGATTTGCCGATTCCTTAGCTGTCGCGCACGCAACAGGGAAAACTCGTCAGCCAACATGACGTTTGCGGGTCGTGATTGCTCCACTTCATTTTTTTTGCAGTAATGGCAAATGGCAAATGGCAAATGCACACGGATCGTCAGGGCGTGCTATGTCGCTGATTGCTATCTCTACTGTATCCGCCATGTTCCCCGATAGCTCGTCCCGGAGAACGATAGTTGGCTATCGGAGCAATATGGCCGTCTTTGGTAATGGCTTTGGGCGATGATGTTTGTGGTCGGACAAGGTGGCGTAGTGGGTCTCAGCGAGCCACGGCGCGACAACGCAGGAGGCTGTTGAGGATACCAAGGCTTGTGAGGGCCAAAGACAGAACATGATCAGGGGTTTCATTTTGTTATCAAACTCTGGATGACTGAAGTGGCTTTCGTCAAATTTGCTCGCGCCAAATCGGCAGCACGCCGAGAACAAGATTTGGTCCGTGCAGAAATATCGCCGATCCCGTTGAGAAGAGGCTGGAGAATGAGCCTCAATATCGCACAGCCACATATCAAAGACCACCTGAAAGACTGATTGCTCCAGGACTATCAATGTTGCAACAACACCAATTTCACGACTGCATTGTTCATATACGCTGCCGTGCGTCGTGCTCGTGCAGCGCATGGCGGTGACCATCGTCGCTATGATGTCGCGGTCAATTACAGCGCGATCCGTAATTCCGTTTGCATTGCGCTCCTTCGTCTTGATTTAGAGGAAGCGGAGAAGTCCAAGCATTTCAATAATAGCTGAGGTGCTTTCTTGTGACATCTGCTACGGAACGCAAGGCACATAAGGCACAAGCGGGCCGCGTCACATGCCGATTTATCCGAGTGCTGTTATACATCTGGCTCCCAGGCCCGGAATTCACGTTTGATTCATCCCCATCTTTCATCCCACACAAAGAGCCGACAATGAGTACCAAAATGAACCAGCAAGCCGCAGATAAGGAGATACTGGGTCGAAGATCTACGGACCTTTCTACCGAGGCGCAGCTCACTGAGGATCCGGAGCAGCTGGCACACCGGAAACGGGCGCATTTCCACGGAAGACTCCTCATCGGTGGACTTGTCATCACCGTCGTGCTTGGTCTAGCTCTCGGACTCGGTCTAGGTCTTACTGTTGGTCGATTGCGCAGTTGAGAAGGAACTCAGACACATTGAACTCTAAGTTCAATCCTCTTGCTTTTCACCACTCTGTGGCTGCAGCAGCCCACCAATACGAATGGAAGACGCCCCCGCCGGAATTGTTCCTCACAGCACCATGCCACCCGCCAAGAAAGGAAAGGTGGCATACGACTACGCACCGAATCGACCCCAAATTTCCAGAGATGCGGGTTTGAAGGAAGGACCGATTTGGCGTTCTTTTCGGGCCTCACCTTGCCCAGTTCGTTCGGTATACCGCCTCCGTCTCCAAGCAGGATGTATACTACAGCGTGGGAAGCTTACACCTTTCCGTCTCACCAAACCATCTGAGAGTCACCCGAAGCAAGTTGGGTGGCAGCCCATCCGACCACAAGCCTATCGAGAAGGCTGCCTCCTAGGAGGGCGCAGAACAGTCTTCCGCAAGACTACCCAAGAATCTTAACAGCGGTCAAGAACAAGATCACTGCGCTCTCAATTCCTCTCGACCATGCTACAGAGCTACAAGGGTGCTGCTCTGTCGTCATAATCCAATCTTTTTGGTCATGCTGCAGCCCGAGTGCTTTATGGGAAGTCAAAAGGTTGTTGAGGCACCGACACAGTCTTAGGTAGTCAAGCTGAGACAGGTCCCAGCCTGAAAGAGGATTGCGAATTGTACGGTCTACCTTCTTGTACGAGATATTCAATATGATGTATTAGTGTGAACAGTCTTCTGGCCCTTCATTTGGAACCATTTCTCCACCTTTGGTGCCCCACAGGTCCCCAGCTCTGCGCCATCCAGGACGTAGGGAGCTCTTCAGCACAATGTTAGAAGTATGGGACCTCTGAAGTCTACAACGAGATTCCTATGCTATGGTCGACCTTGTCTGGATATTCGAAGGATTACCTGCCACGATCGTCCCCCAATGGTAACGCACAAACAGCGTCTGAGGGTTCCTGACCTGTATCTGCTGCAAACGCCACTCCTCCATCTTAACCACATCATCCGTTGCCCCCGTAGCCGCACTAGTACAGTCCTTATCCCACAGCGCCTGAATGGTAGTATACATACCCCTCAAGCTACCTCTGATGTACGCAAGATACATGTGCAGCCCCTGAATTGTTTCGAGCATCTCGTACGGCCCATCGACACTGTCATCGTGCTGGAACAGCAGATCCGCCAAGGCGTCCGCGTGCTTCTATCCACTATCGCGGTCTTCATGGTAATTCTTTGCCATGGGTTTGATGCGCTTGGCCGCACGTCCTGCGGTACGGACCAGGATACGTAGCCCGTTCCGTTCATCAGGATCGCAATCGGTCTTAGGATGAGACCTTTGAAAATAACCAGGAGGCGATCAATAGCGTAATCTAGTTCACCGAGCCAGGCTTTCAACCCCCTTTCGCGGATGGTTTTGGTACCCTGAGTTTTGGTGTGTTTCTTTGAGGCGGATTTGATTGCAGCGGATTGCAGTTCGTGCGCGTGGATCTTGACTTCACCGTAGGTAGAGGGAGGCTTGGTGATGCAGATCGCACCCTTCTTGAGCATGGGCTGCTTGAAGATTGGGTCCCATTTCGCTGCAAGAATTGTCAGTATGCGAGAGATATGAGGCATTCAGTCTCGATTCGCGGCATCCTTGTATTCCAATAAAATGTCTGATGGCTACAAGGCGAGAGCTGTGGATTATCTGTCGTTGACTTGTTGGCTGCACCAGCTTTGCCGCCACTCTCCGTGTCGAAGTAGCCGAAATGGAATGGGATGAATGTATTGCGTTTTTCAATATCACCGATGCTTACAGACAAATCAACCTTGCCGCGAATCCATTTGACGATGTTGCGGCAAACGTAGCCGCTGTATATCGATGGAAAACTGCGCTGAGTTGCTTGCTAGCTAGGAGGCGACCATATATACATGCCCTGAGACGTGCTAATCCAAGGTAGTCAACGGAGGTGACGATCGAGGCCTGTCGGACCGACTTGCACCGCAACAATACTTACATGTGCAGTGCATTCAAGCCAGCCTTGCTAACAAGCGCCAATGCATAGTACTCTTCGAAGAAGAATTGGCTGGTGGTATAGAACGCGATTTTGTGCTGAGTCAGGCGTCCGATTGTCTCCTTTGACTTCTGAATTATCATGACTATGGCATCGTCCTAGGAATTCCTCTTACATGTGGTTCACAGAACCCATCCTTGTTCACAAAACAAGTGACAGGATCATGATAGGCTTCTCTGAGTTGGCGCAAAGCTGCGGGGTCAAGTAGAGAAAAGTCGCAGGCTATAACTAGTCAAACTGCATTTGGGCCGTTTTGATGAGCAGCAAGAAGGCCAGCTGGCGGTACAATCTCCTTTTTAGTCGTATCCCACATTTTCACCAGTTCCACGCGACTGTCCACAGTCTTTCTTGATAGGCGCAACTCTCCCTGCTCGAGAGCATCATCAAGATTCGAGGTACCGGCCACGGACAAGTGAATAGTCCGCGCGCTTGATGCTGATAAGATGATGGTACAGCGGTTGGTCGGTTGGTGGTACACGTAGCAGATATTTCGGACACCCCGTACGTGAGGAACGACCTCCAGCGAGAACGAGAAGCTTTGGTGAATTCGTTTTAATTGCCAATGGATTGGTGTCCTCGTGCACCGCGTGGACAAACAACCTTTAGTAGTGCTGCTGGCGCTGAGTGTGGATTCTAGCGAAGGTGCGTCTACGTCATTTTGATGAGATTGTTCATGACGTGCAACACACCGCACACCCACATTCAAACAATTACGAAGTCAACGAGACGCAGTGTCAAGGATGCAGTCGTTGATGAAGAACGGTCGCATTAGGTCCATACAGTACGGCAAAGGAGTCAAGAATGCGCTAGGTAGCGAGGTTGCCCCACATAGATTGCATTCCGACAAGCCGCACACATGAATCCCGACATCCTCAGTTGATAATACCCGCTTCTCTATCGAGTCTCACCTTCTCCTTCTTCGCTTTCTGGATGTCAAGCGACATTTTCACGGGCGCTACACCAGGCGTCTCGAACACAGCATCGATTTCCTCCAAACTCAATTTGCTCGTCTCCGGGAATACAAAGTAGGATGCTACCGAACATAAGCTCATGAACGGGGGTTCACTACAAGAGGAGGACTTACCAACTAGCTGGAGCATGTTGTATACAATGTATACACACCAGATCTTGTAACCCACCTTGGAGATGCCGATTGAAATTCCGTACGCTTCGATGGCACCGCACGCGCCTTGAATTACACCATACAGACCCATACCCTTTGCGCGTAGAGGCAAAGATAGGATCTCGACCGGGTAAAGGTTGTGCCTAGACAATCTATGTCAGCAAGAAGCCCGCCCATGTTCGGGTCTGCGCTTACATGGTTGCGATGAATGTGGCGCTGATGACTTGGAACATGAACATCCACATGATTGTAAGAGCCGATGTTGCGCTGGATGGTTTCAAGCTATACTGCCAGGAGGTTATCGTGGCCGCTGTCTGCATGAGAACAATGCCAACCAGGCCAGCAAAGATCAGTGTTCGGCGCCTGAAGTAATCTACGAACCATCCACCAATGGCGGTGAACACGAAATAGGTCGCGGTCAGACCAAGATTCACTCCGAGCTGAGTTATGGGCTTGGTTACCCCGACTGTCTTGAGCGCCGGTGTGAGGTAGTACGACACAATACCTGCAGCAGTCAGGATCAGGTTGTACCTCTCGGCTGAACATACATACCTCCGCCGTTCCATGACTGGAACATCGAGTAGAGAATCAAGACTAGTAATCGGTAACGGACGGTCTTAGTGACGAAGACGGCGAAGTTCCAAGACTGTTTGAAGCCTGCGCGAGAAGTCTCGAGGGACTCCTCGATCTGCGCGGTGACTATATCGACTATCGGTTCATCCAAAGATCCGGACGTGGTCTGATACTTGGCAATTACCTGCCTTGCCTTCTCACGCTGGCCTCGCAGCATATAATACCTGGGGCTTTCCGGGGTGATGAAGTAGATGAGCGAGCAGACTATGGCGGGGAAGAACGTCTGTAAGAGCAGTGGGAGACGCCACGACCAGTTATTTGTGTCGCTTTCGGCCATTTTGGTAGTTCCAATCATCCCAGCGTTCATGGCCACACTGCCAATCTGGAAACAGGCGCCAAACAAACCGACGATGCGTCCTCGAAGGTGGACGGGTGCAACTTCTGCGATGTACTGAGGGGACGACATAAGTGCACTTCCGAAGCCTAAGAAGAATCGACCAGCCATGAAACACGACATATTGGGAGCGAGCGCTTGCATGAGCGCAGCACATATGACGAGAAAGTTACCAAGGAAGTTCACTCCACGGCGACCAATCTTGTCGTTGAGTGCCAGGAATGGAGCACCGACGACAGTACCAATTCGCATCAAGGCTGTAATGTGGGCAAACTTGACGCCGTCGATTTCGATGTCGAAGAATTTGTGCCATGCCGGGTACGCATTGATGCCGCCTATAGTCGCGGTACGGTCAGTATCTAGGCAACTTGAGAGACGAGTCAGCTCACTAATAACTGCCCAGTCGACACCATAGCCAGCCTGATTACAGCCTTGCAGAAAGATGATGAGGCAGATCCTGAATCCTGTCGCTGTCCAGAACTTCGGCATCGCCTCCCTTGATATACGAAGAAGATCCTCATCTGTTATGCGCTGGACGACAACTTCCTCAGTCGTCAGGACACCAATCTTTTCGTCAGTCACATCATGATGGAAAGACCTGATGTTCTCTTGCGGCGCCATGGCAGCTGTCAATTGCTCTCGGCAGTTGTGGGGTCCGAATCGAGATACAAGAATCCGTGGTCTCTCAGATCCCGTGGCGGAATCACTGTCACATTTGAACGATCTCACTCAGGCATTTGCACTTGCACCCTCTTGCAGCAGCAACGAAGCGGAGGGCATGCCTCCGTCTAGATCGACGTTACAAAAGCTTGTCACTCCAAGTTCACGTTACGAATCTGCAGCCCCATGAGGAAGCATGCATGCTGGGCGTTTGGTCCACAACTCACTACAGATTAGACTCCAGATTCAGGTTGGGATGAAAAGCGGAGTGTTCGTAATCTCGGTCACATGTAACCGCCGTGCGTTTGTTCATCATTTGTTCCGTCCAACCACTCTCCAGGGCACGCGGCTCACGACAACAAAGTGCATAAATGCTGGCACGTCGAAGTCCAGAGCATGGAGAAGGATCCGATCAGCCCAGCTCATCCGCGACATTAACCGGTGGCACATCGTTTGCAACCCAATCAGATCTCAGGCACCCCATGCTTCGCTACGACTCCCCCGCATCTGACTGGAATGGCGCCCTCCCGCTTGGTAACGGCCGCCTTGGAGCTATGGTCTATGGGGGCGTTCACAAAGAGACGTTGCGCTTGAACGAAGAAAGTGTCTGGTACGGAGGCCCGATGAACCGCACTCCAGTCGGAGCAAAACACCATCTCGATGAGTTAAGGCAACTTATCCGCGCCGGAAGACATCGCGATGCCGAAGTCCTGGTTGGGAAACGCTTCCTCGCTACCCCGAAGAGCATGAGACATTACGAGCCGCTAGGCACGTGTACGATCGACTTCGAGTATTCTACCGAGCAGCAAACTTTCAGGTCCGAAGACGTAGTGAGAAGCTACGAAAGGAGCCTTGATCTTACTCGGGCCGAAGCAGTAGTGCAATATGCTGTCAATGGAACCCGAGTGCGTCGCGAGATTATTGCTACGCATGCAGACAATACCATCGCGCTTCGTGTTGTAGCGGACGAGCAGATTTCTTTCAAGATTAGCTTGACACGAATGAGTGACATCGAATGGGAAGTCAATGAGTTCCTAGATTCGATCGAGATCATAGATGGGTGTATCGTTTTGCATGCAACACCAGGCGGTAAGGGCAGCAATAGCCTGTGCATTGTGGCAGGAGCGCAAGTTCACGGCGAAGGAGGCATCAAGGTTTTTGGCCGCGAGTTGGAAATCACAGCCAGAGACGCAGTCATTGTACTTGCTGCTCATACTCAGTATCGTCATAGCGATGTTCAACAGGCGGCGATGGTAGAAGTGGAAGGTGCAATGCGAATCGGGCCCGAAGCTCTGTGGCGACGACATGTCGAGGACTGGCAAATACTCTTCAACCGCATGAGCATTCAGCTGTTTCCAAACAACACACAGCTTACAACGTCGGAACGGCTGATGAATTCTCGCGATCCTGGGTTGACCGCACTATATCACGCGTATGCAAGGTATCTTCTCTTGTCGTGCAGTCGCACGTATCCCAAAGCCTTGCCAGCCAACCTTCAGGGTATATGGAACCCAACATTTCAGCCGCCATGGGGCTCCAAGTTCACGATAAACGTAAACCTTCAAATGTGCTACTGGGCTGCGCACGTTTCCAATTTATCTGAATGCGAGCTTCCGCTTTTTGATCTGTTGGAGCGTATGGCCGTCAATGGCAAGCAGACGGCGTCAGAGGTATGGGGGTGTCGTGGGTGGTGCGCACACCATTGTACCGACATTTTCGGAGATACGGAAACACAGGATCGCTGGATGCCGTCAACTCTTTGGCCGCTGGGCGGTGCGTGGCTTTGCACTCACGTTTGGGGATATTACAGCTTCACTGGAGACGGGTCACTGCTAAGCCGGATGCTACCTGCCATTGAGGGCTGCGTTGACTTCCTGCTGGACTTCCTCATCGAAGATGCGAACGGCCAATATCTCACCGCAAGTCCTTCCTTGTCACCTGAGAACACGTTCCTACACCACGAAAGCCAGGAGACGGGTGTTTTCTGCGAAGGCTCAACTATGGACATGGAGATTGTACGGCACGTCTTCAATGACTTCCTTCGAATCGATCGTGTCCTTGGGGTCAGCTCCAGCTCCATACATCGTTTGTCTGCTGTTGAATCTGCGCTGTCGCGGCTACCACCGATCAACATTAGCTCAAAGACCGGAACTATCCAAGAGTGGGGCCCCAATGACTTCGAGGAGACCGAATTGGGCCATCGGCACGTATCCCATCTCTATGCAATTCATCCTGGCAATACATTGACTACCTCCTCGGATCCAAAGCTTGTAGAGGCTGCGAAGAAGACACTGATGCGCCGGCTCGAGCACGGGGGAGGTCATACTGGGTGGTCGAGAGCCTGGCTCATAAACTTCTGGGCTCGACTAAGACAACCAACGGAGTGCTATAGAAACATCGAAGCGTTGTTGAGGGGCAGTACCCTACCAAACATGCTAGACAATCACCCACCTTTTCAGATTGATGGGAATTTTGGTGGAGCTGCTGGAATTGCCGAGTGTCTCGTGCAGTCTCACGAGGAAGCTCAATCCAGCCGGGAAGAAGGTCCTGTTCGGCTCTTGCGACTACTTCCATCATGTCCTGTTGAATGGAAGAAGGGGAATGTTCGAGGTGCACGATGCCATGGCGGTTTTGAGCTTGCGTTCGACTGGGACGATGGCCATATTCAGGACTCTGTACGCGTCAAATCGTTGTTTGGACATAGAGCTACTGTCGTATTCCACTACACAGGGGCAGATGCATCTGACAAAGGCATTGCAGTCGAAGTGCCTGCAGTCATAGGCGATCACAACATAAGCCGCGGATGTTAGCCGAGGTTAGCATTCTGACATCATTCACGAGTTGGGTAGTGGTCACAGCCTCGTATGCTTGAACAGCATGCGCACTGAACAACATGATCTCCTCCAACCGCACTCAGGATGGCCTACTGCAGAAAAATAAGGATCCCACTTTGAACGAGATCAATCTCCCCGAGGTCCCTCCCTTCATACACGATCAGTTCCTTTTTTTCGGCGACTCAATCACGCAGAGTGACGGAGATCCTACGCTTGGCTTCAGTTGCTACCAAGCTCTCCAACATGGTGCGATTGCTTCGACATCTATGCTTCTGATTCTGACGACAGATTCAGACTACTCAAGGCGCATCGATTTCGTGAAACGCGGCTTCAGTGGCTATAACACTGTTAATGCACTAAGTGTACTGCCCAGGATTATCCCAAGGCCAGGGCAAGGTCGAGTTCGTCTTCTCGTAGGTTGACTCATTTAGCCTGGAAATTGATGCTCATGGTCCGCAGAGCATCTTCTTTGGGGCCAACGACATCTCCTTCCCAGATACCACAGGGCAACATGTGCCTCTGCGTGTATTCGAAGAGAATCTACGACGCCTAATCAAGCACCCAAGAGTTCAGGCTCATGAAGACATCAGAGTACTACTAATCACGCCCCCACCAATTGATGAGTGGGGATTTGAACATTGGGACGAACCTGGAAGGTCGGCGCGGAAGGCTGCAACAGCCCAAAAGTATGCTGAGGGAGTGAGGAAGGTTGGTGAGGAAATGGGTGTGGCCGTTGTGGATTTGTGGACCGCATGCATGGAGGAAGCCACAGTGGGGTGGAATGCCTCACTTTTAACCGAACGCGGGGTCGAGATTCTAATACCAGGAGATATGCGCGCGGAGCGGAGCGTTGTCCTGGCGCGGCTGTTGTATGATGGTGAGTCTTCCGACGAAGCCCTGGAGCTATCCAAACAAGACACAGTACTGATCGCTCAACAACGTAGGCCTGCATCTCAGCGGCGACGGATACAAGATTCTATATCAAGAGATGAAAAAGACCATCATCGAAGCTCACCCTGATCTCCGCCCTTCCAAAATCCCGGTAGCGCTTGAGCCTTTCTTCCCGGAGTGGTTCGAGGATAACGCGCCGTGGTGAGCGCAAGGCTGCGAGCAAATCATGCCAGAAGCCTGATACTGGCTACTTATGGTATATAGTAGAACATCCTAATTCAAGGACGAATTCAAAATCAACGTCGTATCGAACACATGTCTTCGGTAACGTTTACTCCGGACACGAAGCTTTCCAATTCCGCCAATAAGCACAACGCTTGCCCGCTTTCATCCGCATGTACGTCCCGCAAGAGCTTACCGTATCGAGACCATCAACAAGCTTCACGTGTGTGTTGAATGATGATCAGATGCGACGACGTGCGTGGAGATCGACCTTTTGCCGGTAGGTCCACAACAGGTAGTTCCGAAGCAAGTATTTTTTGTTCCACAAAGTCCGCTGAACCACCCAACGCTGATTGTTGACCCCTCGAGACGATCTCAAAGACAATTTGGCAGGCATATTTCCATATCATTCAATCAAGTACGATACGACATGTCATGGACACATGCATTTGATGGCTCACCCGACGCCGAGCTCAAAAGCACCCTACCATCAGACTTCCACTGGGGCTTCGCTACTGCGGCTGCTCAAGTCGAAGGCGCCTGGAACAAAGATGGCAAAGGCGAATCAATATGGGATAGGTTCTGTCACACACCTGGCAAAGTAAAAGATGGAAGCACCAACGAAGATGCAACATGTGCTTATGATCTCTACAAGCAAGACGTTACACTCATGAAGAGCTTCGGTGTCACTGCATACCGCTTCTCGTTGGCTTGGTCGCGACTAATTCCACTTGGAGGCGCTGAAGAGCCGGTGAACGAAACGGGTGTGGAGTATTACAACAATCTTATCGACGAACTGGTAACGAATGGAATTACCCCCTTCGTCACACTCTTCCATTGGGATACACCACAAGCCCTAGAAGATCGATATGGAGGCATGCTCAATCAAGACAAGTACACGACCGACTTCGTACGCTACGCACGCCTCTGCTTCGAGCGCTTCGGCGACCGCGTGAAACACTGGATTACTTACAACGAGCCTGGCGTCTACACACTTGCTGGCTACGCAGCAGGCGTCCATGCCCCAGCCCGAAGCTCGTTCCGCGATCGCAACGATGAAGGCGACAGCTCGACTGAGACCTTCATTGTCGCGCACACCGAGCTTGTCTCGCACGCACACGCCGTGAAAGTGTACCGCGAAGTATTTAAGGAGAAGCAAGGAGGTCAGATCGGCATCACACTGCACGGCAACTACTCGGAGCCTTGGGATGCCAATGATCCGAAGGATGTCGCGGCTGCACAGCGCGCACGCGAGTTCGAAATAGCGTGGTTCGCAGACCCGATCTACGGACATGGCGACTATCCCCGGTCAATGCGAGATCAGCTTGGCAATCGCCTCCCTTCATTTACAGACGAGGAAAGGGCTTTGGTCAAAGGAAGTTCTGATTTCTACGGCATGAACACATACACTACCTTTTTTGTGCGGCATCTCGACGGACCAGCAGATATCAATGATCACTTAGGCAACGTGGAGAAACTCGACACAAACTCCGAGGGAAAGAGCAGAGGCGCGGAGAGCGATACTTATTGGCTGCGCACAGCACCTGAAGGCTTCGGGAAGCTGCTGCGTTGGATCTGGGACAGGTACCATGTGCCGATCTACATGACGGAGAATGGGACCACTGCGAAGGGCGAGCATGTCGAAGCGCCTCCACCGGAGCGTGTGCTGAATGACACGTTCAGGGTTGAGTTCTTCCACAGCTATCTTCGCGAGTTGGCGCGCGCGGTGCAGGATGGCGTTGACGTTCGTAGCTATTTTGGCTGGACATTCACTGACAACTGGGAGTGGGCGGCAGGGTATGAGGATCGGTTTGGGTGCACCTGGATTGATTTCAAGAGTGAGCACAAGACGAGGTATCCGAAACGGAGCTCGTACTTCTTGAGAGACTACTTTAGGCACTTGATCAAGGGAACATGAGGTAGAACTAGACCCGATTATCAATCAATATGAGGGTAGATACTCGATAGAAAAAGGCAACAGTAGCAATTACGAGGCGTAGCATTTCCTTTCCGAGGAACTTTGCCGACCCCATCTCGCTGGGCGTCAACCCATCAGACCTTGCCTAGTCAAAGATGTGATATGTATATTGCATGAATACTGGCTTACTTTTGTAATTGACCTAAGATACCGCATTCAATTTGGAGGAACCCCATAGTAGCCTATAGTCGGTCTTGCGACGGTCCACGTTGGGGTTCTTGGATTTTTCAGTTAAAGTAGCTTTGCGCCTAGTCGCAGCATCTGGCTGCGAGTCAGCATCAACCTTCTATGCGTACCACGAGTTTGAGCGATCTCTAGCTTCTTTGCGATACGCGTCTGAGTATCTAGAGCAGCGTTTATGGACCCCCATACAGCGCTAGTATCCAAACCGGAAGCAATCGCCTCCTCGATTTTTGCAGCTGCAGCCTCCCGGTTCAGATCTCCTAGCTGCCACTCGACGATCGGCTTGGGTTGTTGTTGAACGTTAGTGTCTTTGATCATACCCCAGTTAGCAGTCTCTTTACGTTTCATCAACGTGTAGATCCTGTTAGGACCATCTTTGTACATAGCTTTAGTATGTACACAGCACTGATTGAAATCGACTGCGAAGACGTTCATGCAGCGTACTAGGTGGTTTACCCCGCCTACAGTCTTGTTAATGAACTCGAGACAGCATGCCAGATGGAAGGTTTTGAAGTCAGACAATTTCTTCCCTCCAGAACTTCCGTGATGGGCACTGGCAAACTTGTTACAGGTCGCAGGGTTCTTCCATTTAGGTTCTAAGGTAGTCCAATTTGGTATCAGTTCCCTGAAAGGCAAGCTAGACGTAGTGATCTCGTCGTCGTCGTTGTGCACGGGGCTCCTTGTGAAGTGCGACCACCGGCACATCGACCGACCACACCGTTTTGCCATTTTTAAAATCTCTAATATGGAGAGCTCCAGTATTTCTGTTCTCAATCATTTCAGTGACCGTGATCGTGAGTTTGTGAGTTTGGTTCAGTGTATGTGAGGCAGAATTATGTGTGATGCGAATGTTGCAGCTGGTGTAAGTTGGGAATAGACAGAACACGAGACTTTAAACGTCAACATATATTGCAATGCCTCGAGATATTACTGAGACAGTAGTGAAGCTGATCGAGGTATCCCCTCCTGATTAGCGGAGCCGATACATCGCATGTCTTCAACTCTAAGTTCTTCAGATTTCCGATTAATGGAACTCAAAACACATGGCAGTATATGCACAGTTTTTCGAACTAAGACTAAACGATGTTGGCGGTAAGAGTGTCCTGGCTAACAACAAAGGGGTTTCCTCATGTCTTAGTTACTAACGTTGTGCACAACGCGGTTGTGTCTTTGTGTACTCATGTGTCTCTCAAACGAAATAAAAACATAAGTTAAGACTTTGGGTCCATTAACACCACACGTCTTTTACTTCGAACTATTCTACAGACACAGCATCACGCAATCCATATCAGCCTTGAACATTCCCACAGATACCTCCTGTATCGATACTCGAGACACTTAATATGTTGACCAAATTTTTAGACCACTTCCGACCGGCCAAAGAGGCATCACAGCCACCAGAATTCCAGGATGAAGTGGAATCGGAGCTGGAAAAGGAGCTGGAATCGCACGAGGAGGATGACGACGGTGACGATGATACCGGCCATCCTCGCTGCGATTGGGAAACTATCGACGCAATCCCAGAGAGCCGATATATAGACCTTGTATCGCGCACCTGCACCTTCTCAGGCCCCCTGAAAGAAGCCCGGTGCCTCGCCTACAAGAGAGGCACCTTCAACGCAGTCTCCTATGTCGGTGTACTATCGCGTGGCAGAGTCGACCTATACATCGTCCGTGTACCTGGTCATGCCACAGTCAATCACTGGACAGCACAAGACAAGTATATGATGCAGCGTGAAGTAGAAACCATCGAGTACATGAACAGGTACACATCAGCTCCCGTGCCACAAGTATGCACGTACTCGGGCGACTTTACCAACATCCTTGGTCACCCCTTCATCATGATGACCCACCTCCCCGGCAAGAGCGCGCATAGGATCTGGTTCGATGAAGAGTACGACGACGACCCCGACACGAACTTCCGCCTCGGGGACCTCCCATCTCCTGCGGTCGAGAAGAAACGCATCACATTCCTCCGCTCCCTCGCGAAGGCCATGGCCGAGATCAACACTCTGTCTTTCAACGAGACAGGCATGCCTATCATCCCGCTAGACGGCTCAGTAGCCCCATCGATCGGTGCACAGTATCAGTGGGACAACTCCGGCAGCAACGATTACATAGAGCGTCCAGTCTGCGCCTCTACACCGGACTACGTGCGCGCTCGACCCAGCTCGATGCGCATGCTTGACGCGCTCATCGCGGACACCAAGACGCAGAATTACATCCTTGGCGCGCGCAAAGTGCTGGACATGATCTTCGCCCAGCCCGTTTTCAATCCCTCCGAGTGCAAGGAGACGTTTACTCTGCACCACTCCGACCTGGATCTGCAGAACATCCTCGTCGACGATGAGGGTAACGTGACCGGCATCATTGACTGGGACCGCTGCGCCACTGTCCCACGTTGTGTCGGCGCGGCGTCTGCACCGCTGTTTCTGCAGAAGGATTGGATGCCGGCGTACCTTAACAACCTCGAGACAGCGCCACACCTGGGATTCACAACGCATCGTTATCGCCAGATCTACGCTGCCGCGCTTGCAGAACAGGGCTGTGAGGATGCGAAGTTCACGACGAAGAGCGCAATGTACCAGGCAGCTGCCATAGCGCTGTATGACCGCGATTGCGGCGACATCGACGACTTCCTGGGGAAGGTGTTGCGTTGCGTCCCAGAGTTTCGCGGCAATGTGAAGGAGACCACCCGGGCTTTTGGGATGGGGTGGCCGGCTGGTGAGCGCCTGTTGCAACGCCATCTGAAGCAAATCTTTGAGCCGGAGATGCCGGACTCGAATGTGCTTGCGGAGGCTGAGGCTGATATTGCTGCGATGGAATGGATGATTGGATTTGAGTATGCGATCGAGGATGTGTGCAATATTGATGATGGTTGCTGTAGTCTCCCTAGCGATAGGTAAAGATAATCTCTCGCAAGCACAGTAGTACTTAGCTGTGATGAAGAACTACAGTACCTTGATGATGATCTATATTGCTCGAGGGCGTTCAAATCATCTTTCATCTACTTCGTGTACAGCTTCTGCAAATGCTTCGCAATAGTCGTAAGCTGGATGTTACTTGTCCCCTCGTAGATAGCGCCAATCTTGCTATCCCTGAAGTATTTCTCAGCCAGCCCCTCTCTCACGAAACCCATACCACCCATCCACTCAACAGCCTGACCAGAGACCTTACCTGCGACCTGCGAGGCGTACAGCTTGGCCATGGCGGCGTCCATGACGAAATCTTCGCCGGCCTCCTTCTTGCGGGCGGCATTGTAGACGAGAGCGCGGGCGGCGCAGATCTCGACCCAGGCTTGTGCGAACTGGTGCTGCATGCCTTGGAACTCGCCGATGAGTTGGCCGAACTGCTTGCGGTCGTTCCATGCGTATCTGCCAACACACATTAGTATTAGATGCGAAGGATGGATGGTGGTGGACTAACCCAGCAGCGTTCTCGAACGCACCCAGTGCCAGACCAGTCATCTGCGCCGCAATACCGATGCGGCCCTCATTCAGCAGACCAATGGCGTATTTGTACCCGTGGCCCTCCTCACCGAGTAGATTCTCCTTGGGGATCTCAACATCGTCGAAGTTGATGACGCACGTGCTGGACGCCTTGATACCGAGCTTCTTCTCCTTCTTCGCGATGCTGAAGCCCTTTGTGCCCTTCTCGACGATAAACGCCGTGATGCCCTTGTACTTCTTCTCAGGGGCAAGGTTGGCAAACACAATGAAAAAGTTGGCCTCCACGCTGTTGGTGATCCACATCTTGCTCCCGCTGATCTTGTACCCGCTATCAGTCTTGACGGCCTTGGTCGCCAGCGCAAACGCATCGGATCCGCTCACCGGCTCAGACAAACAAAACGAGCCGACGGTGTTGGTGGCGAGCTTGGGCAGGTACTTTTTCTTGATGTGCTCGCTGCCCCACTTGAGGATCGCGGTGTTGACGAGCGTGTTGTGCACGTCGCACATGACACTCACGCTGGGGTCGACGCGCGCCAGCTCCTCAATAGCGATGATGGCGCTGGTGAAGTTCATGCCCGAGCCGCCGTACTCTTCGGGGATCTCAATGCCCATCAGGCCTTGCTCGAAGAGCTGCTCGACCACAGCAGGGTCCATGGCCTCTGCCTCGTCCATCTCACGGGCCTTGGGCAGGATGACTTCCGAGGCGAACTTGGCGACTGCTTCGCCCATCATGGCTTCAGTCTCGGACAGATGTGTGATGGGTGTGGGTGGGATATCGGAAATGTCGACAGCGGCATCGCGACGAGGTGCGGTCGAAGAGAGGCATCGTATTCTGCAGATATCAGCAATCGTGAGTCGTGCCAGCTGAGAGCCGGAGACATGGCATACTGGGGAGTGGCGCGTGTGACAGCAGGGCGGAGGGGGCGGCGGGACGAGGCCGTGGCTGCGCGGGTCAGTGGCCTGAGTGTTCTCGCGATTGAAGACATGATGTGAATTGTGCAGTGTTCTTGCAAAGGTCCAAGATACAGAAAGAAAATGATGGGAGGCGAGGCCGTGTTACGTGCAGCCGAGGCAGGTCACTGGCCGCTCTTGCCGACACCTGCCGATTGGAGCCGCAATCTGGGGTGTGGGGGGGTTTCTTCCCTAGCCAAATTTCATGTGACGAGAGCAAGCTGCAAAAGGCACAACACCTATGAGCGTCCAGGTCCTTGGAAAACCAAGCAACGTCCAAGCCCGATCTTTATTTTGACCGATACTTCTCTGAGCATGAGGGCTCATCCGATGCATCGCCTCAGACTTGCAATGTTCGCCGCATCTTGAGGACGGAATGATGTCGCAGGACAGTTACGGCCGATGACGCTGGCTGCATTGCCAAACTTGCCAATCTCGCTGAAGGAATCATGACGAGCACAAGCCGATGCATGTGGCACCTTGCGCACGAAGAGATGAAGATGGTAGGCGAAGATGAAGTTACCCAGCCTAGTCGAAGGAAATGCTGTGTGTTGACCGTGTCATGGTGTTGACCAAGTCGTCAAGAAGGAGCCATCAACTTCACAGGAGTCGTCGATCGCTGCGACATCCACGCATTGTCTCCCCTCAACTAGGTTGCCACTACGGTTGGACAATTTCAGATTGCATACGGGATTACAGTATTATAGGCATCAAGCCGTATATTGTCGGACTAGGTAACCAGCTACAGCCTTAATGTGAGTGCAAGAAGGCAAGGGTATATGGTTTGCAATAGAGAACGCAGAAAGGGAAATCGATCGTGACAGTGACATGAACATCTACGCAAACCTGCGCCAACAACTCCGCCACGGCGTTGGCCGGCTACTGAAACAAAGATCTGGTGACATGGCAAGCACCTTCGACATACGTAGGCCCTCGGGCGGCATGTGTGTCAATGAGCTGCCGCGGATTGTTTAGACGCGGTTGACGTTGCTACCGAAGCCAAACTTGCCGCCCTGCATCTGTCTCTTGTATTCCTCGAGTTCGGCAGCCTCCTTCTGTTCGCCAGCCAGCAGGGCAGCGTGCTCGCGCTTTCCGGCACGGCGCTGCTTGATGCAGCAGAAGATGAGGAGGCAGACGAGGACACCGAAGACGGCGAGCGCACCGATGATGATCCCGCTCTTCGCGCCAGCGGACAGAGCCTTCCAGTTGTTGCGAACGCCGGTGGGGTTTTGAATCTCCTTCAGGACATCGGACTTCTCAGTGGGGCTGGAGTGTGTTAGCAGGTGCTTCTGCCATGTCAGGGAAGAATGAGCTTACCTGATGACCTTGACCTTCTTGTAGGAACCGCTCGAATCCATGTCCGCCCAGCTGTATTTGGCACCCTTCGTGTAGTCCTCGGCGTAGATGGTCTGCACCGTCATGGTGAAAGGTCCGTCCTTGAAGTCTGTCTTGCCTCCAGCCCACTCCACAACTCCGGGATCGTTGTTGGCAACGTCACCACCAGCCCAGACACCTAGGCGGATGTTCATGGGGGTCTGCGGGTAATTCTTGCCATTGAGAGCATCGGCGAAAAGGAGCTCACGCAGTATCTTGCCGTCAAGCCACCACTGGATACGTTCCGCAGTCCAGTCGATGGTGTAGTTGTGGAACTGGTCTTGTGGAGCATCCATGTCAAAGTCTTTGCCGCGGTCGTAGGCGCTGGTATTGCCCTTGCCGAAGTAGTTGGTGAGACATTGCTTGGTGTTTGTGCCGAGAAACTCCCAGTCGATCTCGTCGAGAGCCTCAGATTGCAAGATAGCCGACGAAACAATGCCTTGGCCCTTAGCAGCCTTCATGACGACCTCAAAGCGACCGAACAACATGTAGAATTTGGACTGCACCATGGGCGAGTCACCCGAACGCTCCACTGTGAAAGTCGCACCCTTGGCCTCCTCGCTCCAGTCGATACTGCCCTGGTTCTGCTTCTCCCAGACCTTGCTGCCAGTGGGGATGCCGGTCTTGTTCCAATAGAAGGTCGCATTGCCACCAAGAGCTTCCATGTCAGGACATCCGGTCGTGTTCAGAGGGTTACAGGCGGTGTGAGTCTGTGCCCATGATGTGGGAAACACGCTCGCAAGGAATGCGATCGTGGAAAGTGTGAATAACTTCATTGTGTTGGTGTGATGGTAGATTCGCTCAAGTATTGGAATTCGAAGGAGTGTTTGCGCGTAGACCAGACGCGCAGTCGCAGCAGCAAAAGGAATGACGTTCCGGTGAAGGAGTGACCTCTCGCAAGGAGAAAAGGAAAGAGGGGGACGATATGCCCAAGGGAGCGGCAAGGGAGTGTTTGAAGCTGGGTGGTGAAAGAGAGGCGCAGATTGACCGAAGAGATTACACTCAGGGGAGCTAGCGCAGGGTGCAGGAATGCCGTGCACAGTGCAGACCAATGACAGCCGGCGATGCAGGTAGCCAAGGTCGATCCCTCAAGAATCTTGAAAAGGAACTTTGCGGCACCTTGTAGCCGCGCATTACAAGCAACGAGCGCAATGGCCGCGCTTGTCTCAGCCTTCAGTCTGCTCAAACGGCCAGCAATTAGCCTCGAGCAAGACTCGGCGACACTCACAACCGCCTGTGCGACCAAGCGTCTAGTATGCAGGGCGCGGGAGGGGCGCAACCTTGGAATTGCGTCAGGCGGGAGGGCCAAGCAGTGATACGAATTGTGAAACCGCGACATTCGGCCGTGTCCCCGTGGATAGCCAGTTCGTGCGCCACATCGCTCTTTCTATTATCGCAGAAGCGCTGCGATGCAACACCAGTGCCCGTGCTAGCGAACGGTTTGTCTTGCGATGAAAACACGGCGGGCCCGCGAGTGCTTCGATGTGGAGATACCTGCGAGTTCCATGTGCTGCATCCCTGCTGATGATGCCGGACTTGGCATTGCGGCCTTGTTTGAAGATACCGAAAGAGGTCAGCTGCCGTTCTGGGAGTGAAAGCCGATTGGATCTGAAACCCTCGACCCCAGACTTGCTCGATACCTGCCAGTAGTGACACTCCTTCAGACCGTTTGAACTGCGCCTCCATCGTAAAGGGAACCATCACTATCGTCATAGTCCTCTTCTTCGCTCTCGTTGTCCAAGGCGTCGCTGGAATTAGTGCTGATAGTGCTGTATTGCAACCGCAAGGGCTGATCCATCCGCGGGAATCGACCTGTTCCCTCTGCGTCGAAGAACTTGCCCCAATTGAGCGATGGTCCTTCGAGCGAGAACTTCCCTTGCTCGCGCCATCTGCCAATGTAGAGGTTGAGCGTCACCATGACCTTGCCAATATCCAGCCAGTCAAAGCCGTAATAGTAAGCGGCTGGATGCTGATTTTGAGGGTTTTCATACTTCCTGCACCAGAGACCCCAGAGCGTCGTATACATCTCTTGATCGCGGGCCTTGATCATGGTAAAGCCGTGTAGCTCCAGAAGTCCTTCCATGACTTCGTGGCAGGAGCTCTCTACCTGTCGCGGTGTCCGTGAGAAAATGGTTGCGATGGTCTCATAACGACATCCAGTCTGCAAAAGCTCGATGCAATGCAGCACCTTCTCCATGCGGCTGATTGCAAACGACTTCCTGACATACTGATTGACCACTAGCCATCGTTTGAGCGCTCGCAGTTCGTGGTGCTTGATAAAATGAAGATACGGTACGACGTAGTTGTCGTTAAGAACGTTGTTCATCACCATGTCCGTCACCATAGAGCCATCGCAGCTGCCCTGTCGCCGCCTGTCCGGTTCGATGAGGATGGGTGCCAGTTCTTCTTCTTCCTCTCGTAGGCGGGCTTCTACCTCAGTCTTCGACAGGGTAGCTTGGACCGGATCGAGCTTTTCGACAACAGACCACTCTTTCCTCTGTTCAGCTCTACGGCGTCGTATCCGGGTCTCATACAGGGAATCGTCGCTGTCATATGCGCCATCGCAATGGCCATTGTCCACTAAGCCCAGGTCATTTGTTATCAATCGAGGAAGCCTTCGAGGCGTCGTAACGGGTATCACCTCAGATGACGCCTGTGTTGGGGAAGGATCAAAGGGCAATTCTTCGGTTGATGGCAGAGCACCAGACATCCGGTATGTATCCGTATGTCCTTTCATGGGAAGCGTAGTTGCTTTCGATACGTGTGCGTTCAATCTGGCACCTTTCATCCCAGTCGGGACGTACGTGACAGGCTGCACTCGTTGTCTTCGTGGTTCTTCTGCAGCGCCAGCCATGGTGTCAGCGTCTAGCAGCTTCTTCTCTGGCTCCATCTCGATCCCAATCATGACTGGCGATTCTTTCTCATAGTCTCCAACCCAATCATCGCTGTCTGAGAGGCTTACTGGAAGGCTCCTCAGCTTCTCCTCCAGCTTCACCATTCGACGATATGCCTGCCATGCAAGTCGCATGGCGCCCAAGACCCACGCATTGACATCGTTGCCAAGCAGCGGACATCGCTCGAAGTGAAACTTCTCTAGGTTTCTGTGTGCTGTTTTGAGTTGCCTCTTAATTTCAGTGACTTGACCAATTGTCGAGTATTCTTTTTCGATAAGCGCTTCCAGATGTTGTACGCGGACGCTTGTACGGCGCACATAGTCCTCGACCTGGTGCAAATTGTTCGCCATGATTTCGCGCGACAGCTTCGGCGCAGTTCTCAGGGACTTGCCACGCGTTGGCGATATTTTAGGCTCATCTGCACCGGTCACAGGTTTCTCCTCAAGGATTCGTTCCTTCGAAGGTTGCCGTCTGTCCTTGAACGGTTTGGAAAGCGTCCGTCGCAGCGAGGTCTTGACGGTATCTGTTGTTGACTGGTGGGAGGGCACAGTATCGCGTCGCAGCCGAAAAACGACATGCTCGACCAATATGGTGAAGTGGTGGAGCTGCTGACGTTTCTGCTGTGCTGGTTCCATGGTTCACGACTGAATCGATGCACTTTGGGTCTGGAACAGCAAGTGGGAAACGACACGATTATGCCACGAAGCTGGCTCGCCATGCTGCCACAACTCAAGTTCAGGTGCGCTCTGTTGTCTTTTTCCTGTGCGACCATCTCTCTGCAGCCCTTGCAGTCGCGTGGCGGCGTCCTTGCACCATGCCAAAGACATGATTATGGAAGAGGCACGCGCTTGCGACATTCCTGAAAGCGATGCCCCAGAATGTAGAGTATTGCTCGTTCTCTTGCTATGTTCTGGAAAGTGGATCGGTCGTGTGAGGGTTGGTGTTACGGGGGGTCGTGGGTTCACTCTCGTCATTGTTACGCTTGTCCTCCATGGGTCACAGTGTGCAACGGTTTGTGGAAGTAAACATCGGCGAGATGCAACGAGAAAACATTGGCACTGATGAGTAAGAGCGGGGACCTGTGAGTGCTGCGTCGTCAACCGCGTCGTCAGCAAGGAATGCTCTTCCTTTATGAGCAGGCAGACCGTGCAACCTTGTCAGTCCGCGGCATGTCCGGATCTTTAACGCCTCTACGCTTGTTCTTTCGCGACATGGCTTCTATTGTGGCCAAATATTACGATAACTCTCCCTTTGCCGCTCTCTGGACAGTGCTCTCGTGACACGATAAGCCCAGAGGCGATCAGTATCGCTGGGGACAGCAAGATGAGCCAACTGACACGATACGCCTTTCCACAGATCTGTAGGACAGAGATATTGTCCTGAGGATTTGGTGTTTGGTGTCGCCCCCACAAATTGAACATAGCCTCGAGATCTGGGATGTTCGTCTATAACCTGGCGATCTCAAGATCGCAGCCGAGATGGAACATCCGGTTAGCGCAACGGTGGGACTCGAGCAAAACAAAGCCGAGATTATTGAGATGCTGGACTTTGCGCATTGTCTCCTTTTACAGAAAAAGGCAGCTGAAATGTTCTTCTAACCATCAGCACTCTGGTCAGATCAGAAAGGCGTTGCTCAGACAGACTGCATACTTCCTGCCTCCGAGGATTCCGTCCCTTCTGGAAGGATGACGCTGGTTGTTTGTGGCTATCAGTAGCCTGCATCCTGGCAGTAGCGCAGCATCACGAGAGAAGTTTGCAAGCTGCGGGACAGCAACAGGACCCATCCATGCCCTGGAAAGTGGCTCCATCGCTCGCGCGCAGCAAGGACCATGTCGGACGTCAACGCGGAGTTGTCCTCCTGATCGTGCAACAGGCGCATCGAAGTTTCTTCCTCTGATGACGGCAGCCGCGCTCTAACCGCCCAGCGTTCGTCTCCCGCACGACAGCCGCTGAACAACAATCAGGTCTGGAGGTCGTCGTGTGCCCAGCTGGGCGCCTGCTGTTTATGACCCCTCCTTTGGTGTTTTCTTACCCCAACCTGCTTTTACTTCGCAGTTCTTGCTAGTCAGCGCTTGACGTTTCCTTCGTGTTTGAGCGTTATTCTTACCTTGCAAGTCCTGCGGTTAATTTTCGAGTCTTCGGCGACGAGTCTTCGGCGACAATCACCATACATCTCACCCCACGTCAACACTCAGCCCTGAGGAGTACGAGTACCTGCTGGCAGCGGATCCACATCCCCCAACCACCCATTGCCTCTGTCGCGTGGCAGCCCTGATTGGCACACGTCCCCAATTTTCGGAACTCTTAGGACTGTAAACAATTGCCGGAATACCCTATGAACACGTGAAACCACCGTCCGTCATGGCGTCCAAATCCAACACCACGGAGGAAGACCGCCTTCCTACCATACTCACCGGTCTGGGGTTGGAGAATATCCTTCCAGTCAGTATGAATAAACAAGACAGGTCCAAGTCGCGGACGCGGCCGCCAGGCGCATCACCTATGGAGCGATCGATATCGTCCATGGAAAGCAGCTTCATGCTCGATCATTGGGGCTCACAATCGCAGACACTTGATGGAACCAGCACTCTAGACGATCATGCCTCAAGCCCGAAGGACGAGGATAAGCTCACCCCGATTACCAATTGGGCGCACTTGTCCTACATCAAGAACCAGCGTAACAATCTACGTACGGAGCTCAAGGCACATCGGATCGCCGGCACCGAGGCGAAGCAATCAGTGGCCTCTCTGCGCCGTATGGCATTCCGCATGGCCGTCAACATATCTGTGAAGGAGAAGCAGATCGCAACAAGCGCTCGCAACTTGGTCAGAAGTAGGAAAAGCCACTATCTTGACGGGAAGGATGCGGAGAAGAGGGTCGAAGCGTTGAAACGATCGCTGCGCATTGAGGAAGGCAGAAACAAGGAAATATTGGAGGCTTTGGAAAGGGCTTCCATGTTGACCTTGCAGTGTAAGTACCTTGTTGCTAGTAACCCAGGCTCTGCTGAACACGATTGTAGATGCCAATCCTAAGTTGCAAGCGCAACATCGCCGTCAACCAAGTCCGTTATCTCCTCCGCCGTCGCCGCCAACTCGCCGGGCTGACGTCCCTGAGATTCCGCCACATCCACCCAGAACACCACCCCGCCCGACTTCCTCCGATTGGCACGATACAGACTGGGAGCTCATCCCTGAACAGAACCACGTCACCGAAATACGCACCTCAGACAGCCGCTTGATCAAAGCAAAGCATGACTCTGATCAGGCCCTCGCTGCATGTCGCAACCGCATCGCCTTACTGCAAGCAGAGTGTAAAAAGGGCAAAGAAGATGGCCGACTGCTCGAATCCGCGAAGGTTGAACTCACAGAGGAAGTGCGCATTCACAAGTCTCAGATCGTTGAGCTGGAGCGTACAAGAGTTTGCGTGACGGAGACATTGGAAGCTGCCCAACAACAACTTGCGGCGCTGAGGGCTTCGGAAGAAAGCCTGAAGCAAGACTTGCAAGCGAAGAGTAAGGAGATTGCAGAACTGGAACAAAGCAACGCACAAGAATTGGGGGTAATTGAAGTTCTGGAAAAAGAAAAGGCCGCTTTGGAACAACGACTGGATGATGGCGAGGCTCGCCAGGAAGAACTGGAGAAGACGACATCATCTCTAGAGACTAGCTTGCGCGATCTGCAACACAGGCTTGAGAGGTCTGAGCAGCAGGAAGAGGATCTTCATCATCGCCTTGCAGAAAAGGACGCGGCACATCTTGACGCGCAAAAGCGCCTCGATAGGGGTACACAGTACGTAGAGCTTCTGGAGCAGAAAATTGCCGGATACGAAACGATCCTTGCGGACAACGACAAAAAGATCAAAGTGAGCGGCGACGTTATCTCGGCTTTGCGAGATCAGGTCGGTGAGGCAACGAGCAACAGGAAGAACTCCGAGGAAGCCTTAATTGTGCTGCGAAAGGAGATGTCGGCCTTGCAGTCACACTTCGACAGAGAGGCACGAGAGCGTAGCACTCTGGCGCAAGAGCTGGATGAGGTTCGTGGTGCTAGAGGCAAACTTGAGGACGACTTTCGTGTGTTGAACGAGCGCTATCAAGCGGAGATTGGCGCAAAGAAGAAGCTACAATCCGAGCTTGACATATTATACTCGTCCTACGAGAATTTGAATACGGATCTAGAGACTGCGCGCGAACGCATAGAACAGCTGGAGCAAATCGACACTCAAACTCAGGCTAAGCTTCGTGCATTGGGACAGAGCCTTCATCAAGAGACGACAGCCAAGTCACAGCTTCATGCGGAACTTCAGCAGTTGCGCAAGAAGCAGAGCACTCTCGAATCGAGTCTGCAGGTCTTCAAAGAGAAGACTCGCTCGTTGGAGCGGATCGACTCTGAGAGCCAAGCGAAGCTCAAAAATCTCACGAATGCGAAAGCAGATCTTGAGGCCCAGCTGAAGTCAACGCAGCAGTCGTTCTTACAGCTCTCCGATGAACTCGAAGAAAGTAAAATTGCGCTCAGTTCCATCGAGGCAGAGTGGACCCAATGGCAGGAAAAGCTCTCCAGTTCCGAAGCCCGAGCATCTGCTTTCGAAACCGAACTACGCGAGAGTCGTGACGCGAAGGCTGAAACCGAGGCACGACTGAACAACGACCTGCGCACAAGCAATGAACAACTCCGTGAGATGGAAACCTCGGTTGCGGCTCTTACAGAGCTGTTGTCAGCGTCTGAGCGCTTGAAAGCGTCGTTACAAGAAGAGTTGCGACAAGCCCAGACGTCCAAGAGTGAGATTGAGCTACGACTGAAGGAAGTTCAGACATCGAAGGCAGACCTGCAGAGTCAGTATGACGGCATTCGCGGTCGCATGCACGACATGGAGCTTGAATCTCGGACTTTGCGGGCGAGTGTGGAGCAACTTGAGAAGGACCTAGGCTCGACCCAGACGTTCAAGTCTGAAGTCGAGAGCCGCCTTGAAAGTGCGCAGAATGAGAGCAAAACACTAAAGAAGCTTGCATCTGAACTCGAGGTGGCACTCAAGGATAGTCGCGAGGCGAAGACGAAGATTGATGAACGTCTACATATCGTCCAGATGGATGGCAAGGCATCTGATGCCAAGATTGCCGACCTGAACGACCAACTGAACGAGACCTTAAACGCCAGAGAAGAAGCAGAAGCTCAGGTCCGAGGCCTCACTGTCAAGATTGCAGATCTGGAGCGTCAACTAGACTCGGTGCAGTCGAAGCTGGAGGAGGTCGATCATGTTGCGGCACAACGTCAAACGGAGAGCGCAGCTTTGCAAGAAGATATCGCTCAAATTCGACAGGCTAAAGAAGAGGCTGATCAGAAATATGCCGCCCTGCAAGCCACCCATACTCAATTTGTAGACGAATTACGATCGACGAAGGCCCGACTTGCTCTGGTCGACGCCAAAGAGGGTTCCCTTAGCCAAAGGCTGTCAACGACCGAAGATGAACTCGTGGCTGTTTACCGCAGCAAGGCTTACGTAGAGAGTGAGCTGGAGAGGTCGACCGAATCGAACACGGATCTGGAAAGCCAACTAAAAGCTGCACGACACCACAAGATAAACATCGAGACCCAGCTCCGCACCTTAATTGGCTCCAACACTGAGCTCGAGAAAAATCTCGTAGTATCGCAATCACGTATAGATGAACTCGGATCGGAGACGGCTCGACTTGATGCGAAGCTGGCCGGTACAGGAGAAGAAGTCGAAGCCCTTCGACGTGCCAAAGCCGACGCCAACGAGAGACTCAGTACCGCACTGAGCTCGAAACAGAGTCTCGAAGAGGAAATCGCCACATCTCGGTCGCGCGTCGACGTGCTAGAGACAGAGAGATCTGGAATGACCTGCAAACTGGCTAGCGCAGATGGCGAAATCCAAGGACTTCATCAGCTCAGGCTTGACATGGACAGGAAGCTCGCTGCTTCATTGAACTTCAAGTCTGGACTTGAGCAAGAGTTGAACAACGTTCGGTCACAATTCGAAAGCGGTGTGTCTGAGAACACGGCTCTGGTATCCAAGCTAGCTCACGCCAATCAGGAGCTGGCGGACTTGCATCAGACGAAGGCTGATGTTGAACAAGACCTCGAGATGAAACTGTCCCTCGCAGACGCCGAGATTGAGGATCTTCGCCAGGCGAGGACGACTAGTGAAGAAAAGCTTACCGCTACTATCAACTCCAAAAAGAAGCTTGAGCAAGATGTCCAAGTCCTGCAGACGCGCCTGGACGATAGCACGACGAACTTTTGCGATCTGACTCTGAAGCTCGAGACTGCAAATGAGGCCTTCGAAGCCTTGCAGAAGAGCATGGCTGATTCTGACGAGCAACTTCACACTGCACAAACAGAACTCGAAGGTCTTCGACAAGCTAAGAGCGATCTGGAAAGCAAGCTCCAGGCAGCAGTAGCAGATTCAAGCCACCTACAAAAGGTCAGGGACGCAGCTGAGACGCAGCTTAAGAGCACCTATGAGGATCTGATTACCCTTCAGCGACTCCAGGATGATACACAGAGTAAACTCGACGTCACAATTCAGGATCTGACCAAGTCTCGCCAGTCCCAAGCCGAAGCTGAGAAGAACCTTACCGCAACCCTGGCCACAAGCGCAGCTATCGGGAAGGACCTGTCATCAACACAGACCGCCATGAGCGACGTGGAGTCTCGCAACGCCCAGCTTCTATCGCAGCTTTCCAACAAAGATAATGAGCTTTTACAGATCCAGGAGGATAAGCAAAGTGCCGAGCTCCGTCTCGATGACATGAGCACGTCTCGCACAGAGCTCGAACGACACCTTGTATCGACCCAGTCTCAGCTGAATGATTTGGAGTCACGCAACCAAACTCTCAACGATAAGCTGGCCAGAACGGACGAAGATCTAGCCACTATCAAGCACGCCAAAGCACAACTCGAGACTCAGCTCGAGAGCGTCATGCACGAAAGTGGCACAGTTGGTAAGGAGCACGATAACCTGGCTTTACGATTGGGTACTCTGGAAGCAGGCAAGGCTGTAGTCGATGCAGAACTAGCTCAGAACGTCAATGAGCTCGAATGCGTACGACAGGAAAGGGCAAACGTACAGGAACAGCTTCAGGGCGCTTCGCAATGCGTTCAGACTCTCGAAGCTGGGCTGACATCTGCGCACTCACGCCTCGAAGCGATCGAGAAGGAGAAGGCCGATCTCAACTCGAAGCTCTCGGCTAGCAACGAGGAGCTGTCGACCTTGCGCGAAGAACGAAACAACTTGGAGCGACAGTACAAGGAGGCTCTGGCACAAAGCGAAAGCGTCCGCAGCGAGTTTTCGGCTTCACGATTGCGCGAGACTGAGCTGGAATCTCAAAAGGAGGTTCTTATACTCCAGCTTTCTGATGCTCGTACAGAGCTGGAGCAACATCGATTCCGCATCGCTGAACTGGAGACTGAGATTCGCAAATCCGAACAAGAACTGACAAGCATCCGTGAAGAGCTGGGCCAGCAGCGAGATACGAACTCTATGCTGGATGAGCGTTCCACAGCTTTGTCGCAGCGCAATACCGACCTCGAGCGTGACCTGCACGCGACACAGATGCGTCTCGACATTGCTGTCTCTGAAGGCTTCGTGCAAGACGCTAGAAGTGTCGAGGCTGACGAGCAGTTCGAGATCCTACGCGAGACCAACGCCAAACTGGAGGCAAGTGAGAGCGATCTCCTCCACCGTCTTGCCTCAGCTGAAGACGACCTGACTAACGTGCGCGAGACGAATGCACGGCTTGAAGAGTTCTTGAGTAGGGTTCAGTCTGACATGGCTGTAACTGAAGCTGCGTTCGAGGAGAGTGAGAAGCGTCTGGAGAAATTTGTTCAAGAGTCGGAAGCCAAGCTCGAAGAGTCGCAGAGCTCGAACTTGAAGTACAAGGGCAGGCTCTCTGAGAGTGAACGCGAAATCGAAGACTTGATCAGCCAGAATTCTGATCTTCATCACCAGATTGATGATCAAGAAGAGCAGTTGGCCACTCTCAACAAGGGCAAAGAGAAGATGACTGAAGAGTTGCAAGACAAAGAACGTTTTTTCCAGGAGCGAAGTATCTCAAGTGAACATCGGCTCAAAGAGATTCACACAGCGTACAACAGCCTCAGAAGGGACCATGATGCCCAACTGCAGAAGGAGCGACAAGCCAGCGATGACTCGCACATGCGCAGCAATAGCCATCTACGCAATCAAATGCATGCCAAGGACGCCACGATTGCAGAGCTTCGACAAAACAAGCACGATTTTACCATGTCATTTGCATCGCTGGAGCAAGAAGTGCGCGAACTTCGTGAGGACAAGAAGGCCTTTGAGGAACTCGTCGCGACACTGCAAGAGAAGATTCGCCACCTCGAGGTTCTTGAGGAATGGCACAGCGCATCGGAGCCAAGTGCACCTGCCACGCCATCGCGAGCTAGGGACCATATCGAATGGGCAAGTCCGGCTAAGAATCGCAATCTCAGCCCAATACCTAGCAGCACTGGTCGCAGTCTCCGCAGCCAGCCAAGCAGAGCGTCAACCGTTGCTAGCATAGACTCATCGCCCGAGGACCTTGACGAATGGGCAAAGGAAGTAGAACGCATCCGCATGCAGCGAGACGAGCAGGCAATCAAGTTGAAGGGAATGCGCAAGGAACGAGACGATTTGAAGAGGACCCTTAAGGAGAGCGAGCACCAGCTGCATGAGCTTGAGAAGCGAGGTCGGTCGTAAGTTTCACATGCGCTGCTGCTGCAATAACCTCTGCTGACATCTCAATCCAGCCAACGTCCCCGTCAGGTCCTCAGGAAGCGATCGGGTCGCCCTTCACCACCCCCATGGGCTACAGACGATTTCTTACAGCCCCCGAAGACGCCCACTCACACCCGTCCTTCTACCTCCGCTGGTAGCCCGAGTATCCGCCCCAGTCCATTCTCCTTCGGTTCGGCCCGTAGCAGGCACAGCAGCTACACGTACTCACCGCCGACACCGTACTCAGACCGCCCTAGCACGAGCACCGGATCGCCGAGGAAAGAGCCGAGGAAAGAGCCAAAGCGCTGGGCCAGCTTCTACCATCACGCACCGCAGAACGTCGATGCACTGGGTATCACAGAAGAGAGCGAGGGGGACAAAGCGAAGCCGCGAAGAACGCCTATGACCAGCCGCAGTTTTAGATCCATGAAGGGCGCTGCGAAAGAGCAGGACAGGCAGAAGCCGAAGCGCAGATGGAGTTCGGGACTTAGGAAGTTATTCCTGGGCGAGCGACCGGCGCTGCATTGAGCAATGCCTGGGTTAAGCCGTTGTTGTTGTTGTTGTTGTTGTTGTTGTTGTTGTTGTTGTTGTTGTTGTTGTTGTTGTTGTTTTTGTTCTGTCACATACCCGTTGTAGCGAGCAAGCGAATTGTTCATGTTTATGAGCACTGTATTTTTCCGTGAAGATGTTCTTCTATTTCGTTTCGCCTTGCCGTTCAGGTTCAGCTGCATTGCGAACGTTGCTCTCGTTACACAGACTTACTGCTAATTCCGCCATATATGCCACCGACTCCTATCGATCTTGCAAACGTCAACACTCCACCTCCTTACTTGTGGGCAACACCTATAAACCCTTCAAGGCAGCACTAATAGCAAATCGCTGTGCCATACTGAACCTCATTCCTAGAGCGCGATGTGCTGCAAGATGCATCGTAGACGCAATGCGCTACCATGCCGATCCGCGGCCCTCAAAATCCTTCCGCTCAAAGCCTTGCCCGTTCCTTCAGTAGAAAAAACAACATCACAGTAGCATCACTCCGGTACATCCAGCTGGATGCCGAGATACTCCTCCATCGACAACGATCGACGGCGGTTCGATGTGGATTCAATATGTCGTGACGGTCAAGTTTGCTGGAATATTGATGGGAGAAGGAAGCAAGCCTTGAGACTGCCGGCGATCTAGCTCTTCGTGGGATAGGTGGGTTGTGCTGGGAGCCACAGCGTCAGTCTTGAGCCATGCCGCTGGGTTTCCGTCGTCGAGCGAGGCCATGTCGGATGCTCCGAATGCTCCGAGTTCTCCCATGTCCGGGCGGAGTTGTCGTACTGGTGCCAAGGACAGTGTGTCTGGGTCTGGCCGGGGTGGGGAGAAAGAGGGGGCGCATCGGTGCTTGGTTGATATCCGACCGGTCTGGAGCATCATGTTCATGCTCCGGCGCGCTGACAACGGTGGTCTTTTAGGAGCAGCTTTGATCGAGGTGAGTCCTTGTGTATGATGCGTTCATCTTGTTCCACGTGGTGTGCCAGCTGAGTCCACTTCGTCTGCGTCGCATCAGTGTCGACTGGGCAGGTGTGCGCATCTATCCTGGGCCGTGATCTCACGGCCTTCCAAGGCCCTGCCCCCTCTTCCCCTGGCTCTCCTCCCAAATGCCCCTCAGCGTCGGCATCGCGCCCCCAACCCAGCCGGCCATCTTCCTCAGCACCTTGTTGGGCGTCCGGTGCGCGTGCGGCGGTCTCTTGCTCACATCAGCCAAGCCCGCGTGCGGCACGATCTTGGCCAGATCCTCCTGCGCCATGCTCTTCATGGGCGTGAACTGCTTCCACAGCGGCTGGCGCTCGACAAAGTCCTGGTGTACGGCGCGCGAGCGGTCGAGCGTGACCTGGAACCATTTCGTTGCTGTTGCTCTTGGGGGCGGGGCAGCGAAGGGCAGCGGTGTTGGTGCCGAGGGAGGGGGGTTGGGGGGGGTTGGGGGCGTGCGGGTGAGCAGGCGGCTGGGCGAGGTCAGGGCGGAGGTGTCGTTCGCGGAAGGTGCTTGGGGAAGGCTGTCGGGGTCGTCTTCGGGGTCTGCGGCGTAGGACAAGGGCTCGGTGGTGTTTACCTCGCGCTCGAGCGAGAAGCGGAGGGGCGAGGCGTTGAGGGCTCGTTGCGCAGCCTCGGGGGTGCGGAAGATGGCCAGTGCGACATTGTCTGCGGGGTTGTGGTATTCGTACTGTCTCGTAGTCAGCACAGCGCTGTGGCAGCTGCAGTCGAGGAACCCACCCGGAGGTGCTTGTACGTGTTGATCTCGCCGAAGCGCTGCAGCACGCGGAAGATCTCACGGCTTTCGGATAGATTGGCGGGCCGTGGCACGATGCGCAAGTGCACGGAGCGCGAGGGCAAGTGTGCTGCTGTTCTGCGGAGGGACATGGCGGGGATGGTCGAGCGTGAAGTGCTTGACGCGTGAGATGCTGCGCTACCACCACAAAAGTCCGAAAGTGGGTCACCAAACTTGGCCAAGACGATCGCAGCCCTGGTGGGGTTGCGCGCATCACGTGGGTCCGGGCGGCTGGGTCAAGAAGAAACGTGCATGCATGTGCAAGACAAAGTGCGGAGCCACATGTGTCATTTGGTGTATACGCAATTGATGGTATTGCAATCGGTAGTGTGCATAGATGATAGTAAACGCCAGGCTCGACCCGTAGGGAGCATAGATAACCAAAAGTTCGATACCATGCGTGCTGTCCCGAGCACTCCGCCTGGGGGCCTTCAAGCCGCTCCTGTCCCGTAGAGAATGTTCAGCGGGAGCTCAAGTGCTCGTACCGCACACAGTACTGCCAACGCCGTCGCAATGCTTTGAAAATCACAGTTTTTGGTAGGCAAGACCTATCTGGTCCGGCGCCTCTCCTTCGTCTCTCGCGCTGCGCTCGACCGCTTGCGCAAGCGAACAGTCTTGTTTACACGGACGTTGTCGTTGTGTCGGTCCCCAGCGCGATGCCACGGCCGCGAGAATAGGGGCTCTGTGACGTGTAACGAGCAGTCGTAGTCCATGTCGATGCCCTCGTCGTCTCCAGCGGCGACAGAGGCTGGCGCTGAGGCTGATGCTGAGGCTGATGCTGAGACTGAGGCTGAGGCTGATACTGAGGCTGAGGCTGATACTGAAGCTGAGGCTGATGCTGAGCGGGCATCGGTGTCGCTGACGTTGCACTGCTCCTCGTCCTGGATCATGCGGACCAGCCGTGAGATGTCGCGGGCTTGGGACGAGCAACACTGCAGCCGCGAGTTCGCTTGGCGCTGCATGCGCATGATGGAGGCTGAAGCTCGGCAGTAGGTGGGTCGGGTGGCCTGAGGATCCAGGTGTCCGGTAGGGAATGTGTCGTCCTCGCTGGGCGGAGTTGGGGGCCCGGCAGGGGTGTGCTGCGACCGCCATGTGCTGATGCAGAGCTTCTGTCCGCCCAGGAGCTGGGCCAGGTCGCCCATTGTGCACGGCGGAGGGGTGGGCGGCCTGCCGTATGTGACTTCGGGAGTCGTGGGGATTGACGTGGGCGGGCAGTTCATGAGGGCTTGCTCGGCTTCATGGTCGGCCTGCGACAGCGAAGGCGCAGCAAAGGAGAAGTCGCGGAAGAGGGTGGCCATGGTGTTGGTGCTGTGATCTCTCTGTACGATGTTGTGAGAGCATAATCCGGGCATCGAGGCAGTTGGGCAGATCGGTACGCTGCCCTACAGAGAGTGCGGGCGGCCATGGTACCTAATAAGGCGAACAGAGATGCAGCCAAGGGCGCCCGGCCATCTGGGTTCAACGGGCCATGACGCTCGAGCAGTGGCGAACAGGTTCTGATTGGCTTCGATCTGCCATGGACCCACTAGGAAAAAATGGGCCTGCCCCAGCGTTCCTCTCGACCCTTTATGCGTTTCCTCGCGCACCACTGGCGACCCTGGACACCGTTGCGCGTCAGGGCGGTTGCATGAACACAACCTGCGCTTGCACAAGGCTGTGCCCGCGACGCTGGGAGCTTGCTCCACTGAGCAGAGGGCAGTGACCGTACATACTTCGTATCTGCAAGCAACCTTGCGCTGGGCCGCTGGCCACGCACGCTCGTAGACATCCGTGACGCTAGCTGGGATGCATCGCCCTCGATCGTTCCTCGTTGCTTCGACCGACTCCCACCGGTGCAGCATCGCGAACAAGGATCCTGCCGCAAGCAGCCATTAAGCCCACGCTCACTGCGCCGGCTCCTTTCGCGCCCCACAGCCACCCAAACTCCAGCATCCAGACATTGCTATTCCCGCCCCTCACATCTATATGTCCATTCTCCACACCAGCACGGCTATCGCGCTCTGTCTTCTGAGCGGCGCTTGCGCAATCTCGCGACGCCCCACACCGCCGCGGCGTGCTGGCCACTTCCGGATCGCTGCCCTGTAAGTGGACGCGCGACTCAGTCCGGCCCTTCACTCACCTGGCTCTTGACAGTCACACTCACCAACAGCACTAGACACGTCGTGCTGATTCGCCCCCACGCGTTGGGAGCAGCAGTGCAACTGCATCTGCCCTGTGAAACGGCGGCTCCAAGCTTCTGGGAAGGATTTCTGGGAAGGATTCAGTCCTTGCAGCCGTATTTGCCATCTCGTTTGTCTTGCATCTTGATAGCAGCTCTCCTAACCAGTGTATCCCCTTTCTTATTCTCCGGAGCCATCCACCTAGACCCGTTCGGCTTGTTTCTTGCCCAAGGCCCAGACACCCTCTCTGGTGTGCGTGGCGCTCCTGCGCATCAGCCACAGCTCTGCGCCCCAGCCTTTTTCGATACCCCTCGTCGTGATTGGCCAGGCTTGCGCTGGCTGTCGTGTACGAGACTCTCTCTAGGGCTTCCACCAAACGTTCCCCTGCACCTTTTGGCCCGAGTGTGCAGCAACATGTCTAAAGTTTAAAACCCACTGAGCCTTCTGTACGCCTGCAACCAGGTGTGGAAACTTCGTGACAATGCGTTGTGATGACGTATCACCGCCCCAACATCAGCCCTAGCGGAATATTTGCTTCGTGCCACCACATCGCCTTGAATCACTGCATGCACGCTGTGCTATAGTAGGCGCACCCTGCCTGGAATGAAGCACGAGTTGGCAAAGGAGCATACCTGCATCCACGCCAATCAAGACCGTGCGAGGCCGAACCTGAGGCGTCTTCTAGAAGACGGGAACGCCGCAGGTCATGGACCAGGCCCCCGTGCCTGTCCATCATGGCGTCCCAGCTGAGCGAACCACGCTCGCTTTGTCCGGCGAGCTGAGATTCCCCACAATTTAGCAAGGAGATGCAGCCGCCAGCGTATTCAACAACCGCCCAGCTTCATCTCAGTCGGACTTGCCGAGTGCCTATCAGCACCACCGATCACATTCGATCATAGCCAACCGCACATGTTCCGAGACATAGGTCGTCAATGCGGCGACTCGCGTCGCATTGATAGAATCGAAATATTCTTCTCCACTACCTATCTCGTCCACCGACCCGGCAGGCCCGGTGAGGCTGGAGCAATAGCGCCACGTGGTATTGAAACCACGTCAAACCGCCGGAGGTGTCTGATAACGCAGGCCGGCAGAGACACCGCGTGGCTTCAGGCGCTTGCCATGGAGCTGTAGTTGTTTGTTACTGTGCGTGTGTTGGCATTGTGAATAGTGTTGCTTTAGGGAAGCATCTACAGTGAGCGACAGACTTGATCTTCGGAGCCGAACTCGAAGTTGCCATGGCCCATGGTGAAAATCGAAGCATAGCACAAAGTCCAGTGGACAGATTCGACTCCATGTAAGGGGAGTGCTGTTCAGACGCATTCTCACTACCTTGATCTAGGTCTCCATGGATCTTCCACTCTATTTCTCGTGGACCTACGGATGACCGTCGAGTAAAAAGGCACGGCGGCCGCTTCTGCTCGATGAGTTTGAAACGCTTCCTCCCATTGAGGCTCACAGTTCCAGTCAACGGCACACATCAACTACACAACAATCTACCAGCCCCCACCCTCAATTCAGAGCCAGCATGTGCCATACACCCCTCTGCTAGACGAGCAACACCCACGAGGACAGCAACAAAACTAGCCATGTCAAAGGTGCGGCACTCTTCACTGTCCCTCGTTTCAAGACTCTCGTCAAGGAGCACAGCAACCTGACTACCCCCGGGACCAACGCTCCGCAGCCTGCTACTCCAAAGGTCAAGTGCGAGAATTGCTTCGGCACACCACACCAGGCAACGCATCACTAACAAGCGCGGCTCCGCAATCCAAGTACCTATCTTCCAGCTGAACCGCCAAGGCCGACGACGACCACGCTGTTGCACGGGATCTGCTACGCGGCGCTGCTGCACTTCGCGTGCCAGGGCTGCAGCGGGGCAGACATGGAGCAGTGCATGAGCCATGGATTCGCGTGGCAGCGGGTTGCGTGCTGGGTTGAGTATGCGGCGCTGAATTGTCTGGGGGTGTCGGTGGATTTAAATCGGTTTGGTGGGGCGGTGGTGCGCTGGGGGGAATTGCGGGTCTGGCCGAGCCTGGAGGACGTTGAGGGTTGGTCGCTACGGGATTGAGATGCGTGGCTGGGGTAGTGGTGGAGATGGTATTGACTGGGCTGGAGATAGTATTGACTGGGCTGGAGATGCAGGTGAGCAGTCGCTCGTTGGAATGCATATAGAACAACTTTGGCTTGTAATTAGCCCGCAGACAATGGCCTAGAACATACTACAATACACAGAACATCGCACATGGTCCAAGCATGCGAAGTGTACGCAGAAGCCGCTCTCCGACACCGTAAACTGCGCGAGTCTTCCACTTCCCATCACGCTCCTGCAACGCGACATATTCCAGCCCCTCCAACCAACAACTTCTTGCTATAGCACCTCGTTCAACGCCCTCCCCTCGACAGACATAATGCTCCCATTCCCCGCAATAACCGCCTCGCCACCCGCCAACCTGCGCTCAAGTTCCTCAAGCATGCCTCTCGGACCCGCATACCCTCTCTTCCTGATGACCACATACCACGCGCCCTGGAAGATAGTCAGGCCGCCAACGATAACGCACGAGTAGTTCATCGTCGTGGCGTCAAACGGCACCGCGTAGGGGAAGCAGTAGATGACGATCCACACGAGCATGTACGCGCACGCGACACTCGCGACCGGGTAGAAGACGGGCGCGGGCATGGTGAACGGGCCCTTGATGACGTGCGCGCGGCGGGACACGATGTTGGGCAGGATAAACGCGAGATACGAGCAGCTGCTCATGACGATGAAGGACCCCACAAAGGCGGCGAACGCGGTGCTGTTACCCACGTAGATGGCGCCGAGCACGCTGTTCATGACTGCGCACGCGAGCGTTGCGTTGAGAGGGTTCTGCTGCTGGGCGTGCACAGAGCCGATCCAGCCACTGAACGGCGTCGCGTTGTCGCGGCCCAGCGTCCACAGCATGCGCCCGGAGGTTATGTAGGTGCCAACGCTTGTGCAGAAGGTGGGGAGGTGGATGACGATGAGCAGGCCAAGGGAGCCGGCGAAGGAGTTTGTGCTCTGGCGGTAGAGTTCGGCGAGGGGGAAGGGCCAGGGGTTGCTGAAAAGGGAGTCGAGGTCGTTGACGGAGTAGAAGATGGTGATTACGTAGAAGAAAGCGGTCAGGAAGCCGACAACATATTGCGCGAGGATGGCTTTCGGGATGTTGACGCGCGGCTTGGGGACTTCTTCGGCGAGGTGCGAGACGCAGTCGCTGCGAGTATCAGTACGATCGCACAGTCAGACGTTTGAGTGGGTTGGCTTACGGTGTACCGACAGCGTAGGCGCCGTTGAGCATGCCTGCGCAGAAGACGAAACCATCGCTAGTCCAACCAGTTTGATTTTGCCACTCTTTCCAGACGAAGGAATGGGATGCGTAGCCCTTGCCAGTCGTTGAAGGCATGATCGCGCAGACTAGGATGGTAATAAAGCAGCCAGCAAGGATAAGGAAGAGGCCCACATTAGTAAGGGTCGGCAGAGCGCGGTTGGCGTACATGACGATGAGGGCAGATACCCATGTGTAGATGAGGTACACAATAAAGACGTGCCAGCGTTCAAAGGCGTACTCTGGGTGGAATAGACCCCACATACTGATGACCTGATTTGCGAGAATGGAAGTCATGGATGCAGTACCGAACAGCCATCCAAAGAAGTTCCACCTGGGTGGGTGTCAGCACACAGTATGAAGTAATCTGAATGAAAGTCTTCCGTGGCGGTCCAACTCACCATCCAGCAAAGTACCCAAGGACACGGCCGTAGGTCTTGCCTCCAGTGATGCTTGCCCAATGGTACACACCGGCCGACGAAGGAATCGCGGAAGCCATCTCGGCGATGCATGCTGCAATCATAAAGTAGAAACATGAGATGGCAATGAAAGCGTAGATGACACCCGGAGGCCCGCCATTGTAGAGAGCAATGACCTTGACTTTTTAGTAGATGTGTGGAGGTTGGTGAGCGTTGGAGGAGCAGGACTTACGATAGAGCCTCCAAGAGCAGCCCAAACGTTGCCGGTAGTGATACCGATGGAGCAGATGGACAGAAGACTGAACTGTCGCTCTAGCTCTTGCTTGTGGCCAGATGCATTGATCACCTCGCCAACGCCAATAGTGTCGTCGTGAGACTCAAGACGAGGCTTCTCATCCTTATCCACACTCATCCTTAGAAGCTCCGCTTGTTGCAAAGCCCAGTTGCGAAAGTATCGGAGATTACCAGCGAACGGAAGGTTGGCTAGATTTCAAGTCAAACTACTTGCCTTGGAGAAGGAAGTTCGATCGCAGATCAAACGAAGAAGTCTGGAGAGCCACCAAAGGAGCTTTCCACGTAGGTAAGCGACGAGCAAATACCGGTGCTGTGGATAGAGACACAAGGGACGGTACCCTCGTCGCCGTGCATCTTCTCCTTAATACCTCTTGCATAAGTACCTCCTGCTCGGGCGTCTCATTCACAGCGTATGGTGTCATGGTAAGCCAAGCTAAGCGATGCCATAGATAAGGTACGGAAGCGTTACCAGTGTGCTCGAATGCCAAATGTACAAGGCTACCCAAGACTTACCATCTCCGCGAGAGATACAGTTGCAGCGGGTGAGACTGGAAAAACAAATGATCATCTGTGCTTATCGCCCGAGTCAACTGTGACAAGATGAGAGATACGACCCCTGTGCATGAACGATGCAGGTGCAGGCACAGGATGAGACTAGACCAATCACGCACTCTTTACGCCCGAGTGCAGATGCAGCGAGTGCGGCAGAAACCTCACTCATAGACAATTTGTTGTTGATCAGAGTGATCCCTTGTTGCGGATGAAGCAAGAAACTTCGTGAATCTCAATGGCTTCGCCAGGTTGGTCCGCCGAACGGTGGTGTTATCTTTCGGCCTGAGATGGAGTCGATGGGGGGAGACGCTCCCGCATCCCGCCAGCCAGGGTCCGTCCACGATTGTCCGGCGGACGGCTCCTAAGGCCCCCACGCCACGCCTACTCGTTCTATGTACACAAAACCCGCTTGATCTGATTCGCTGAACTGTTCCCGTTTAGATCTCACTCACTCGAAGAAGGAATGTTGGGCAAGAGGGCTGCGGCAGTGTGCCGGAGTGTTTCTGTTTACAGGATGGTGTTGTTCTGCAAGAGGATAAACAAGGCACACGTGCCTGCGCCACCATCATATGTTGGTCGGATAAGATGGTGAGTAAAGCGTAGTAGTGACATGTCGTGCTGTCTGCATCTGTGTGCTTTCCCCCTGATGTACCGCCGTCACTCCGAGCCATTGCAAGTGTATGCGGGCTGTCCAGAACCACCTCATAGTCGCCTTCATATCGTTCTCGTGGATTTGCGTGAGCCTCCTGTTGTATTGTAGCGTTGACACACAATGGCAGTCAAGACGAAGATTAAGCAGAACGCATCTCTGCGTCTCCACCCTCAAGATCGTCATGCTTCCTTTTGCTCGGTGTGGTACTGCTACTCTCGCCATCGTCGTCGCCCTCTGTCCACTCGGTAACCTCCCATTCGACCTGAACGCCATTGTCCGAATGTCCACCACGCTGTTGTCTGAAACGACCGAAGCTTGTGTGGCGCACGATCTCCTCGAACCATGGAGCCCCACGTGCCTGAGCATCAGATCGCGCAACCGTTCGTGTAGAATTTGTCTGCGCAGGTCCGGCAACGCTCGTCTCCTCATCGCTGCTGTCCCCGAAGAAACCCAACGTGTTCAGCAGCTCCTGGTCTTCGTCAAGCAGACTACCAACCGGGAGGCGGATGTGCCCAGCTTCGTCGCGCGTGCGCTCACTCCATGATGAGAGTTGTGTGCCGCAGTATCCACAAAACTTGTTGGAAGTGGTCGGCATGAATGGCGATGTGAAGGTACGCTGGATACTCGAATGCGTTTCGTCAGGGAACTGCGCGAACGTCGCTGAAGTGTACCATGGTAGTGGCACGCGTAGCCAGAGTGTGAGTGGGCTGGCAGAGTGTTGGCCTGCGTACTGTTAGCCTCATGTCTGGTCTCCAGGTGGGGCTATGACGTTATGCTCAATGCCCGCGCCCAGGAGGCATTCACGGTAGGAACGTACGTGATGCAGAAGAGTTGTCGTACCGCAATTCAGCTTGTCCAGCGTGCTGTGAGGGCAAGTCGACAATATAGCGGAATCGACCACAGCTGCAGCTGCCGTGCAGCCTCTGGGCCATTGTTGATTGTTTACGCTGTACGAGTGTCAATCGACGTATTTGGGCGTTGCGTTCGAAACAAATGCAATGCCGCTATTTCAGAGCGATTGTGTGTATTTGAGGACTTGAAATTCCGCTGTGAACGTGAGAGAAAGTTCGAGCTCAATCTCGCGACTTCGCGACTTCCTCGTCTTGCAGCGGCTACCATCCGATTGGCTGATGACGGTGATGATCCCCGTTGGAAGTTCACATTCGACATCAAAAGTCGACGTTGAAACAATGCCATGGAGATCTTTGGGCTCTTGCATCCTCTACGCTAAATTTAGCGATATTGTAGTGCTGCGAGGGTGTGCGTAGAGGAAAACACCGAGCTGGAGTTGAGGTGACCTGACAGTGACGTCATTGTTTACCGGCCCCACGAGGAGTGGTGCAAACAGAGGTGACCGTTTTTACTTTGCAGTATACAGACTCTATGACCGAATAGGAATTGGGAGAATGTAACAGACGACTGCATAAGAAGTACCGAGCAGCTGTCAGAGAGCTCTTCTTCGCATGAAACACGTATATAACGCTTAGCACTTTGTCGCTTTGAGAGATGCACTAGTTTCGCCAAATGCTAGCCCAACATCATTCATTTCCTCAATGGCCGCCATGGCGCCATACCACCTTTTTCTCTACCAGCAAAGAGGCGATGAGTGTGTGGACTCCAGAGACCACCAACCAGCATATTGTACAGCTTCATATTGGAGAGCCATCCCCACCGCCCTCGCCATCCCCACCCAAAGATACTCATTGACCCCCGTACCAGCCATAGCATCAAAATCACGCAGCCAAGTCCCACCATCGACCATACCGGGCGACACGTTTGAACGATGCTTCGCCTGCTCTGTAATCCACACATGATGCTCGTCCACATCTGTGATCATCTAGTCTTGTGATGGTAGCGTCGACGCAATCTTTCAGACCTGTGCTATGGCCATGGATGCCATATCGAACAACTGGAAGCCAGCAAGTGTCGTATGTACGTTGCCGAGGAAGGCCAGGCCGTCTGGCTTCGACAGAGAGAAAACCTTGTTACATATGCGAGCAAGTCGTCTGCCGTTTGAGCCGCTTACTCTTGACCATTCTGCCACAGCACAGCTAGTGGGATCAAAGCGAGGTTCCAGCATGCTGAAGTCCGCTTGATAGCCAGTACACCACATTATTGCGTCGACGTCGAGGATCTTGCCGTCCTCGAGTCCGACTTCAGTGTCGCTGGTAATCCGCTTGATCCCTCTGATCGATTCAATGAGACCCTTCTCGAGGTAGTCGAACAGGTAGTCTGAGACAATTGGAATTACTTGAGCAGGCTCAAAGCCCCATTCGTGACGTAGCTTGAAGCTCTTGTCTTGTAAACTTTTGACAAACTTGTCGAACATTCTAGAACCAAGGATAAGGAAGTTGGTTATGATCCAGCTTTGTGTTGCAAACAAATGTAAGCTTAGAGTGTGGTCAATAGGTTTGCCGTTGACCCCGCGAGGTAGCTGAGCTAGGATTAGTATTGAGTGTATCGCAGAGAGAGGACACTTACGATACGCGCTCCATGTCTGTGTGCGATTTAGGCCTTCTCCGCTACATTTGCGAGTGCCGTCGCGATGTCTGCTGCTGTGTTTCCGAAGCCAACCACCATGACTCATTTTCTTGCAAATTCTTCTGGCTTCTTGAATGCTCTCGAATGTAAGGTCTTGCCCTTGAAGCTCTCCAGACTTTCGATGGCGGGGACATTGGGCAGACTAGTCAAGCATCAAATAGCAACGGCCACTTTGTCAAAGTACAGTTCGTCCGTGCCTTCAATCTGAATACCCCATTGCTGATTAACATCGTCGAACTTGATTCGACCGACAGTAGCGTTCAGGCGCAGATGAGGTGCGAGCTTGAAAGTGAACTACGTAGCTGACCAGATAACGCTGTACTTGGGCAGCTGCAGGATAGGACGAGAGGTCTACATCAATATCAGCTACGGGCCCCTATGGCGTGCACAAATACAAGGAGCAGCAGACCTTCAGGATATGGGTAGTCAGTAAAGTAACCCTACGAGCATGTTAGCCTGATACACGCCTTATCAAGAACTATCACCGACCCGTTCTTTAGATATGTTCACAACAGTAGTCGGGAGTACGGAGGTCCTGTCTTCTTCTGTGTACTGCCACATTCCACAACATGTGGATTTCTGTCAAACTCGGTTTTGTCGAAGCCTTATTAAATTCTTGACAGCTACCAGACCTGCTGGGCCAGAACCTATGACGGCCACTGTTGACCATTCTGTTGCCATGCTGCACAGAAGTGGAGGAGGAATCCGGCGTGGAGTGAGGAAAGCCAGGGGATTGAACCAGATCCCATATCAATCAGGCCACCAGGGCGCATTTAGTGTATCATGTCAATCAAAGACTGAGAACATTCCCAAGATCTTATTGATCACGACGAATGTCGGTCGGTGTACACTATATCCGGAGTCGGAGTACGCGGTTGTCACAAAAGGCGCGTGAAACCAGAGCATAAGCGAGGTCATGTACCGATCAGGTCACCTTCTTTACAAACGAACGAGAGCTATTGTGACCCTGGACGACAGCCAGCTGTCGAGACGAAGTTGATGGACTAGCTGGTAGTGCTGATCTCACAGGCCACCTATGCGCTGCCCCGCGCCGGCCAAAGACGAACATGGAGCTCAGCCTGGATATCGAGCATGATGTTGAAGGCTACGAGGCATGCGCACATAGGTAATCCACAGCTCCTACACACTTCGGTTGGTTTTGCGATAATTGTACGCTCGTAAGGCGTAAATGGTTGGTGTTCGAGGAAGGCCACCAGGCAACAGCGGAGCGAAGCCCTGCGCTGCGCCCCAGCATCATCACGGAGGGTGGATCCCCCGATCCTTCCATTCAAGCTCCGGCCAGCCATATATCTCTTGGCTCATCGCAACTGGAGTTCTAAGTTCAAACATCAGTTGACAGCGCTTTATCTTAAACTCAATAATGGCAGACAGAGTTGGTGCCACAACTGCCCCGCAGTCAACGACGTCACCACAAAGGCCCGCCGCCATATCCATCCCTGACGACTCTTCAACTGATTTTGAGCCAACCCCTGTTCATAGCCCAGGAGGTCCTCAGTATGAAGACCTACCGCCATCCTACGACTTCGCTCTAAGTGATTCACGCAATGGCGGCACAGCGCTGGACGCTAGCCAAATTGAAGCCCACCGCGTCAGCGCAAACGAGGGACCTGATGAGCCCGAAGTCTGGGAGTACCGCATGAGAGGTGAAGGCGCAGGCGAGCCCCAGGAGCACGAAGAAGCGCCTGCTTATGACGGTCTGACTCCTGTTCAACAAGCTGCCCCGGCTCATGATGGTCTCATTCCTGTACAGCACGCCACAGACAGTCAGAGCATTCTTGTTGGAAGAGTCGGGGACCTCAGTTCCTCATCCACGTCCACAGCGACTGGGGGCGGTTCCGCAATTGATGATCCGCCGCACTCTGTTCCTGAGGTTGGTGCGAGGCCTGGCCACGGAGAGCCTGGCAGTAGTCAAAGCGGCCATGGTGAACAGGCTTGGGGTCCTTTTGGAGCACCTGGAAACGGCCCATTCGGAGCACCTGGAAACGGCCCATTCGGAGCAAGCGGTACTGGACCCTTCGGAGAACCCGGAAATGGACCATTTGGTGCAGTTGGCAATGGTCCTTTCGGTCCTGGTCGTGGCTCTCGAGGAGACGGTAACGCCAGTGGCCGTGGGCGCCGCGGACGCGGATCTAGATCATCGCAAGATTGGGCGGCTTTTGGTCAGAACATGGGAAGATGGGGAGAGGACTTCGGCCGAAAGATGGGAAATTGGGGCGAGCAATTTGGACGACAAGCCGGCGCGATGGGAAAGCAATTCGGGCAGCGTTCTGAGCAATGGGCCACGGCGTATAGTGCCGGAGGCGGAGGCTACAATCCACCTGCTAGACCAACCTCCACTGCTGGGCCGAGTATTGCAGAGCCGGCTAGTCCCCCGCAGTACGATCACCCGCCCTCTTACGAAGCTCCAGTAGGCGTTCCGGGGCAAGCCACGGGCATCCTGCACCGTAACCTCGGTACGAATGAATATCCGCCCGAAAAGGTACCTCAGTCACAATCCGAGCAGCTGTCCTCCAAAAGCCTCAGAAAACAGAAGAGTAAGAGCTATGATGACGATGACGACTCATCAATTTCCTCTGACTCATCAGGCTCTTCAACTTCATCAGACAGTGAAGATGAAGACCGTGACGACGCCCGAGCCACATTTCTCAAACGCATCGACTCTATCAACAAAGCCGCTGAGTCCGCCGCATCCAAAGGGAAGAAAAGCCGCGAAGAAATTGAGCACGAGAGAGACCTAGCAATCGCAAAAGCCACAGGGGAGAAAGAAGCTGCCGAATTCATACTCGCTCGCAAGGAAGCTAGGAGGACCCAGAAGCGAGACTTGCGGAATAAGAAACGCGAGCTGAAAAGGGAATACCGTTCGAGAAAGCAAGAATTAAGGGGGGAGTCAGAGGGCAACGGTAAGGGCAAAGGGAAGGCGAAGAAAGGAACGAGTTGGAAAGAGCTAAAGAGGGAGCACAAGGCGAAGAAGAGGGCGCTGAAGCGCGAGAGAATAGATGCGAAGAGGGAGTGGAAGAGGGAGATGCGCGAGTTGAAGAAGGCACCTAAGGAGAGCTCAGTCAAGATCGTACCGGAGCAGAAGGTGTCAGACGAGAAAATTTGAGGTACGTGAAAGATTACTTGGGTATTAAGATCTACATATTACACTAGTCTTCATCTACGAGCGACCACTCCTCCAGCTCCTCTACCAAGGGCCAGTATCTGAATTCGCTCCAGTTTGCTTGAATAGCCTCAAATCTGCCTAGCTTCAGAGGCAGACCAATCGTATGGGGTGCAGCATTCTCAACCCAGCACGCTATCCGCTGCCATACATGCCCATTGCCAGCCAGATCGCCAACGTGCTTTTCGTAGGTTGGACACCTTTGACAAGCGTAAGTTCCAATGAATGCATGTAAGATCTCATGCAGCAACGTATTGAGTCGGCCCATCGCTGCCTGGGTGATTTTGTATGTGTGGGGCATATACTTTGGCTGCACTGCTGTGTAATAAAAAGGATGCATCTGGATATACGCCAAGCCGTCTACGATCGATATCTGTGGAGCCGAGATCTCGTGAGTTTGCAGGCAAAAAGTTGAAATTGAACCTTAGCACACCCGGGAAGAAAGTCCTGGCCAGCATATCAAGTAGACATTCAACATCGCAATGGATCGCATCGAGGGCTTTGGCGCGGCCAAGACGTATTAGCAGGCTATTTCGGGACTGGGCCTCAAGAAGAGTTCGAAATTCTTGCGAGGCAATTAGTTGATCGGGTGCAGGATTATGTGTATCCCACTTGAGACATGCCTCTATCTCGTCGCTGAGTTGCAGGGCATTGTATCTGCGCTCGAACAGTATAGGAATCGTGGTTGCGGATTGAAACTAGGTGCAGGTATCCTTTGAATCGGAACCCTAGAACAGCGTGAGCAACGCGAATCTTGCTGCCTCTCTGGACCTTGGCTCCTTGTCTGTGGCCGTGTCTTGACAAGCTCTTTGAACTCATGCACTGTCTTTGGATAGCCAGAGGTCTTTGATAGAGTCTTGCAGTAAGAGATAGACAGACCCGGGTTGGACACCATGTTTGATAGCTTCAATATCTATTCAGTCAGAGGTGTGATAGCATTTGTATAGCTGCTGATTCGTCTACGGTCTTGAAAGTGAATCTGACCAAACCTGCAGTCTTGCAGTGAAACTGGGAAACTGCACATCAATGTCCTGTACGTTCTTCTTTCCACACGTCTCTATTCTCCCCTCATCCTTAATTGCAGCAATCCCAGCTAGCTTTCCTTGTGCCAATTGTTGTCTTCTAACTGTCTCTTGCACACGTCTTTACAGGTACCTCGGATAATTCCTCACTATCGTCGCTTGAGTGTCACAATGCATGGCACGTTCGTGTGATTGAGAAACTTGAGGATGCAGTGGAAGAGCAGAAAAAGAAAGACAAGACAGAAGCGCTCGTGGGTATGTTGAATATCTCCGCGGTCGTATATCACGATCACTATCCGCTTCTGATGTCACAAATATATCCACGGTCTGGGTTCAAATGTACGGCAACCGGTACAATTATGGTGATGGTAGTGCCGACGGTTCGCAGATCGGAGTTCGGACGAAAGAACAATGACGTTTTCTTGGCGCAATCGTTGAGCTTCGAGCTTGCCGGCCCGATAGCGCACTTTGCCTGCGCTCTCGATCCTACCTTCACGTCCCCCTCATCCTGTCAATTGGTATTCAAATATGTTCACCAGACAGTTCTTCCGCCCAGCTAGGCAGCTGCAGCAGCAGGTTCGCCGTTATGCATCTGACGCGCCCAAGTCCGGCAGCAACAGCGTCCTCTACACTGGTGTCGGTGCCGCTGGTCTTGCCGGTGCTTACCTCTACATGAGGGGCGGCACTTCGCCATCTGGTCAGCAGGGCAACGCTCCTCCATCTGCTGAGGAGAGCAAGATCCCCGCCTCTACCGGCGAGGTCAAGAAGGCCTTCACAGGTGGTGATCAGGGCTTCCTTTCGCTGGTCCTCGAGAAGTCAGAGATTGTCAACCACAACACCAAGAAGCTTACCTTCAAGCTCCCCGAGGAGGACCAGGAGAGCGGTCTGCCCGTTGCCTGTACGTTGAGCGCTGTAGCAAATACAAATTTCTGCTGACAATCCAACAGCCGCCATTATCACGAAGTACAAGGGCCCCGAAATGAAGAAGCCCGTCATTCGCCCCTACACTCCCATTAGTGACGTCGATCAGAAGGGTACCGTCGACTTCATCATCAAGAAGTACCCCGGCGGCCCCATGTCCGAGCACATGCACAACCTCGAGCCTGGGCAGCGACTGGACATCAAGGGTCCTATCCCTAAGTACCAGTGGTCAGAAAACAAACAGTAAGAGCTCTCTTTCCTTCTGTATACATCCCCCACTTCGGTCACGTCCGCCTTCCAGTATGCGACTTCCACGAACAGGATGCCACTTCTTGCTATATGTCTAGGGCTGGGGCTGCCTTCCAACATCGGATGGAGTAGACGTGAGGAAGAGCGTAGGCCACAACTCGAGCTGGTGTGTCCACACCAGTCTCAGTTTGTCTGAACTCTGGTGGGCTTCGCTCTGGGCTTCGCTCTGGGCTCGAGTAGCCTGCTTCTGCACATTTCCTGGGCCTGCATCCACGAAGCGCCCTGTGTCCAACAATCTTGTCTTATCAGACGTTTGCTAACTTTAAATTTCAGTGAGCACATCGCCTTAATTGCTGGTGGAACTGGTATTACACCAATGTGGCAGACTGCTCGCGCTATCTTCAAGAACCCCAACGACAAGACCAAGGTCACTCTGGTGTTCGGAAATGTCTCTGAGGAGGATATTCTCCTGAAGCGCGAGTTCGAGGAGCTCGAGAACACATACCCCCGACGATTCCGTGCCTTCTACGTCCTCGACAACCCACCTGAGCAGTGGCAGGGCGGCAAGGGCTTCATCACAAAGGAGCTTCTGAAGACTGTCCTCCCCGAGCCCAAGGAGGGCGAGAAGATTAAGATCTTTGTCTGCGGACCACCCGGCATGTACAAGGCCATCAGCGGTGGCAAGAAAAGCCCTCAGGACCAGGGCGAGCTTGAGGGCTACCTGAAGGACCTTGGATACAGCAAGGACCAGGTCTACAAGTTTTGAGCGAGTCAAGAGGGCTGTACGATATGTCTGCTAGATATAGATTCCCCGTCGAGCAAGCGATCCATACATTCTCACTCTGCGCACCTGTCTCATCTATCTTTCGCGAGTCTGACTGCCTCCAGGTTGTGGGTCGCCCTACTTGAACATATCGACGCTCCAGCCACAGACGATCACGGCGGTCAATTCCTCAATTTTCACTACGCTGACAAACACGCATCACCACTAAGTTCAGGCAGAGAACCGTCTCCACCTCATGACCACGACAAAAAAAAAGGGCATAATACTGGGAATACCCAAGATCTCGGTGGTGGACAGCTTGTATTTCAGAGCCCTCTCTGCACCATTTCCGCAGAAGCCCTGCAAACCGTCTATACTTTCTGGCATGCTGGTTCAGTACACACAGTCAAATCTAGACGTCTCATCGATGCTAGGGTAGGCAACCCATATCTACAGAGTTTTGAACGACAACGAGAATAGCGACACGAGGCGTGCAAGGAGGTTTTCAAATATTATATTTGTGTACAGACGCGTCGAGCAGTGAGACTGGAGGGCACTAGCTAAACTCGGGCATGGTCACGTGTGTTACTTTCCATCATCCCTGGTCTTCTCCTCGTCAACCACAGCTGAGTCCTTCATCATCCAACACAGCAGCATGTTGCGAATCCTTTGCGCACGTAACACGCCATTCAAGATAGTACGCAGCGTTCCAAAATAATTCGATTCACATTTTAACATGCCTGCGTCACCCTGCCATCGTAAACGGACGAGAACATGTGGAGCACATGGATTCGTGCCATGTAGCGCCCACGCGTGTTTGTGTCGCGAAACACTCGTTCTACGGAATGCTGTCCCCTGCCGCTTTTCCGCTCGACTGGACGACCTGCGCCATTCTGTAGATCTCTGCGAGATGCCATCTGCGCTTTGGCGCCCACGTCAGCCAGTACGAGCCGCACAGCCTTGTAGAGTTATTTCTCCCTATCTGCAACTACAAAACAAGCTTCGATAGCTATTCCTGTTTCACAAGCGATCAATGGCATCGCGCATTCCTCTATCAATGCTCAACATTGGTGGGCTTACCTGCCGCTTCTCGAACGTCTGCATTACTTGATCCACTCAAAACAACGACGATTTGCGCATCTTCAAGCCCTACTTCAACATATATGTGGTAAGGCAACATTAGTAGATATGACATGGGTTTGTATACTGCAAGCAAACAACGCATCCAGCTCGCTGACGCAGTGCCTGCGGTATCTCCGAGCGACCAGCTATTCTTTGAGGGCAATCTAAGTATCATGTTCCATTCCTTGCTTTTTCATATAAACACCCAGCCAACCGGTGCGTTTGTATCTGCTAATCCTATGCAACCCAGGCCTTAGATCTCGCTCTATATCCACGTGGGACTACCGGAAACGGCAGCTGCAAGGGATTGAGCGTACTTGCAAACGCTCTGCCGACAACCGCTTGGATTGTTTACTTCCGCGTTGAGCATTCTTCAACCCTTCATCTGGAGCGACGCCCCAATTCTTTGTGCACTACCTTTACTTTCTGGATATATTGCATAGCATCAGCCACAGTTCTCCTTGCATCATGTTTATTCGACACGCTATCACTGTGCTATCGCTTTGTGCTGCCGCACTTACAGCTCCTACGTAAGTTGTGTGCATCTGATAATTGTTGCCTGTCGTCTATCACCACGAGGTTTCACGCCACACGGGCATAATCCCCAAACAACCCGATGGCAATTATTGTCACGGCCTTGAGCGCTAACGAGAATCAGCGAGAAAAGAAGGGTTGATTTTAACTGGGGTAGCGAGAAGATTCGTGGCGTCAACATCGGTGGTTGGCTAGTCCTCGAGCCGTAAGTGATTAGTCTGATTATTGGGGTACGCAACGTTGAGAGCCATCTAGCTGGATTACACCTTCCCTATTTGACAAAGCCAATCAAGGTCGTCCTCAAAAGGACATCGTCGACGAATACACTGTAAGATGATTGGCTCTTCCTCTGCTCAATGACTGACACTACTCCAGCTGGGCAAGAAACTCGGCCGTGATGCCGCACTCGTTGTACTCCGCGAACACTGGAACACGTTCGTCACGTGGCAAGACTTCAAGAAAATCAAGGATGCCGGCTTCAACATTGTCCGAATACCGATCGGATACTGGGCATATGACACCTTCGGGTCACCATACGTGGAGGGCGCAAAAGTCTACGTCGATGCCTCCATCGACTGGGCACGAAGCTTGGGGCTCAAGATCATCATCGACCTGCATGGTGCACCTGGATCCCAGAATGGGTACGATAATTCTGGTCAGCGCCTGAATGTCCCGCAATGGCAGTCTGGTGACACTGTCAAACAGACTTTGCAAGTTTTGAAGACCATCTCTGACCAGTACGCGCAAACTCAGTACCAAGATGTGATTGTCGGCATTCAACTCCTCAACGAACCAGCCATGTACTTCGATAACATCAGCGAGGACGTGACACGTCAGTTCTACCGCGATGGATATGCTCAAGTCCGCGACACCTCCGACACGACTGTTATTCTGCATGATGGCTTCATCAGACCAAATGAATGGAACGGGTACCTAACACCGTCAGACAATAACGCGCAAAACGTCGCAATCGACCACCACGAATATCAGATCTTCAACAATGATCTCATCCAGCTCAAGCCTTCTCAGCACAATCACAAAGTGTGCGACCTTGCCGATGCCTACGGTGGAGCGGACAAGTGGACCTTCGTTGGAGAATGGACTGGTGCTATGACCGACTGCGCAAAGTACCTCAATGGACTCGGGCGCGGAGCTCGATACGATGGTTCATATCTCGGTGCTCCATACCAGGGCGACTGCAGCTTCGCAAACAATGTCAGCAAGTGGAACCAGACGCAGAAGGACGATACGCGCAAGTACATTGAGACCCAGATCGCAGCCTTTGAATCGAAGACACAAGGATGGATTTTCTGGAACTTCAAGACGGAGAACGCATTCGAGTGGGACGCACTCGCACTCGTTAATGCTGGTGTGTTCCCTGCCATAAAGGACGGACAAGTCGAGTACAAATTTCCAAAGGTCTGTACAAACTTCTACTAGGAGGGAAGTACATGGGGACTTCACAAAGTCTGGAGATAGTAGTAAGCCCTTTTTTCCGGCGCCTCACCCTTTCCTATCATCCGGTGAGAATGTAGGTAGGCATTGTTACGCATGCAAATATAGGTCCGTGAACAGACTCACCACGCTCCACGCGTGTAAGTCGGCCAATACTAGTCGCTATCACTCAGCTCGCACCTGCTAAAATATCGGACGTAGCGCGCATAAGCCCCGCCACGCTCGCACCATGCAACAGGTCGTGTGTTGCCCAGACATGGATAGGCTTTTCCGCCCAGACACTCGACACTACATGCTCGCTCCCATTCGTCGCAACGAGCATCCTGCAAGCCACATTGCCCAACGAAGCATTCCGCCCCGGCACAAATGCATTACTACCAGCGTGCAGCTTGGCACGGTCTCAGAAATGCTCCCGGCAGCCTGACCTTCGTTCTCCCCGAGTCCCCGACTCTGAGGCTTTCCGGGGAAGGGAAGGGGAGAGATTGCCGGCGCGCTGTACGCCCACGCCGAGCAGGGTTCCTTCACCGTTGCACGCGTGCGGGGTAGGCTTGGAAAGCCTGGGGTAGCAGCGGTGCCAAGTGATTGCGGGAGGCGCGCCAAGGCGATGCTGCACGCTGTGTGGGTGTACTACATAACATACTTGAAGGTTGCATTCCCAGGGCGGTTCTTGTCTCAGCACTTTTGGACATATAACTCCACTGGTCCCAGCTGCGTGGCGCCGTCTCCCCTCACGTCCGCTTGCGCCCCACTTCCCCAGATTACCAACTTGACATTCAAGAAGAGAGCACCATGGAGACTAAAACCCAAGATGCGATCGTCGAGAGCGAGAAGAATGCCCGCCGCTACGATGAGAAAGCGGACCTTGAGAGCATCAGGCCTGTCGCGGGTGGAAATGCAGACTACACGGGTAGTGTAGCGAAGACGGATCCCAAGGAGATAGCGCTCGTGCGGAAGATCGACTGGAGACTTATGGTAAGCAAGATGCGCCCCGGTCGGCTCTCGAACGGAGGCCACATACTTTGGTGCAAGACTAACAGATGTAGCCTACGCTGTGCACCATGTACTTCCTCGTAAGTCGCCTCGTACCCGCTACGTGAACGGTGCGCCGTGTCAACGAGTCAGGAACGAAGCTCGACAAGCACCGCCAAGAAAGCTTCCCTCCCGACGCTACTTCAACATCACCAGCCTCACTAGCCTTACCTCTCGGCGAGCTCTGCTAACCAAGTGAAAGAACTATGTAGACCGCAACGCCATCGCGCAAGCGCGCCTCAACAATCTCGAGGAAGATCTCGGCATGACGGGCGTGCAGTTCAATACGACAGTCTCCATCCTCTTCGTCGGCTACGTGCTCATGCAGATCCCGTCCAACATGCTGATCACGCGCATCAAGCCGGGCATCTACATGAGCTCGTGGATGCTGGTGTGGGCCGTGGTGTCGGGGTGCACGGCGCTGGTGCAGACTTTCGGCGGCCTGGTTGCGTGCCGCTTCTTCTTGGGCATCACCGAGGCCCCGTTCTATCCGGGCGCGACGTATATGCTGAGTATCTTCTATACGCGCAAGGGTACGTGACTCGTGCTTTTGGGAGATGAGGTGCTCGAGGACACGGTGCTGACGAAGAACAGAGGTGGCTACGCGTATTGCCCTCTTGTACTGTGCCCAGATCCTGGCGACTGGATTCTCGGGCTTGATCGCTGCGGGGGTCTTTGCTGGCTTGGATGGAGCCAAGGGCATCGCTGGCTGGCGATGGCTCTTCATCATGTAAGTATCGATCCAGCATGCAGTCCGAGTGGAATGCTGACATGGGTCAGTGAGGGCGCGGCGACAGCCTTCGTGGCTGTCTTCGGCTTCTTCTTGCTCCCCAACACTCCTCTGACAACATCCTGGTTGACGCCTGAGGAGCGCCAGATGGCTCACGACCGCATGGAGCGCGACCGTGTTGGCGATGCGGGCGAGAAGGTCAGCATGATGGAAGGCCTCAAGCAAGCGTGCAAAGATAAGCGCACGTGGCTGTTCTGCTTGATGCAAAACTTCCACCTAAGCGCCTGCTCATTCAACTCGTTCTTCCCCACGTAAGACTCCCCTTTTCAAACACGAACACTTTGCAGATGCGGACTGACACCACCCAGCGTGGTCAGGACTCTCCGCTTCGATCGCACCATCACGCTCGTCCTGACCTGCCCGCCTTTCCTCTTCGCCGGCGTAGCAGGAATCATGACTGGCTGGAGCTCCGGGCGCATGCACGAACGCACCTGGCACATCACGGCGGGCCTGTCGGTCGCCATCGCTGGATTCGTGATCGCAGCCAGCACCATGAACACGGTAGGCCGCTACATCGCATGCTTCATTTTCCCCGTGGGCGCATACTCGGTCAACTCGGTCATCATCGGCTGGGCGTCGTCGACTCTCAGCCAGACGAAAGAGAAGAAGGCGGTTGTGCTGGCCATGACCAACGTGGGAGGCCAGATTGGGTATATCTACGGTGCGTACCTGTGGCCGGACACGGATTCTCCTCGCTTCGGCATTGGCTTTGGTGCGTCTGCGGGCTTTGCGTTGCTGAGCATTGGGTGTGCGTGGGCGATTCGTGTGATGTTGATCAAGGAGAACAAGAAGCTGAGGGAGTCGACGGACGGAGACATCAACTTGTACGGATACTAGGGGCTGGGAGAGACAGGCCAGAGCCAGGACTGCTCGGATGTTGAATCAAAAGCAGAGAGCACACACGCTAACGGATAACGAAATGCGAATTGCAGTATGTCAATGAATAATTTCAGAAGCGCATCTTTGGATCGAGCGTAGTGTCAGAGAATTGGCATCAGGTGTGGAGGCTGCTGGCTGCGGGGGTCTAGATGTGAGAACAGAGAATGGAAGAAAACGGTGCTGAAGTGAGAGGTGGACTAAAGTCCAGACTGGCTGCGGCGTCGTGGTGAATGAGACGGGGAGCGGAGGCCCCCAGCAGCAGCGAACGGGCGCAGGGCGCCGGGGAGAGGGCCGCTCAAGTTGGCGCCAGTTGGCCGCCGACCCAGCAGCATGGCGGAGCAGAGGCGGCGGGGGCTCGTGACCTGCGTCGCTGGCGGGTCCTCGCTGCTTCTGCGGGCAGTCAGCGCGGGGCGGCAATGCACAAAGTTCAGGCCAGAGCAATTATGCAATGCGTTCGCTGAGGCACACGGGCAGCAGGCAAACACGCAGCAAACACGCGCACTCGCTTGGCTTCCAGAGAGCAGGCGTGCAGGTTGCAGAAACGCTGGCGTGCAGCGCTGCGTGGGTGGGCGCTGCGTTGACGGCCTCCCAGGGAGACTACCGGTACATGGCAGGCCACCCGGCCAGCTTTTCGCAGCGCCGTCCTGGCGCGTCAGAGGCAGAGGTGGACAAGGCGCTGGCGCGTTTGGGGGGTGCGTTCGCTGGGCGGGTGCCGCCAAAAGCAGGCCGACTGCCTCCCGGGTGCGCCCGTCACATAAGCCGCGCTGCCCCCGACCGCCTGAGAATTGCGCCGCCCGCTCCCTCGCCCGCCTCACCACCACCACTGCCGCACCGCGCCAGCACCCGCCACATCCACAACTGCCTCGACGCTTCACCATGGCCCGCCCGAAGAAACCCAGCGCTGAAGACGCCGGCGAGCTCATGGTATCGGTCGAGTCCTACACGCGCACCCGTGATTCTGTGAGTCCAACTGCTCTGTTCTGTTCCACAACACGCGTCTGCATTGCTTGTGTCGTTCGCAGCTCGTCGCGACGATACGCAGCGTGCGACGCGCCACGCTCCCTCCCCACCACCATTTCCACACCCAAATCGCGTCTCATCCTGGTCGCCTGAGCTGCGCGACGCAATCGCCATGTCTGCGCACAAGCAGCTGCCATTGCTGCAGCCACGGGCGAGTTTCTCAGACGCGGCGGCGTCAACGACGCGCCAGGGCTCGACTGCACCCGCCATCACCTCGGAGAATCCTGCTAAGACACACCTCCACCAACAGGTCATCGTCTCGCTCAGCAACCTCCAGGCCGGTCTTGCCCACGTCCAGAGCGGGCTTAACGAGCTCCTGCGCGCCTACCTGGAGCACACCAACTCGGTCATTGCCGGTGAGGATGGCGTTCTCGACAAGCTCAACCTGGGCAAGGAGATCGCTGCGACCGCCAATGCCACCATAGAGGCTGCTTCGTCGACGGCGAATGGCATCGTGCAGGCCATCACTGCCGCCGACAAGGACAAGACCGACGCTGCTGCTGAGACGGGCAAGCCCGTCAAGGGCACCAAGCGCAAGCGCGAGAAGAAGGAGAAAGACCCCAACGCTCCCAAGAAGCCATTGACCGCCGCATTCTTGTATGCGCAGACTGCGCGACCAATCGTCAGGGGCGACCTCGAGGCTGCTCTGGGTCCTGACCAGAAGCTCGAGCCCAACGCCGTCAACCTCGAGGTCAACAAGCGCTGGAACGAGATGTCCGAGGAGGACAAGGAGGTAACATCTCGCACCACACCCGTGTCCGACTCGCGCATACTGACCTGCAACAGACCTGGAGACAGTCTTACCGCGGCTCCATGGAGCAGTGGAAGGAGGAGATGGCCACTTACACCGCTAGCAAGGGCGTTGCTGTTGCAGACCTCCACGACGAGGACGAAGACGACGCCGAAGTCGACGTTGAAGTTGAGGCTGCTGTTGAGTCTGACGATTCCTCTGAAGACGATGAGCCTGCACCAGCGAAAGCACCATCTCCACCCGTCAAGACTCCTCGCGTCAACAAGCGCCAGAAGACTGTCCAGAATGCCGCTGTCAACGGTGCTGCCGCGCCCATTGTCGCGGCCGCCTCGCCTATTCCTCTCCCTCGCTCCGCCCCTACAGTAGCTCCTCCCTCTGCCGTAACTGAAACTCCCGCTAAAAAGGAAAAGAAGAAGAAGGAGAAGGCTGCGCCTCAAGCTATTGCTCCCGCCCCGGCTGCCACAGCAAAGGAGACCACGCCTGACGAGGGCATCAAGAAGAAGCCCAAGAGCAGTCGCACCACACGCAACAACGAGCCCGAAGCTAGTGCCGATAAGGAAAACACCGCTGCGCCAGAGAAGGAGAAGAAGAAGCGCGAGAGGAAGCGTAAGGAGAATGCTGCTGCCTAAGCATCGACTCCCTCTTGCACCTTATTCTTACTCCTTCCAAGGCGTATACCGAGAACGAGCGATCGGTGACTGAATGCCTCCAGGCTCTCTGCTGCCCCGCGGGCCTAGCAACACTGCGGATAACGTTGAAGGTGCCGCATCTCTCCCGCGGCGTGAGAGTCTACTTTCTGACGACTACATCCTGGGTCCTTTGTGGGAGAACATGTGATGATACGAGCTGGGACAGCTTTGCAGTACCGCGTTCCTGTACCTCTACTTGTACATAGTTGCTGTGCTTGACCAAAATTGATCAATTGAACAAAGCTAGTCTGAACTATCGTCGTGTCACCAGGAGGTCGTATACCTTTGCTCTGAGCTATCGAGATCTTGCATTCACCTTCACCATTTTCCCTGCCGCAGCTTCACCGTTTTCCCTGCCGCAGCTTCACCATTTTTCCTGCGGCAGCTTCACCGTTTTTCCCTGCCGCAGCTTCACCGTTTTCCCTGCCGCAGCTTCACCGTTTTCCCTGCCGCAAACCTCACCGCACCAGCCGCCTTGGCCCGCAATCGTCACCGACAGACACGCTTTCGCGCCATCACATGCACGCTAACCCCACCAAACAGCCCCACTCTACTCACAAACTACCGCTGTGCGTCTTGACATGCCTGCTGCAGGAGATGATTTGCGAAAGTACTTGATTGTACCTCCCGCTTCCTCGTCGTCTTCCTCAAGCTCACACCTCAATCAACTTGCTAGCACACAGCTCGCTCCTGATTCAAGGCCTGACACTCCCCGCCTCCACAAGCTTGCCAACCGCAAGACAGAGAGCATCAACATGGAAGTCGGCCATGGTGCACATCCAAGCACAGTCTCATCAGCGCATATCGGCTATGACGCCGTCACAGAACCTGTGGGTGGCGTTATGACCATCGACGACTTCTTGTCCGCGAACCAAGAAGACCATGATGCCTTCATGGCGGCACGAGAGAAAGCGAACGCGCTGCCTACAAAGAAGAGCAAGACAAAGTCGTCAACGCCAGTCCAGCCCGTTGCTGTTGGAACTAGATCATCTGAACACACCGTTCGCCTTCATGACCTGTATCAGAAACTTGCCATTCCACAGCCAGTCTTCATGTACGAGGGAGACAGTATCACCAAATTCACCGTCGAAATTAGCTTTCCTGGGCTTGCTAATGCTGAGGAGCTGCAGGGCCTGAAAGAAGAGGGTCGGTTCAACAGCAAACAAGAAGCCAAGGAAGCATCGAGCAAGTCGGCACTGGCCATATTGGAGCGGTTGGTAGAAGAAGGCAGAGTCACTAATGCAGGCAAAACAAAGAAGCCAAAGGGAGAATCTGCACAGCAGCTGCCGAAAGAGAAGGAAGAGCCGGGCGAGAACTTTGTTGGTCAACTTCTCGGTATGCGTCGTCACTTTGCTCACTCCTTCAACTCTGACACTGTGCACAGAGTTCCAGCGCGCGGCTGGTGCGCCTCAGCCTACCTACAAAGACTACCAACTCGGCACGCGCTGGGCCTGCCTCGCAGAAATCGAGGGCCACGACCAGCCCTTCAGTTCCCTCGACGCCCTCTTCGGTTCCAAAAAGGCCGCGCGCCAACACGCCGCCGGCTGCGCAGTAGCCCACTTCAAGAGCGCCGGAATCTGGCCCGCAGAGTTCACCGACGTCGGCGGCATCAAGAAACGCAAAGCTGCCGCCCTCTCACCCTCGCTCTCCTCTCCCAACAGTGGCAAAGCCAGCGTAGCATCCACCAGCACAGCAGGCGTGGCATCAGCAACGGCCCAAGTCACGTCCCTCGCGCACATGCTCAACCTCAGCACCCCAGAGTACCGCTTCACGTACCCCGACCCCAGCGTCGCCGATATCCACACCGTGTCTTGCTATTTCAAGAACGGCGGCGCGCACGAGGGCCCGATCGGCGAGGTGCGCAACATCTTTGGGAAGAAGAATGCGAAAAATGAGTGTGCTAGGAACACACTGGCGTATCTGACCGAGGTGAAGAGGCAGCGGGAGGAGATTGCGAACAGACTGATTGCGGACATCAAGGGTGGCGCTGGGGTCGCGAGTATGGGCGTGGGCATGGCGATGGATGGCGAGGAGGGAGCCAAGCAGAGGATGGGGAAGAAGCAAGGCAGTGATGATGACCTGGACATCTATGAGGATGCTATGGAGTACTGAGTTGAAACGTTTGCCGGGTTTCGGGATTGGTAATATTCCTTTCTTGGAGGACTGGATGGACTTTCTCATTGCTTGAAGTTCGGGACAGCCATTCAATTCCGTTGTGATCGATAGTAGGTACAATGGTGGTTTTCAACCGAATATGACCAAGTCCAAGCTGCTCTGGCAAGTGAAGCATCGACTCCAATGACGGGTACAACCCTGGTATGCACTCAAGAGCAACACTTTTCTGACCGTTCTGTGCAAGAAATCCTTCGAGTACTTCCCAGATAATCGTTCCGGTCTATTCTGCATAGGCTCGAGTAAGTGGAACCACTTCACCCAGCAACCCCAACACCTTCTCACCTTTACCTCGTGAGAATCGTAGCGCAACAGCACCAGTGAAAGCCACAATCCCTCACCTAAAAAACCTCCACCACACATCCCTCCCCATCTTCTCTCTCCTCATCTTCCTTACCAAAACCCACTCACAATGCCATCCCACCACCAATGGACACCAACCGCCGCACTCCACCCCCTCCTCAGCACAACGCTGGCCGCACTCTACGTATCCTCGATCCTCGCACACCCGCCACGCCACCGCCTCAGCGCCTTCATCCTCCTCTGCGCGCCCGTTGGATACGCGTTCGTGCACCACCTCGCGCTGACGCCGTGGTACGCGCTCAACGACACCTTCGGGCGCATGCTGTACATCTGGCTCGCGTACATGAGCTACGCGTTTCTTCTCGTGCGCGTGCGTCCCGCGGTTGCGGACCGCAGCGCGTGGAGCGAGAGAATGCGGTGCGCGGCGAAGGTGCTGTATACACGGCATCTGGGGGAGTACTGTACGTCTCTGTCGGGCGAGAAAGAGAATGGAGCAGACATGATGATGCGCAATGTCCATGGAGGCCGGCGGCGCACGCTGCAGATGGACCCATCCGGCGCACTCGGTCCTGAACTTGCGGTGCTGAGGGGACGCCGCGAGCCGCCTCACCACCTCACGCGCGCGCGTTTCGGCCTCCGCCACCTCGCGAAGGCGGTGCTGTTCCTCGCTGTTAATACCGCGTACGACGCCTGCCTCATACCACCTGCCCTGTACCCCCCAGCGTCATTCGTGCGCCGCCTCCCGTCCTCACTCTCGGGCGACGAATTGAGGCTGCGCGCCATGATGACGTGGGACGTCTGCGTCGCCGACATGCTGTACTTCGAGACCGTGTACTCCCTATTCGCGATGCTCTGGGTGTGCGTGTTCCGCTTCGATGATGCCTCGGAGTGGTCGTTATCGCTGTTTGGAAAGATGGCGGACTGCTCCAGCGTGCGCGCGTACTGGGGAGCGTACTGGCACGATTTCATCAATGCGAGCTTCACTGCGCACATCAAGCTTGTCACGAGGCGCTGGTCGGGGCTGAGGAAGGGCGGTGGCAGGAGGTTGGTGGAGAATGGTCTGGTGTTTGTGGTGAGTGGGTTGATGCATTCGCTCGTGCGGTGTGTGCAGACTGATGGTAACGGAGAGATTTGGACGGTGACCCTATGGTACGGCGCTCAGATGCTTCCTATCGTTGTTGAAGGGGTGGTACAGCATTTCTGGCTGAGCTCGACGTTGAGAAGGTGGTTACATTTTCGTCTCGGGGAGGCGGTGATGATGAGATTGGAGAGGGCAGTTGGGTATGCATGGGTGTTTTGCTGGATGTTCTGGAGCGTGCCGAAGTATCTGCTCACCAGGCATGCGTGGGAACGGGAGAATATGCACAAGAGATTTCCAGAGCTATTTGCTAGTCCAAGGGAACGCGTGAAGATTGATCTGGGAGGATTGGAGTAGCAGAAATCGTGTGATTCGAAAAACAATCTTTCTTTCGCGAAGTCACTCAACTCATCTGCGGATGCGCCGGTAAAATAGAAAGCTCGTGTAAGTAAATGCCAGTTGATGAGATGGGTCGAGAAGTCACCAGAGCATCGAAAGAATAGCACGCTGAAGAAAAAGATCTTCGCCGTGCCCTGTGGTAAGATGCTGGGCGGCCAAGGGTCTCTGTCCAAGCCTTTAGTGCTGTAATCGATGCTTCGTGAAAGAGTACCGCATTGAGTATACCAAGAGATGATGTTCAGGCATGTTGCCATGAGAAGATGACCACAGGGATATTTCTGGATCGCGCTTGCCGAACAACGCTAGCGCCGGCACGTGGCGACATGGAATCGCGGGTGAAGGAAATTTGGCCGGACAACCTCACGATGCAGCCCTTTGTAAGCAGCGGCGCCCTTCAAAGAAATGACACTGAAATTGTCTTTCACAAAGTGATCTCTCATTGAACAAATGAGTACAGTGTCCTGCTGCGGTTCAACAGTGTGCAACCACGGGGACCCACACAATCGCCCACGATGCTAAATGACAAGCGGTGAAAAATTTCCGCATCAGCGACAATGCCCGAGCGTGAGGCTAGACTGACTATCGTCGAAACTGCCTTCCCTTAACGTATTCCTTACTTATCTCTTATCGTTGTTTCCACTTCCCCACGTCGTTCCTTCCTGTCACTTACCCCAGACTCGCTTCTTTGTTACGACAGTGCGCTCCTTTCGTATCGACTCTCAGATGACCATCAGCCACTCAGGCCCTTGCCTGCCGCCTTCCAGCAGCCTTCCTCCTATCCGCTCGTTGATCTGTGCAAGTGAGGAGCAAGTCAGCGCAGCACTTCGCGGTCTACAGACTCTGTACTGCCCCTTGCGACTACCGATTTTGCCGAAGTCTAGCGTCCGGCGCAAGGACCTTCCAGCAGCGTCAGGTGTCTCTACGCCCGTCCCAGTCGATTCCGGTTACGTCTCGCAAGATGAAGACGAGGATGATGAGGCCGCTGCCGAGGAGGTGACAGCAGCCGTCCGTGCTGATCCTTTCGAGCGCACCTTTGCGACAAGATGGCTCACATCGTTGATCTCGAGAATCGAAGAGATGGACATCACCGAGGATGCCAAGGCCCAGATAGTCGATGACGCAGGGTTCATTTTGTCTTCGTTCACAGGCTCGATGAACGATGAAGAAGAGGAAGCTCTCACCCGCGAATTCTCGTTTCCAACCGATCTCGGCGCACCGATCGAAGTGACCTTGAACGATGCCCCTCTGACTGGCACCGATCACACTGACGTCGGGCTTCAGTCCTGGGGTGCAAGCATTGTGCTGAGCAGTATGATGTGCGCCGACCCTGATCGCTTTGGGCTTACATCAACATCACTTCCGGGACGGCCTTCGATCATCGAGCTCGGTGCTGGCACTGGGCTCGTGAGTCTGACACTGGCAAAGCTGTTACCCAGTCTCGGTGTACGCCCCGCCGGTATCTCGGCGACAGACTACCACCCCACAGTCCTGGCCAACCTCCAGGAGAACATCAACACCAACTTCCCTCCCGGCGAGAACGTAAACATGCCAGTGAGTGCTATGGCAGTCGACTGGTCCCTGCCACCGCCCGATCTGGGGTCATCATCAGAGCTCCTCATCGCCGCAGACGTCGTCTACGCACCCCAACATGCCGCTTGGCTACGCGACTGTGCTGCACAGCTGATCACTGGTGATGGCGCGTTCTGGCTGATCGTCACTGTCAGACAGAACGGGAAGTTTGAGGGCATTCCGGACACTGTTGAGTCAGCTTTTATGCCGGAGCTTTGCCCGAAGGATGGTCAAGGTCGATCGTTCATGATCCTAGAACGAAATGAAGTCGAGAAGCGGAGAGGCGTCGGAAGGGGCGATGAGACGGGGTACAATCTGTACAAGATCGGCTGGGCTTAGCACATAAGTCAATTATAGACGGCGTTCAAGGCGTCGATGAAGCTTTAGCGTGCATTGGGATAATAGGCTAGATTCATGAGATAGACCACATATAGAGAGACGTCATGTAGAACGAGGCAATGCGACCAGAATTCATTATCAGGGGCATCTGCCTAATCTTTCGGCCCTTCAATCAAATTCTTGATACCTTCACCACGCGCCGTCTTGTCCCAAGCCTTCGTGGCATCCCCGAACGGTGTCACTGAACTCAGCAACGGCTTCACGTGCACAAGGCCCTTCGTGATCAACTTGACTGCCAACTCATAGTCACCTGCCCCGTATCTGAAGCAGCCTCGGAACATCAATTCCTTGTTGCTCACTGCCACAATCGGAAACTCGATCTTCGCCTTCCCGACGCCTGTCTGCACATATTTTCCTCCAGATCTGAGCAAGTGAACCCCCATGTTGATGCTTGACGCCGCGCCCGAGGCCTCGATTACTGTGTCGACCTTGCCACCCGTTGTGTCGATGCCGAACTCTTCTAGTCCAAATTCCTTTAGCAGCTTTGCGGCATCGTCTTCAGGGGTACTCTCGATATCTGCGCAGAATGTTTCGACTCCTAAATAGGTTCTGGCGAACTGCAGCTTCTTCTCCAAGACATCAACCAGAATGATGCGGTGCGCTCCGAACTGCCGCGCAACAGCCGCAACAAGCAGGCCGATCGTGCCTACAGTCGCATCAGCACTGCACGAGACTGATGCTAAAAACAAGACTCACCACTGCCCATGACAACCACCGTCTCGCTCGGCCTCACATCCGCCAACTTGACCGCATGCACAGCCACACTCGCAGGCTCAACCAGCACCGCTTCCTGCAGCCCAACCCCGTCGTCCAGCTTATACACAAAATCCTCACTGCTCCGGAAAAACTTGCACAGCGCGCCCTGCGTGTCCGGCGGCCCGGGGGCAGCAGCAAATCGCATCTGCCGACACAAATGGTACGTGCCGCTCTTGCACGCGCTGCAGAAGCGACACGGGGTGCCGGGCTCGATGGCCACGCGATCACCGACCGCGACGCGGGTGACGGACGAGCCAATGCAGTGGATTGTGCCCGAGGCCTCGTGGCCCATCACTATGCCTGTGCTGGGGTCGACGTGCTTACCGATGCCGCCGTGGTGCCAGAAGTGGACCTGTACGTGTTGAGCACCGGGGTGTGGCAGCTAATGGCTTGACTTACGTCGCTGCCGCAGACGCCGATGTATGCTATGCGGATGAGGACATGGTGGGGATCGGTCAGCTCTGGGATGGCTTTCTCTTCGAGTCTGGCGTTTTTGGCGCCGTAGAGGACTATGGATGGGTTCTTCATGTTGGTCGACGTGCTGCGGTTCAAAAGTTGATGATACGTTCAGAGGGCCAATGGTATTGGGTACGTGGTTCCGTGACGGCGTGAGTGTCAATAGATCTTGGGAGTGAGAGGGTGCAGAACGACTTTGAGAAACACCCCATTGCTACATATTCACTGCATTATATGCTCGTTCCATCGGCGATTCTCACCGACTGACAGATGTCCGTTGTCGATGCGGGGAGTTAGACGCGTGTAATATACCCCACTTCCTGTGGAGGAGCAGGAGCAGTCCACAGCCATGACGTAGTCAGTAAGCATAGAATCTTCTCAGTGCAGCATGACGCGCGACGTTACCACGCTGAGTGAATCCAACAGAGCCTTTGAGGACTGTTTCACGATAAGGCACAGAACAAGTGTCCGATTTAATTCCAGCATAAACGCTCCCGATGCTTCTTACACAACGAACCTGACGTGTCTAGATAACCTCACTGAGCCTTGCTCTCGGTAAGCTCCGACCGGAGGATCACCGCTGCTTGCTCGCAACAACGTCACTGGTGGCGGTCTCCTTACCGTGGGTCTGTGTGTGAACATGCTCATGTCTGGTCGTTGAGCTGCAGGCGGCGGTGGTGGCCGTGCTGGAGCCAGCTTTCCTGGACTTGCCAGAGAGCCGATGGAACTGTGGGGAGAGCAAAAACAGGGGTTTGCAGGAGTAGCCATGGACGCTTGAATGACTGACAGGGGCTCTTGCATGGGCGTCGATGGCGCAGATGCGAAATAGTCGGTTGCTATGTCGCTGCCAATGCTTGACCCGGACCAGTGCTTGTTGAGTATTGCTTGGAGATTGCTTGGAGGGACCTTGACGAGGGAGGCGAGGCAAGGCAGAACTGAAGCATAGGCTAGTACGGCAGCCATAACAACCTGACATTGCGCAGCAATCGTGTACGGCAGACTCTCCAACACTGGATCAAAGTCACCCAGCCCAGGCTGATGCAGGTAGACCAGTCGTATAACCGAAGCTATAACTAGACTTTGACCTTGTCAGTGATCGTAGCGTAACGGTCGGGGGACTCTTACAGAGTGCGAAGGGAGAGACCGAGAGAAGTCCAAATTTCTCTTCGCTGTTCGACACCTAAGCTAGTGACCACGATCACAGGCACAGCTATCAAGACTATGTCGAGTGTGATATCAATAACGATTAGGATAGTCCAGATTGACCGCTACGATTGTTATGCACTGCCAACATGCGCGCATACGGATAGAAACTTACTGTGGAGATACATCGTCCCATTTGCATATCCCATGGGTTGGGCATCTCGCACTGGAAGATAACGGTGGTCGTAGAGGCGAGCATAAACGCGAGTATGGCGCCTCCTATCGTAATGACACCCACCCTATACACTCTGGCTAGCTCGAGTCGATAAAGCCATATAACGATCGGCATCTTCGACAAGCTGATAGCAATAACGAACAGGATCGTAGATGCGTATGACCGGACTCTAACGCCACTCAGCCGTGTTTCCGTTACATGGCTCTTGGCTGTCGGCATGATGAGCATGCTGGTCAAGGCGAAGAGGCCCACAACTGCAGGTAGGATGCCATCAACTAGATGTATCTGACGATGAGGCTGTGTTCTGAAGCTGCGAACAAGTTGAAGGATTATGCACAGAATCCGGAATGTATCTTAGCATGAGCGAATAGACTCGCATGTTGGGGAAGGAGAGTAACTTACCAGCAAGCTTGAGAGTAGCCATGTGATCGCAATAGGTGGAGAAACTGAGTGATGCACCGAGTTCGATGCATCGGTATCTTCACGGTGCTCAAGATGCATTGTACCTGCTGTAAACTGACAACATCCGGGGTGGAAATTGCGGTGACATGGACTACAAGGAGCGGAACCCTTGTAGACGGGAAAAGTTAGCTATATCTTGCTGTGGTGGAGGCCATATCCGCAGGAACGAACTGACGACTAGTCGATCGCTGCAGTCGTGTATTGCTGCGGGAATTAAATCTTTCTCTAGTCAATCATTCGAGGACTGGACACGATACCGCAAATAGAACGCGACAAGAGTGGAGAAGCGGCTGATGGAGAGTTCTCGACAGACTATAGGACAGGTACACCGTATTGAGTAGAGAATGTACGCAGCGAGGTGCATGGAGCTGAGCGCTCAAGCCGAAGAGCTGGGCGCCATCAAGCGCCACAGTACTACGAGCGCAGGGTCATTGCATCGAGACTTGCAGACCGCAACCTGTGACTTGACGAACGCGAAAATCACGTTTCAGAGAACGAGGAGTGTCCGATGCGCGACTATTGAATGCGGTCGGGGCCGTACCGAGCTGAGTTAGATGTTGATCGTTGCATGGTCGATCTCTTCCACACGCGGGACCCTGATTTTTGCGTCGTCGAAGACGAGAAATCAAGCCTACCTCAGGTAGCAGGAGAGGTTGGTTGTAATAGCGAAATACCCGTAACCACCATAGATTCTGTTGAGGAGCAGCGTGTAGGATCTAGATACTGTGTATCTCCTAGGCTTCTGAGATTCAACGCCTGTAGCCGACTGACTCAGTTATATGAGAACGTCATGACAAGTCTTTGCGCTTCTGTTAAGAGAAGCTAACAAAATAGAGTGGCAAGTGATGGAGATGCTGGTATTGGTGGGATCACGCAGAGCGGAGGAAGGAGCAGCGAAATATGGCGCTAAGATAAGCACGATAAGCAGCCCATTTTCTCCCGCCAAAGTCCTCGCCCTGCGTGCGGTCCGCTTGTACTGGCAGTATTACAGACATGGTATATTAGTTTGCGGGCATCCAAGATTTATAGCAGCTGACAAAATCCCAGGCGCCCATAAAGAAGCGCACAACAGCGCGAGCAAAGTCAGCGCGCGCAGCCCGCCCAGTGCCAGCTGCACTTCCTAAGCCAGATGATTTCGAGAGCGGACTTGCATCTTCGAAACGGGACAAACAAAAGATCAAGCACTCCTCGTTTGTCAGTAAGATCGAAAAGTCAGGCGCAAAAGCACAGAAGCGACGACGACCGAACAAGAAGCTCGTAGCAAACCTCGAATCACTCGCCGATGCGCTACCAGGACTCGAGGAAGGAGGTGCAGATGGTGGAGTGGAGGTTGGACAGGCCAAGATTCAGCGCAAGAGCTTGAAGTCACGGCCGGGAGCTACGAAAAGGAAGGAGAAGCTGGTGAAAACCGAGATGGATCGCTTCAACAAGAATTTGGCGCAACTGGCAGGTAGTAGTACGGGGGGTGTACAGGATCGATGGGCAGCGCTGAAGAGCCATGTCCAGAACACCATGGAGGTCAAGCCCGAATTCGCCCAGAAGTCAGCATGAAGAGGTGAATACCGACATACACAACGATACCCAAATATGAGGAGGGAGACTTGAGCTGCCACGAAAGTCCAGTCTGTTCGAACACCCGAACGCCTTTCGCCACCAAAGCGCGAGTCGCAACATGGCAGTCCAATCCGTTGGTGAAGAGCGTAGTAACTGGATTTGGTGATTCATTGGGTGATGCATACAAGCGACGAAAGTCGTACCGTTGGAGCGGGTGCTGACTGGATTATGTAGACGTCCGCTGCTGCAAGGGCGCCTTTTGAACATATGAGAACCTTGACGGATCAATTTTGCTGCCAGATAGTATGTCATGAAGCCCATGAGTTTGAGAGGAGATCCCACGACATCAGAAGAGCCGAGTCTATTCAAATGCCATGCTCTCGTATGCAATTCGTTTCAATGTTCCAATTGTCATTCCACCTCAAACATGTGGCCCCTGCTGAGAGATAGCGCAAGACGATGACATCACCTTGGACTAAATCTCAAACTACGGCGAGGCCTAAACATTGGTGTCCGGAAGACCCGCTCCACACCTATGCCCTGTCTGCCTTATCGGCAATAAGCATGTCTGGAATTCCTCTTTACTTTGACAAGCACGGCGTGGCGTGCTTAAACGAGCACTTTGCCTGCTCCTTTACTTTTGATCAGCGTTGAGCGTGCATTGGTCGTTTCATCCTCTGAACCACGTAGCACTCTCCTACATACCACATACACTTCCAGGCAATATCCACGATGTCTTTCCTCGAGCAAAAGACAACTCGTGTTACCGGCAATAAGCCGCACAATGTCCGCCGTAACAGTACAATTGGCGGGGAGCCCTCAGGCCAGGTCCCAAACGCGAAGGAGCCTCGATCGCGGCCTGCAAAGTCACTACGCGACCGCCTGCCCTTCCCCCAGAGCACACTGCCTCCCTCTTCCGGCCCATACTCGATCGCAAACATGGAAATCGAAGTGCCGGTCAAGAATCCACGGCCCATTTCAGATATCAAAAGAGACGGGCGGCATCTATTACAGCTGGAGACGGTGCTGTTCACGATGTACTACCCTGCAGCATTCGGAACGGGCGAGGGTCAGGATCCATCAGGGCACAAGCACTGGAGTCGCGAGACATGGTTGCCTCGACCAAGAATGCAAACAGCGCGAGGCTACGCGCACTTTGCTGGCATCCCAGACTGGACTTTGATTAGTTTTTTGGGCGCAACTTCCATGCTTACCAAGCTTCGAGGTTTCCGAAACAGTCCACCAGCTACTCATTGGCCACCTGCGGGCAATTACAAACAGAACGGGTACAAGATTAAAAATCAAGAAGGGCCTCCCCCGGAGGGACACGATAGAGAGCCGGTCTTCCCACTGTTGATGTTTAGCCACGGCCTCGGAGGTACTCGGACGGCATATTCAAGCTTGTGTTCTGAGTTCGCAAGCTATGGCTTCGTTGTCTGCGCAGTCGAACACCGCGATGGATCAGGACCGAGGACGTTTGTCAATCACAGGAAACAGGACATCCGAAGTAAGGATCACAAAGGAGGAGCGAAAGCAGACAAGGCAGCCTGTGAGAGAAACAAGGATTGTGACCAGGAGTGGGAGCAATGGAAAGATGTGGACCACACTGAGGAAGAGCTTCGCAAGGGCCGTCACAATATAGTCCGTATGCTGTCTGCAAGCATCTAGGTTTTGGCACTGACTGCCTTCAGGATTACATTTTCCCCAAAGGCAACCGAACGGATACAGCACCCAATAATGAGCAAGGTGTAGACCAAGAATTGCGGAATGCGCAAATTGAGCTGAGGCTGTGTGAGCTCGAGGAAGCCTACAATGTCCTCAAGAAGATTTATGCCGGAGACGGTGAGGAAGTTGCTCGTCAAAATTTGCGAAGCGAGGGCTATGTAGGTGGCTCGTCACGAGGTCTGAAAGGCGTCAACTGGCAGCAATGGAAGAATCGGTTCCATATCGACAAGATGACCATCGCTGGGCACAGCTTTGGTGCCGCTACCGTGGTGGAAGTCCTACGACATACCGATCGATTTAAGAATGTACAGGCTGGCATCATCTACGACATATGGGGTGCGCCCATCAAGCCGCCCGCCGAAGCCCCCGAACACCGTATACACCTGCCACTCCTGGGGATAACCAGCGAAGCCTTCATGTATTGGCAACAGAATTTTGACGCCGTCATGTCACTGATGAAGGAGACGAAGGAGAGTGGTGCACCGGCATACCTGCTCACAGTTCGAGGATCCGTGCACATCAGTCAATCCGATTTTTCCCTCTTGTATAGAGGCATTACCGAGCTCCTCATGAAGGCTACAGTGCACCCTCAGAGGGCGATCGACCTCAACATCAGCGCGTCTCTCGAATTCCTTCGTTTAGTGGCTCCGGATGCCGGCGCTGGCAAGTCTCTGATCAATCGTGCTTTGAAGGATGAAGGCTTGTTAGAGACAGAACTCCTCGAAGAAGTGCCCAATGAGCATCGGCCAACCGACCAATGGATTGCCGCTAGGTTGAAGGTACCACACGAATTCCGCACACGCCTTACCACGGGTGTGCAAAGACACTTCAAGAAGAACAAGAAGGGAGAGACAACGTACAGTACAGGGGACGAAGTCTGGATGCACTTTAAGCCTACCGCGACAGAGCTGGAGAAGTGGATCAAGAAAGAAGGCAGGGGCGAGAAGAGGATCGACTCCAACCACGCCATGAAACTAGCAGCTGAAAATGGCAATCCTGCAACACACGAACTGCACGTCGAAAGAGAGGGCAATGGCAAAAGCAATGCAAGCGGCGCAACTGCCTCTCGCAATCGTTCGCAGATCGATAAGGATACCAACGGCGTGGACAGGAGTGATCTGGCACAATCTCACAGCGCAGATTTGACCAAGTGCGAGGCCAATAGTACTCTCAAGAGCAACAGGAAGGAACAAGGGAGAGATTTCGCAGCGGGCGACGTGTCGAAGTAGATTAAGATCGTACTTCAGTGGCAATCCAGTGTTCTTCAGAAGCCATCAGTATCATGTTATTCAAAACGTGCACCCCTCACAAGAAATCGCAGTCAATGGGAGACCAACATGTGCGATGATACTACTAACTGCCTCTCAGAAAGTGGACATGCTGAATGTCCCGCAGGCTGCAGCCACCACCGGAGTGCTTCACCACAGTAAGCAAGATGGCTTGAGAACGTGATTCAGACCTTGAATCTCTGCGGACACGCTGTCATTGCCACTCAATCAGCTCCGCTTCAAGACATCATTGCGATGCTTTATAAGCTGCCCAAAACTTGGGCAACACGTGACCGGTCACTAACCGAGGCGGGCCGTGCTGGTTTCGGTCACTTTGGCTGAACCGCTCAAGCTGAATAGTAATCACCTTCAACATCCGAGGACTCCATCAGTGGCACAACAATTGGGTCTCGCAACTTCGGCCGCAGTATTTGGACCGCAACTGGGAGTAATATTCCTCCTAGATTCTGTTTTACGGAGCAAATAAGTGTCAAGTTGTCAGTTCCTGCCGTTTAGGCGGAAATACATCGACCCTCCGGAGTCCGTACTCGTCTGCAACCCACGACGTCCATCTGTCCCCAAACAACAGCTTCGCAATCACTGCTGTTACCACGTCTCCTCTGAGCTTCTAGGGACAGTCAACTGCCCCCGCTTTGATCAACAAGCACTGTGCGTATTGTGTAAGACGCGCGCGGGCTTCCGGACCCTGCATCCGCCAAGCGAGCACTTGCTTCTTCCTGAGAGTTCCGCGACTGCATTTCGACTCGACTTGTGTTCCTCCTTCTACAGATGTTCAGCTCCTTGCTTGCGGTTAGCGTACGGCTCTATTGATATGAGCTTTGAGGTCTGAAGACGCCGCCGGATATCATCGCTACTTCGTTTGTTAAATACGCTATCTGAATCGGACCGAGTCGCCAGGTGCCTTGATGAGGGATTATTGCACTCGAAAGTCAGCAAGTCTGAGTCGCGCTGAAAGCATCATGAGGAGCAAAGAACCTGTAGAGCCGCCTCCTAAGCGTTCTCGCACGAGCGAGGCTGCGAACGATGTGGCTGTCACTGCTAGAGGCAAGAGAGCTCGTGGCCGGCCGCGAGTGGACGCACAGGATGCTACCGCCGCAGATGTGAGTTATACCCCTCCAATAGGAGCACCCTTTCTTCCACTCGGACGAATTAAGCATAGGTGATGCACAAAATAGGGAGACTGACGCAACTACTAGCGTCGAAGAACGCAGATTCGTATCGCTCAACGTGCATATCGGCAACGCAAAGAGACAACGATATCATCACTCAAGCAACAGAGCACTCAATTACATGCTATCATCGACGAGATGAACAGGTCATTTCTACGCTTCAGTAATTTGATTGTACAGTCAGAGATCCTGCGACAGAAACCAGGACTCGCAAAAGAACTAAAGCAAGCAGCCGACATCTTCACCAATTGTGTTATCACATCCAACGAACGAACACTGGATAGCGATGAGGATGAGCTCCGTGAAGCCGTGGCTACGCAGAAGTCACCTGAAGCTCCTGAATCTGTGACAAGAACGCAGACTAAGCCATCACAAACCATCGTACCTCCGGAAAAAAGCCAGTCATGGCGCTTTTCAGAAACATCGCAGACTGTTAGACAGGCACAAATAGACTCCGACGCTTCGCACCCCGAAAGCTACCTTACAAACATTTCGAGCTCAACATATGACCTACCAGAGTCGAACAACCGATCTAGCCTAGTCCGTCGATGGCAGTTCACAGTAGGTGAAGTGCTGGATCAGTCAAAATCAATGGGTACGCCTCAGCAATCACAAGTAACGGGCGATCATTACCATCAAGGACAGAAACAGCAGCAATCACTTCCTTTTGGCCTCGTCGATCTCCCTAGTCGCGAACAGTCGCCCTTTGTACCTCCATACATCTTTTCGGTCAGTGTCCCCACCTTGGGCGCAGAGCGTCCACCAACGCCAAGATCTCTCTCCGGCAAAATCTCATACTCTTCAGGTACATCGTTGAGTACGAAAACATTGTCGCCGAACTATACATACTCGTTCGAAGAAGTCACGTTCGCGCGACGATTGATGCGAGCGACGCTAGAGTCTGGCTTCCTCTTACTCTCCAAATCTGATGTCCACCCTGCAGCCTTGAACTACGTATTCAAGCTATCATTGCCGTACCTTACACTTGATGAGATCCGTGCTCGGTTCAAGACCATTCTCGCTCGTGGAGTCACCGAGGACCTGGACTGGTACGCCACGCCTTTTCTTCACCTCGGTGGTGCCGGAACACACTATCAACGACGCGACGCTCAGGGCAATCCAATACCCCTTAAGAATACCTGGACGATACGACAAATTGAACCGCTGGACAAACGCCTGATCAGGATGGAGAGTGTTGCTGACGGGCAAGTCCAAAATCTCGAAGGCATCGATCTCGCCGGTCTCGAAGGAGAATGGTTTGATGCATACGACGTGCAAGGCTACCTCGAAGAGCAGTGGCATTGTAGGATAGACCCCAGGAGTTCCTTCGCAGAGTGCTTAGTCGAAGACGAAAATGCCACGACCTCATACAACGAGAGGGAACCTCCGCGTCTCACTCCCGGATCCACAGCTGGTACCCCAGATGATTCGCCACCACCCATACCACCCTCCTTCAATTCGTTCGAACCTTCCTATGGATTAGATATGTCCTTCAACAACACACCCACGCCAAATTTCCTTGCAGTACCGAACCGACCAAGTCTTATAGATCTCTCATTTGATCAGACACTGGGGCTGGACCTTGCTCCTGGTTTCGGCCTCGGCTTCGACGGCAACGACGGTTACAACACGCTTAGCTTCAACACGATGGGTGAGGCTGAACAACTTCCTGTGGTGAAGCAGAAGCCGAAGAAAGTCGCGTGGGTAGACGTTTCGAAGCTTATCGATAGTGAGTTTGTTATCAACCATGGCGTGAATGTTAGCTGACAGCCTACGCAGAGATGATGACAAGAGCGATTTGCCTGGGTCGAGCGCCTGGATACAGGCGTAATGATGTAGATGTTGCCTTTAGAGAGGCACTAATACCCGCATTCTGAAGATACGATAGACGATACGATGTATGAGAGACGAGCGTATGCCCACGGAGGGGAACCTTTCTCATTGCATAAGAGGGCTGCTACACCACAAAAGTAATTGTGGTCTCTGGAGCTCTTCTCTAGTCATAGAGAACGTACGACACAGCTCTGGATCATTCACTCGCTCTCATGGCAGCAGGGCGTGCAGCTACCCTTTTTACGACATTACCTGCAGGAGTTTGGCGTTCAAGGAAAGGAGCGCCATGGAAAGACATGGTTTGCTGAGCTCGAACTATATACGACTTCATGACTAAATGCACCCATGCATGATATGCAAGTCATCGTCGAACAAACTAACAATAGTGCCTTACGTGAGGGCTGCACTCGGGGACACTCGGTACCACGGTACACTTCAGGGTCGCACACACAGACAGTCGCAAGAGTTTTCTCTTTGTCACTTGTACTCCAACCTCGAATATTGCAGCAACTAGCACACAGCACACATGCTATCGTCAACTGAGGAGCAAACCCACCGTGGGCTTGCTTTGTTGCCAAGAGGCGCTAGCCGCTAGTGAGGTCGTCGCAGGGAGCGCCTTTCGGAGAGTGATCGCGGACCATCACCCGTACAATCACCCCAGACCCCACGGCCGCCATCGTGAAAGCACTCGCACCCGTCATACAAGACTCGCCGTCTGCAAGACCCATATCCGTAGTCAATATACACAAGCGCAGAAGCTTCACGAAGCGCGCGCACTCTGTCGTACCTGCAGCATAGCTGTGACGTTGCCTGCCTGGTCTACAACCACCGTCAACCACCAACACGACGCATGCAGCTGTCGCATACTCTGCGCAACCGCCTACGTCGTACCTAGATAGATAGAACAAGTGGGAGCCGGCGCTATGTCGAACCAGGTGGTGGTCAGTTGTCTTCTGCAGCTGCTCATGCGAGCAGATGCATATGGGAAAGGCAGCGTGCTGACAGCAACATCAGGGCAATGTCTATCAGCAGATCATCGAGAAGGTTATCCAGGCTTCGCAGAATGACTTCGAGGAGTTCGGCGTGGACCAGTCGACGCTCGACGAAATGAAGCAGGTATGTCATGGCAGCCTGGCGGTGTGCACCCTCTGTTGCATCGTCATCCCTTCACTCCCGCAACTACCCTCATTTTCTTTACGTCAACGCTACGCTTTTTTTTGTTTTTGCTGTGCGCTGCATCTTTTATCGTTTTCTCTGCGCTTCAACCACGGCGACGGTGCCGCCTGGCTTGGAGGTGGATGGGCGGCCGAAAGCGGGGCGCGAGTTGCTGGTCGGTCTCGCAGGTCCGGGGCGCCCTCAGTATTTGGGTCACTCTTATACCCCCTGCGCAGGCTCACTGCCCCGCCAAGCCAAGCACATCCCTGTCCAAACAAGGCATAGCTTGGTCATGTGATGGCATACTCTCATTACTCGTCTATCAACAACATGTTGTCATTTGAGCATATGCTGACTTTTTAGGGCTGGCAAGAGAAGCTGTCCGCTCTCAAGGTTGCTCAATTTCCCTGGGATCCTCAGCCCGAGCCAGTGCGCCAGCCGCCTACTGTGCCGTCCAACGTGAAGGTCGACCATGACCTGCCCCAGGTCTCTGCCGCACAGGACCATATCAACTTCCCAAATGCTCAGATTAAGCCAGAGACCCCCTACCAGCAGCATCCCCAAGCCAATTATCCTCAGGCTCAGGGCTACCCTACTAGTGGGTTTGATGCACACCAAAACGCTGCTCAGCAGCGAGCACAGAACCTCGTCATGCAGCGCCAGCAACAGAGTAACATGATGATGCCACAGTCGAACTTCCCAAATCTCCCACAGCAGAACCTCCATCTGCCGCAGCAAGGTCAGCATTCCATGACTCAACAGCAACGCATGATGGCACCACAGCAGCAACAGATGCACCGCCCGCCTCAGCAGCAAATGCCACAGCAGCGTCAACAACAACCACAACAGAATAATGGCAACCTCTACACCTCGCAGACAGATGGTGCCGGAGACGGCTTGGAGGACTGGAAGGCCTTCCTTGCTGCGAGACGGGCTGCAGAGAATGAGGAAGGGCGTATCGCCGCGGATGAGTTCATGCGCGCTCGTGTCGACGCCATGGCCATGCAGCAGGATAGTGGGCTGATGGTGCCGCTCGACTCGATGCCGAAAGGCAAAAAGAGGAAGGCTGCTGTCCGAGTGCTCCAGGCTGAGAAGGCCGAGGCATCATCATCGGCCGCCCCGAGCGCATCAGTACCTGGCCTGTTTGATGGCCCTGATGATGACATCAAGCCTGGCGAAGAGGACCCTGACGATGCGATCAACTCCGACCTTGACGACCCTGAAGATGATGCGAATGACGGCGACAATAGCGATGACGAAATGGTTGATTACATGCTATGTACCTATGACAAGGTGCAGCGCGTCAAGAACAAGTGGAAGTGCACACTGAAAGACGGCATCCTGACCACAAACAAGAGGGAGTGAGTCAACTCCACCTGCATGATGAGGAACCTTGCTGACCAAGCAGATACCTATTCCACAAAGCCAACGGTGAATTTGAGTGGTAATAGCATAATGAAATAACGCTTATCGTATGCAGCTGAACTCGAATTCTGAGCGGTCGATCCCTCCGCCATATCCAGCTACGACGCTCCCGGACCGAGTTCAGCTGCAGCGACGGTCATTGTACAACATCGAGGTCCTCACTACCTACCTGACGGTGCGCTATGACGTGGAACCTTCCAAGACATACATCACAGACATGTTCACCCCGCAGTGCGACCATCAAAAGTTGCAGCTGTACGACACACATCATCGTCACGAGTGGGCATCTGACGATCAGAAAAACGCCTCATCATTACGACTACGCGATCATGAAATGATCTTCGATCGAACTAGTCTCAGTGTCTTATTCAACCGGCACAGATCGCGCTCGACTTGCCGAGTTCTTGTCTTTTTCGTCAGCAGATCCAATACCCTCGAAACGAGAACGAGGGATGGATGCTTGCTCTATTTGCGGCAGCACAGAAATTTAAAGCGGTACGCTGAATATGAGACTGTCAAACATGCGTGCGCAATTGAGTTGGGATGGTGATCACAGCCTAGCTTGGAACAGGACGTAGCCACCCACCACCAATAAAATAGAACATGTAGCACGCGCATATCTTTCAAACATCATAATCTAATTGGAACATAGAGCCTGTACACTAATCTAAGCGTATCTGACATCAGAAGTATTACATTAGAATTGTAGTATCGACCGGAAGTCTCATAACAAGCATCGTAACATCGTAGCCGTAATAATGCTCGCTTTCTCTTCGCCGAACATCCACTCAGTACCCGCGCGCTCTCTGATCCCGCTCAATCAGGTCCAGAACCCCAAGTCCCAACCCGTTCTGCTGCATGCTGTCTTTCCGCTCCATCACACTGTGGTTCACGCCCATATTGCCCATGAGCCCTGCGCTCAACGCCCCGGAACTCGTGTCCTCGTGGAACGGGCTGGCCAGGTTCCATAGCGCGGGATTCAGATTCGCGGTGCTGGAGTGCAGCGATCCGTGGCCCACGAGCTCGTCGTTGCCGTACGTGGAGATTGGCAGGGACGGCGTGTGCTGCGCGTGTACGTGGTGGTGTTGCGGGACTTGGTGAGATCCTTGCGAGTGCGATGAGCGCGCGGTCCACGGCGATACGTAGCCCTCTGCCTGCGACTCGAGGCTGCTTATCAGAGCCCCCGAGTGCGCCCAGCTGGGCACCGGCTTCGTGCTATAGCAGTTCTGTACCCCTGTTCCCGCACCAAGCTGGGATAGTGATGGGTCCGCGAGCGCGTGGGTGGGCGTCACCCCGATTGCTGCGATGTCGTTGGCGCTGAGTCCCATTTCTAGCAGGGATTGATGGTCCATTCCGCTCAGCGCGTTCAGACCGCCCATGTCCCCGCTCTGCGATGCGAATGCTTCGTAGCCCGCCATGATTGCGGGCGAGAACGCACCGCTGATGTCGATGCGGCCGCCTGTGAAGTCGAAGTCGTTGGTGTCGAAACCCGACGCGGTGTCCTGGCTGTGCGGCATGTGCGGCATGGAGGCAAAAGAGTGATCTGTTGCTGTGCTTGGTGCGGCGGAGGCAGATGGTGTGGAAAGGCCGGGCGCTGTGCAGGGCCAGGAGGCGAGGGTATCGATGTGGAGTTGTGGAGGTGGGGGCTGTGTGTGGTATGGTTGAACTGCATACGCATGATGAGCAAGTTGTTCCAGAGTTGATTGCTGATGGTATAGCGGAGTTGGATGAGGTGGTTGGGATTGCGAGGTGCTGATCTCGAGCAGTTCCGAGTCTATGCTGTTGAGAGATTCTTGCTTGATCCACTCCTGCTTCATACCGGGTTGCGAGGCGCCAAAAGATACGGCGCGCCATTTCATCTGACCTACTTCTACGGAGTCGCGCGTCTGTCGAAAGCGCCAGAGGATTGTAAGGACGCACTCTGCACCGCCACTAGAGTTGATACCGTACACGTCTTGGGTTGCTGTGAGCTTCATCAGAGAGCGGCCGACGAGGCCATCATCCTTGTGCCGCAGGGTTTGGTACTTCGACATTCGATTGACCCAGAATCGAGAGCCAAAGGCAAGGCGCAAGCGACCGCTGCAACCGTGCGGGTCGGGTGTGTATTCGCACGAAGTACGGTGTTCCTTCAGATCCTGGTGGTGTGGCCCATCGAATTGCGGGTCGGCATTCATTTTCCCGTCATCGTAGAAGCGAGTGGTGCAGACCAAGGAGTCGAAGGGTCGCAAATCGCGGTGTGAGTGGAGATCAAAGGCGATAGAGAGGTGCGCGTTTGGTCGTGTTTCGGTCATAACTTTAATAGAAGCATCACAGATCAAGACTTTGTGTTGCTTCCTTGCCCATTCGTCGGTCTGTTTCTGGAGGAACGTAAACTCAGGATACTGTCTATGCCACAGCGACGTGTCTGCCACACTCAGTTCTGGCTGTCTTCCATCTCGTGATAAGGAAGTGAAGTCGTGCACGGGCTGATCTGCATCTTCGACTAGCATCGTGAAGTCTGTTACTGTGTAAGGCGACGCCCCCGTAGCACCAAAGCTCAAACCAAGTGATGACTGCAACGAGCTAAGGCCAGACCAGAAGGGTACTGGGGCGCTGTAATCGTATTTTGAGCCGCCACCCACGCGCTGCGACGGGTGGTGGCGCGCGCCCAAGTGTGACAGGTGATACGAGTTCGCAGCCTCCCTCCCGCGGTGGCGTTTCTTGTCTTCGTCCTTTGTTGCCATATATACAAGCACTGTCGCGTGGTGTGTCAGCCTCTTTGCGCGAGTCAGGAAATCCCTAGCATCAACAAAAAAAAATCCAGACATCGCGGGAGATCGACACTGGTGAATCAGATGTAGTTCTGAGTTTGGGTGTACTCACCATGAGGCTGATCCTTGAGATGCTGCTTGAGCACTTGAAGGTGGCTCGACACCTGCTTGCGGTCTCGTCTGATTCCTGTGTCTTTGTAGATTGAGTCTTGGATGAGTTCGTTGCGGCCGCGTAGCGCATTATCGAGCAAAAACTTCTTGCGTCCCATTGGCGGCCATCGGATGAGTGCTGATGTGCTGTTAGTCAAAAGTGATCTCATATGGAGGCCTAGATACATCCACTTACCTCTCCAGAAAGCGTGTTCTAGAAATTCAGGCCAGACACTTTTTTCCGGGCTCTTGTTATCCTTGTCAATCTTCATCTTTGCTTCTCTTGCCTCTCTCTCGATGAACTGCTGGGGTGTCAACTGCGGCTGCTTCTCTCGGTACTTCTGGTATTTGTCCGATCGATTTAGCAACGCGTATAGCTTTTTGATATCTCGCGAGATTTGTTCTTCGTTCCTCTCTACCCCGTGTCCTGCTAGTCCGATGTGATGAGGAGCGTGAAGATTGCCGGTGAAGTAACCGCCTGCATTGGTAGATTGTTGAGTATAGACATTTTCGGTAGGACTTTGGCTTCGAGAAGCCTTCTGCACCGCTGCTTGTGTGCCTGTGAGTGGGGATGCAGTGTTGTCGTGTGGCCAATTGGCGGATCGTTCCTGAAGGACGCTTCGATGTTGTGATGACGGCCCATCGAGTGGTGTTCCAACTGAAGGTGTGTTCAAGGCTGAGCAGTTGCCAGATAGTAGGCCTGACTGGCGGTGTTGAAGTTCCATAGTACTTCTGGTATGTAAAGAGCCTAAAGAATGGAGGGAATGAAGGGTAAGAATGATGACTTTTGCGTATCTCAGGCAGAAATGGAAGGAACGTCTGGCAGTTGGAGCAATGAGTGACTGTGGATTGTAAAAGAGGAATAAGAGAATGCGGTTCGAGTATGTGGCAATGGTATGCAGATATTGATCGATGATATAAGAGGGTACCCCAACGGTTGACCCTCAGAGAAGAGGGCCGCTTGGCAGAAGGAACTGGATTCGCGGTGCACCCAAGGGAAGCCGTCTGACAGGTACGATAGGACTCGGCTATACTTGAAGTGGATGCAAGATCGGTCACCAAGGTAGCATCCCGACAACCATGAAATTAGGCTAACACGCTACCTACGGGCGTCGTGGTCGCCCACCTATCGCCATTTCGCTTGTTGCCCAAGTAATTACACTCTTCGCGATTCCTTAGTCTGTTGGAATGGTAAATATTGCCTGGTTAGCAGTGGAGCAAGGGCATCAGATAATTGCCGACTGATCAATCGTCATCTGATTGGACGTGTGCGAGGGAGAACTCGGCTTGGAATGCTTTGAGCAAGAATGAATGTCAGTGGCTAACAACAGATTATGTGAGTCGAGTTCAAATGATCGACAACCGTCTCGTTTGTGGCTGCCTTGCTCGTTGTGTCTCAGTATGACTGAAACCCAGTGTGGTGGCCATGCCCATTCATCCAGGTCTCTGTGCGAAAATCCTGTAGCGGTGACTTACATGTAGAAGCTGTGTGCAAGGTGTGACCTGGCCCGCTTCTAGTGCACCGCGGGGTCCTTTGCGAAGGGCGGGCCTCAGCTTTTTGGCCGAGCAAGCAAGGGGTGCTGTTAGGGACGACACAGCCTGACGGTGACGCGCAGAGTTTGCAGACTGCTCCTATTGGAGTACGCACGCGCTCAAGCTCATTCATCTAGGTCGTCGTTGTTGCCTGCAACATTAAACTTCTGGCGGCCGCCTGCAGTAAGTTTCTGGAGGGCGACCTTGTTGGCCTGTGCTCCCATCTTCTGCTGCATCTTCTCGAGTTCCTTCTCGGGGTCGTCCGATTCAGTCTCAGCGAAAGCAAGAACCAATCGTCGACCGAGAAGATGAGTGTTCTTCAAAGCGTTCATGGCATTGACGGCGTCGCGTTTCGTAGTGAACTCAGCGAACCCGAAACCACGTGAAGAGGAGTCGAACTTCTTGGGTACCCTGACGGACCGAAGCTGGCCGTAAGGGGTGAACAGTGCGCGCACCTCCTTCTTGCTAGCTTCGAAGGGCAAGTTTTTAATAAGAATCTTGGTGCTCGCTGCCTTCTTCGCGGCGTCCTCCTTGCGACGCTCCTCTGCCGCATCTGCACCCTTGTGAGATGCCTTGATTTGCAGCTTGTGACCTTCGAGATCATGGCCATTCAGCGTTCGGAGCGCCGCGGTTGCTGCTTCTGGGCTATCGAACTCGACAAAACCGAAACCCATCGACAGCACGCCGCGCTTCGGATCGATCTTGGTCTTGACTCTAGCACTGCGGAAGCCAGACAAGGGCTTGAACAACTCCATGAGGCGCTCGGTTGTGGTGGAGAAGTTGAGGTTGCGGACGTAGAGAGTGGCGGTATTAGATGCATCAGGCTCAGGAGCTTCCTCGAGCAAGTCTGTCGCACTGAGCTTCGTCTCCGTCTTATCACTGGATGTGGTCTGAATTGCAGGTGCCACGAACCCCTCTTTGAACAGGTCTTTGGGTGCCTTTTCAAGATACAAAATGGAATCTTTCATCTTACGGTATGAGAGAGCCATGAATGCCGTCTTCGCCTCTGCTGAGTTTGAGAATTCAACGATAGCGGTCATGCCGGTTGGTGGCATGAGAAACTTGGTGACCCTGCCATGTTCTTCGAATGTCTTCCGCAATTCGTCCGCCGTTACGGAGTGGGGGACATTCTTAACCAGGATTGCAGTGTCACCCTTCGCACTGTTCTTGAAAGCCTCAAGATCAATGCCGTGTTGAGCAAAGTAGTTTTTGGTTTCTTGGATGATGTGGGTCTCGGCGTGAGCCTGCTTGACAGCAGCATCCGAAGAGGTTGGGTCAAGTAACTCTGCCTTGCTTATCCCCATACGGCTAGCGAGCGTGGACATGACTGCATCGGCGTTGAGGTACAGCGAATTCCAGTTGAATGTAGCTTTGACAGCATCTTGCTTGCGGCGAATCTCCTTCTGTTTCTTCAGCGGTAGCTTGGAAATCTCAAACTCGTCAAGCTTGGTGTCTTTCTTCGCCTTGGCCGAGATGATATGCAAGAGACGGCCTTGGAAGATGGTGCTGTCGTTCTCATGGTAGGCCTTGACAGCATCCTCAGGGTCCTTGAACTGTACGAAAGCAAAGCCCTTGCCTTTGCCATCGACTTTTTTCAATGGAACATGGACCTAGCTTGATCAGCGACTGCTTCAACGCAAAGAGTGAAATCAACAAAGTGACCAAGGTTCGCCGATATCAGATCAGAGAGACATCTACTAAAATACTCTCACAAGGTAACTTCAAATGCCTGGGCATCAGTTGTCCCTATCTTGACGTTCATCCTAAAAGCGAAGCTTGTGGAAAGAAGTGTTAAGTACTTACTTCGTCGAGGGAGCCGTATGTAGAGAATTGGTTCCTGATATCTTCTTCAGCGACCTCGAAGTGCAGGTTGCGAAGGTAAAGCCGTCCAGTGTCACGGATCTTATCGGCCTCAGATGGGGTGGCTGCGGCGGCAAGGGTAGTTTCTTCAACAAGCTGTGTGGGTCCAGCCTGCGGCTCCGCGGCTACGGGAGAATCGCGCTTCTCCGCAGCAGGCTTGCTGGGAGCCGACGCAGGGGCGACAGGGACGTCATCATCCTCGACAAGATCAAGTAGTCGGTTTGTCTTGGATCGCAACCAGTCATCGTCAGTCGTTGGAGGTTGATCAACCGCAGCAACATCTGGTGCATCTGGCATCACTGCGTCTACGTCTCCTACTGCCTCTCCTGTGGAGCTGATGGGCGCTATCGCTAGAGCGGATTGTGTCTCCTCCACAATCTCCTTGGGCGCGTCAACTGTCTTCGGCTTCTTCGCAATGACCTGGTACTCATCGTCGCTCTCGTCTGCCGGGATAGTGACGTCTTGCACTGGCTCTTTGACAGCGGTGGAGTTGCCAGCAGCGATCTGTGCATCGCCATCTGTCCAGATGTTTGTCTTCGAAGGCGGCTGGTAGATTTCGAGAAACTCTTTCAACTTTGGATCTTGCTCGGCTTGCTCTCGCTTGCGCTTGAGTGCATTGTCTTCCTTGGGCGGTGGGAAGTAGTCGTCGCCCTTCGGGGCAGCCTTCTCCACCTTGATCTGGCGTCGTGACTTGGGCAGCAGCTCGTCTGCAATCTATAACCACCGTCAGCCCAACTCATGCCAGACACCACCACGCAAGCTTACCGGACGTGCAATCTCAACGTTGATCTTAGTCATCCGAATGAAGGTCTTGTTGAAGTACTTGACGGCCTTTGCGGCGTCCTCTGTTGTCTTGTAGCCCACATATCCGATGCGGCGATGCGGGAAGAACTTGACGTCGGTAACGGGGAACTTGGCAAAGTGCTTGCGCACATCGTCCTCGGTGAACTTGGGTGGCAGTCCGCGCACAAAGATACGCGACGACTCCATGACGTGAAGAGGGTATGAGCGGTGGCCTGCCCAAGTGAAGGCGACACAAAACAGCAAAGCGAGTGTGGCAGAAACGCTGCTCGGCAAAAAGTTCGTGAAATGGACAAATTTTAGCGTCACTGCACGCTAACGCTCCGATAGGCCGAACCGGGCTGCTGGTGGCTCCTGCTGTTTCGCACTGGCCAGCTGCTCCAACACCAACACCAAGCCGTTGTAGCTGCAACAAACACAAAGCTTCGCACAAACATTGCTTCCTGACTCAAAATCGTACAGCACAACCTTACACGCCACACGCCACGCTTCTAAGCTCGACAACATGGCCAGTGAGAAGTCTGATGTTCACAAGCAGGAGGGTACGGCCCCTACATGTACATCTGCATCATGAGCACGAGTATTAGCTAATGCCTTGACAGCGCAGATCAAGTCTGCCGACATGGTATGCAGACCAATGAGTCTTTTCTATGACAAGTGCTGATGTAGTGCTGCAGAGCGAGGAGATGCAGAACGAGGCCATTGAAGTTGGTAAGTTACCTTGCACTCAGATGCGGCTGACTGAAACGCTGACATACTTGTAGCACAACAGGCAATGGAGCAGTTCACCATCGAGAAGGTAGATTAATTCTTCTCAGTTCACTCGGACACAGTTACTGACAGTCATTTCAAGGACATTGCGCAGTACATCAAGAAGGAAGTAAGTGGTTAGATATCATGTGGCTCGTGCAAACATACTGACCTCACCAAGTTTGACAACCGCAAGGGCGCAACATGGCACTGCATCGTCGGCAGGAACTTTGGCAGTTTCGTTACGCACGGTAGGTCTGAGTGCCATCACTTTCGCATCACCTACTAATAGCCTGCAGAAACCAAGCACTTTATTTACTTCTATCTCGGACACTGCGCCATCCTCTTGTTCAAGACCCAGTAAGCACGAGCAATTGGATTCAAGTATCGTTGGTCGTCTGGAGTTATCATCTGCCGTTCGTTCTACCACAGCATCCGGACTGCTGGAGCCCACTTCTCGTCTCGGCTTAGGTTCAGAGTAGGGCACCTGCTTGATCGTCACGGACATCGGCCTGGTGAGACTTGTGCCTATGTTTTGGTCATCGGCGGTCAGGATTGTTCATTGTCCATTTGTTAAGCGGTATCGAGGACTTGAGGTGGGGTTCACGAAGTCTGGGAAGAAGGGCTACTTTTGTCAGGACACCACGAGTATCACGAGTCTCTTCCGAGGCACTGGACGCCTATCGATAAACAAAACAGCAACCATACTCATTCTCGACGTTTTGCCGTTCACGTGCGCCCAGAGAGCTTGACGCATTCCACTCGCGCACATGCGGAGGAGTGCAACGAGCCAAGCACCACGAATGTGGCTGAGTGACTGCAGTGATGACGGCGCCTTCCTCGGCGCCATTCAACATGGATAACCTTACTCCTGCTCTGCCCATATATCCCTCTTGCCTCCTCCCGCCGTGCCTGCGACCCTGGATACTACTCTACAATCAAACGCGCTCGCCGTGTGACGATATTACTGCAAGCTAAAGTACCCTTGCTTGGCCAACCCGCAGCGCGCGTATAGCTCCACCTCTCCGCACCACCTCCGCACCCGCACGATCGGCCGCGACGCGCAACGAAGCCACGGACATTCTAGCTGCACATTCGTAGCGCACGCAACTCGCAAACATGTTCTTCTTCTTCACGTGCGGGACACACAGTACGTCTGCGCGGCGCAACGATCCAGTTATGGCCGCACGACTAACCCCTGCGCAGCCTTCAACTCGCAGCTCAAGGGCGCCGAGCACATCACAGTACAATGCCAGAACTGCGGCAACTTCTCTGGCAGAGTGATGAAGCGCTGGTAAGTCTGCATCCTACATCCGCCAAGCACCTGCAACTTGTTCCATCATACGCCGCACGATGCATTGGCTAACACGTCCTAGGGAATGGTTCACATTCTGCTTCGTCCCGCTCATCCCGTTCTCGCTCAAGCCCTATAAGGAGGTTGGCTGCCACATCTGCAACTTCTGGCAAGACATCAAGTACCGCCCCGACGTGCAGCAACAGATGCAGGGCGGCGAAGGACAGCCCGCAGTCATGATGCACGGTGGGAACGGTCACGGTGCACCACCGAGCGGCGTGCCGCAATACAAGTGAAGAGGGGAGGTGTGAAGATGGGCTGAAGCGTTGAGGAGTGGGATTATGATCCGATTGGAGAGCGTTGGGGTCGAGGTTGAATGTGGTGACGACCTCAAGGCTTGCCTCTGATGGACACAGAAAGCGTTGCCTTTTGCAGGACAGGAGCGCAGGAGTGTTTTGGACGAGTCATGCTTTGTCATCTCTCGAGGCGTTTGGGACTGCGAACAGATACCATACGGCATTTCTTTGTGTATTGAGTCAGTATTTATTTTTCGCTACCACGCGCGCCCTTCATTTAAACCACTGGTCAGGAAGTGCATGTAATGAAGGATGCATTGTATAAGAACGTCACGCCCCCTCGAGCAGATCCGAGCCGCCGCACATTGAGACCAAGCGCACACAAATCCGACTCGAGATCTAACCATACAATCCTTCCAGCCTCGTGTAAGTCCTCATAATTACAAACTTCCAAATGTCCATTGACACCCATATCAGCACACGTGTATCCCCGCTGACCGCGCCTTTCCCTAGTCACGCAACCAGCTCTCCTTCTCTCCTCTCGCCTACAGCAAACACCACCACCACCTTCGACATCCACAAGTTCCTAATCACAAGCCCACTCCCACCCCACCAACACCATGAACAATCTACCCAGGGAACACGGTATCACGCTCGCCAGCGCTGTTCTCACAACGGCCACGACCACCGGGCTCTCGTGGCTCGGGTTCAAGGCCTGGAACGTCGACACCGAGTACTACGAGGCCGAAGCGCGCGAGCGGGCTGAGCGCGAGGGCGCGGATAACGAAGGCGCCGGCGTTAGAGACACGATGCGGAGCACTGCGGGCTACAACGGATAGCGAGCTGATGTGTGCATGGACTGGGCTTATTGACGAGTGTAACGGGATTTGCGGAAACTGGAGGTTCGGGTTGGAAGGATCTGAGGCCGCTGTCGAGGAACCGGGGTCGAAAAAACGGAGTGATATTCTGTTCTATAAGAGATATAGAAATGGCATTATCTGATCACAGTGCCTTCGTACGCTGTTTGTCGTTGCTGATCTCGGTGCAGTGGGCTTTTCTCCGTGACCACCCTCGTAGTGCAGAGAGAGAGGTTCATCGGCGGGTATAGACATCCTGTAACTCGTCAGTGCGTACATCCAGCAAAGGGCAGTTGCAGAAGCGGACAGCGTATCGCGAAGCTGTGGGTCTCCTTGCACCTGTACTGCCAATCCAGTGTGTAAAAACGTGTCTGTCCACTGTCGAAGAATGCGGCCGAGGTGAGGTGCATGTCCGTCGACACTGCGCACCGGGGGCGGTTGGACACGGAGGAAAGCGTTTCCGTCGCGGGGGTGATATTTGAACGAGACCCAAGTATAACAAACACCACGTTGAGTTTCGAGGGCTTGCGGGTGAAGCGAGAGTGTAGAGTGTAGACGCTCGATCTTCAGTCTACTCATCTGCGGGTACGGCGTCAAATCTGACCTCGTGTGGAAAGGTTGTGTACGAACCGGAGTATTAATTGGGGGAATAATGACTCTGGGCAACCACTTTTGAGTTATGTAGACTTGTTCTTGCGAGGTGAAGCGTGTAACAGCCAACGCTGACATTCCGAGGCGTGAAGATCAAGGTTGTATCCATTCGTACTGTCGATTCTGCTTCTGACACTTGTATCGATGGGAGTGCACATCTCCCTACAGCTAGTGAGTATTCAGTGACAACTTGCATCTGCAGGCAGGCTGGTAAAGACTTGTCTGTGAGGGGTAGTGATGCAAGGAACAATGGCATTTCTAATACACAAAGTACGCCTGCGTCAACGGCAACTCTTCACTCGGTTCGGCCGTACAATGCATCCCATCGGCCTCAACTCTGTACGTCTCGGGGTCGACCGTCATCTTCGGTCGCACGTCGTTGAACTTCATATCTCGCTTGCCAATGTTTCTGCAATTCTTGACTGCTTCGACGCGCTTCCGTAAGCCGTACGACGCGATGACACCGGAGTCAATGCTGGCCTTGGACACGAATGTGACCGACGATGAAGGCACCATGGGAGCGAACATGGGGCGCATGATGACGGGCTCTACGGTGGGGATCGAGGCGTTGGGATCACCCTGCGAATGTCAGTGGCAACGCAGTAGAGAGATGGCAAGATCACATACCATCTGGGCGTAGGAGCACATTCCGCTCTTGACGACTAGCGCCGGCTTGACGCCGAAGTTTGCAGGATGCCACAAGACCAAGTCCGCCAGCATACCGACTTCGATGCTGCCAATGAGATGACCCATGCCTTGAGCGATGGCAGGATTGACGGTGTACTTGCTGATGTATCTCTTCACTCTGAAGTTGTCGGCACCGGTACCTTCGTCCTCTTTGAGGTATCCGCGCTGGACCTTGTTCTTGTGCGCCGTGTTCCATGTCCGGAGAATGACTTCACCGCATCGCCCCATTGCCTGCGAATCTGACGACATCATAGAAATGGCGCCGAGGTCGTGAAGCACATCCTCTGCGGCGATCGTCTCGGCACGGATACGCGACTCGGCAAAAGCTACATCTTCAGGGATGTTCTTGGATAGATGGTGACAGACCATGAGCATGTCCAGATGCTCGTCCAAGGTATTGCGCGTGTACGGCCGGGTAGGGTTTGTGGACGATGGAAGAACGTTGTCATGCTCGACGACGCTGATAATGTCTGGTGCATGCCCTCCGCCTGCGCCTTCGGTGTGGTAGGTATGAATGACTCTGTTCTTGAAGGCAGCGACAGTCTGCTCGACAAAGCCGGACTCGTTCAAGGTGTCAGTGTGGATCAGTGTCTGAATGTCATACTCGTCGCACACAGTCAAGGATGCATCAATCGCGGCAGGTGTGGTTCCCCAGTCCTCATGCAACTTCAGACCACAGACTCCAGCTTCTGCCTGCTCTCGCAAAGGCTCGACCTCTGCGTCATTGCCTTTACCAGTAATACCGAAGTTCAAGGGGAGCGTGTCGATCGCCTGCAGCATCTGGCGGATGTGTGTCTTTCCTGGCGTACAAGTGGTGGCTTTGGAGCCAGTGCTTGGCCCCGTACCGCCACCAAGCATTGTTGTTATCCCAGATGCGATGGCCTCCTGGGCCTGCTGGGGACAGATGAAGTGGATATGGGTATCGAAACCCCCTGCTGTCACAATGTCGTGCTCGGCTGCAATAACATCGGTGTTGGAGCCGACAACCATGTTAGGGTCAACACCATCCATAACGTCAGGATTGCCTGCTTTGCCGATGCCCACGATGATGCCGTCCTTGATACCGATATCTGCCTTGTATATGCCCGACCAGTCGACGATCAGAGCGTTGGTCACGACGGTGTCGAGGGTGTCGGCATCGGAGCGCCCTGATGCCTGGCCCATGCTTTCTCTGAGCGTCTTGCCGCCGCCGAATGCGCACTCGTCGCCGTAGCGTGTCAGGTCCCTTTCGACCTTGACCCAGAGATCGGTGGCACCCAGTCGCACCACGTCTCCGGTGGTCGGCCCGAACATGCTGATGTAGGCCTGGCGCTCCATGGTGCACATGTCAATGTGGGCTGCATCGCCAGCAGGCTCCGGCACGTGCAGGAAACCACCGGCGGTCAGTCGCTCGACGATGCCCTCGGCGATGCTCTTGTCGTCGATGTGGCCCGAAGCGATCCTGTTTCCACCCTTGATGACCTGGTTCCCTCCAATCTGCACCAGCGTGACCGTCTTGGTGTCGCCAGGCTCGAAACGCACCGATGTGCCGGCGGGGATGTCGAGACGGTAGCCGTGGGCGCGGACGCGGTCGAAGGACAGCTGCGGGTTCGTCTCGATGAAGTGGTAGTGCGAGCCGACTTGAATGGGGCGGTCTCCCATGCTCTTGACCCGGAGGCTGATCCTCTTGCGTCCCTCGTTCAGCCGGACAATGCCGGCTTCACCCTTGACGGCCACAACAGCGCCAGGCTGCTTCGCGTGCTCATAGACGCTCGTGTCGGGGAGCGGAAACATGTCGTTGGAGGGGACGGGCAGGAACGAGCCATACAGGGCCTTCTCGAGATCGCCATCGTCGCTCGAAACGGGGTGGTGGACGGTGACGAGGTAGGTACCGGTGGGGAAGGTGCCCTCGACCATCAGCTCGTGGAGGCCGGCGACGACGGCGGGCTGGACATGGCGGCGGCCCAGCATCGTCTTGCCCATGGCCATGAGGTCGGCGACGGAGTGGTTGCCATCGCGGATAAGCTGTGCGCCTTCAGCGAGCTGTCACGGACGCGCGTGCCGGCGGGGGCGCTACCTCTTGGAGGTTGTTGGCGATGAGGGCCTGCGGGCGATTAGCCGGCTGGAGGCGGTGCAGTCACGACCTGAACGCACCGTCGCCTCGCTCTGGTTCAGTTTCACGCCTCGTGCCAGGCGGCGCTGGGCGAGCAGGCCCAGCTGGGAGATGACGAGCTTGTCGAGCTGTGGTGCGTCAGCGGGAGGGTCCTGTCAGCTGCACCGCGCCCCAGTGGCAGCAAGGCACGCACCTCCTTGGGACACAGCTGCATCGTGGGTCTGTATCACAGCAACGGCAACAGCAACAGCAATAGGTGTACTGCTACAAAGTACTACCGACGAGTGTCCGTACGACGTTCAGACAAGACGCACGCGGGGCATACTGCAACGGCCAGACCATACCAAAGGCAGCCAGAGGCCCTCCTGCCGATAAGGTCCATGGCTGATAACGCGTGCTGACTACTACGCCTACGTCATCTTCGCTGCGTGCCTGCACAAAATCGTGGGAAGCCCTGACTGCAATCGAGCTATATGTTCTCGTGCATCTTGACAGGGAGTGGAGCTGCATGTGGAGCTCCAGCTTTCTGCAGAGCCTGGTCTCGACCCTCTCCAACACCGAAGCAACACCAACACTCCACGTGCCGCTCAATGCTCGCCTGCTTCCACGCTTAGTCTCGGTAGCGTCCGGCTTGAGCCCCAGGGTGCTACCGTTCCACTCCACGACTCCAAAGCGAGCGTAGCACGGCAAACTCAAAGCAAAACTTTCGTTCCAAGACTCCCAGGGTATGGGAAACCAGGGCCTTGGTGCGAGCGAGTCATTAGCTCCCGATGTCGTGCTCGCCCCGCAGCTTTTCGATATGCCTCGCCTCAACCATCTTCGAAAATCTTTTCATCAAGGCAATGTGCCAAGTAGATAATAAATACAATGTAGGTCCTGCAATGTGGGTGCTCAGTCACCATCAGTCACTTCGAGTCTTTCAGCGCGAATAAGCCTTCGAGGATCATTCGCCATGTCCTCCGTCACGTCAGATGCTGCGTCCATCCGCAACAAGAAGTCGTTCTTCCGCTCAGTTCCCTTCCAGATCATCGTAGCATGCGGTGTCTCCTTTACGGCTCCCGGCATGTGGGATGCTCTCGGTGGACTGGGAGCCGGTGGTGCTGCTGAGCCGTACGCCGTTTCTGCGGCCAACGCTCTGGTGTACGGTCTCTTTTCTGTTGTGTGTGTACTCGCCGGCGCCATCAACAATCGCATTGGCCTGAACTATGGACTCGCCCTTGGTGCCATTGGCTATCCTCTGTACGGCGCTGGCCTTTACGTCAACAGCACTCGTGCGAATACGTGGTTCTTGCTCTTCGGCAGTGCCCTCTGCGGCATCAGCGCAGGCTTCTTCTGGGCCGCCGAAGCAGCCATCATCATCGGCTATCCGTCTCCCGGCGACCGCGCCTTCTACCTCGCCATATGGCAGTCCGCCAAAGCAGCTGGTCCCATTGTCGGCGGCGCCATCAACCTCGGTCTGAACGCGAACCGCAAGACCACGGGCTCGGTCTCGTCCTCGACCTACATCGTCTTCATCGTCATCATGTGTCTCGGCCTCCCGATCGCACTGTGTCTCTCACCCGCGCACAAGATTTGGCGCAAAGACGGAACGCTGATCGTGACCGAGCGCGCCGCGAGCTGGGGCCAGGAATTCCGCGCCGTAGGCAGACTCTTCATCAGCCGACGCATCCTGCTCCTCCTTCCTGCTTTCTTCATCAGCTACTTCTACAACGGCTTCATGTCGACCTGGCTGACGACCTACTTCACCGTGCGCAGCCGCGCGTTCAGCTCCTTCTTCACCAACTTTGCGGGCATCTTTAGTTCCTTCATCATTGCCGCACTGCTCGATAACCAGAAGGTCCACATCAAAAAGCGCGCCAAGATTGCATTCATCGCCATTCTCACTATCCTCACTGGTACGTGGATCTGGGCCAGCATTCTGCAGAACCAGTTCTACAACGCCTCCACCAAGCCCGTCTTCGACTGGTTCCAGGGCGGCTTCGGGAAGTCGTACGCCCTTGTCTTCTTCTGGCAGTTCGGCGGCCAGGCGTTCCAGCAGTTTCTGTACTGGCTCATCGGCCAGTATGCCACCGATCTGTCCAACCTGTCGCACCACACTGGTATTCTGCGTGGTGTGGAGGCGCTTGGCCAGACTGTGGCGTGGGCTATGCAGTCAGAGGGCAACGCGAACCATTTCGTGTCGATCGGTATCAACTTCGGCTTCACGGTGCTGTGCATCCTGCCTACATGGATTGTGCTGTGTGAGCTCGAGGGCAGCCATGAGACGGTTGTCATGGAGGAGCAGGTAGATAACAAGCTGGCCCCCGATGCTTGAGCGTGGTGTAGATGGAAGCAGATTTCCGAGTGTGGAGTGCGTGATACCCAATAGACTTTTACTACCTTCAATGCTTGAATCCGATCGTTGCGTCCGATTGTAAAAGACCGTTCGCGTACCTCGCTATCGCTGTTGCCAGCTCTCAGACTCCATTCTCGACTTCCGGCTCCTGTGTCATGCATAGAAGAATCACCCGGAGTGAACATCCAGGACGTAAGCATGGGACGTCCATTGTCAACTAACACGTACCAGTAGCGTGCAGTTGCTCCACCACTGTGGTGGAATTTTGGAAGTTTGATTGGCCCAGCTTTGGATATCTGGACTCGTCATCTAATGAATGACCTGGTCGGGACGCGTTATTGAAATTGTGCTTGTGACCTAATGTGATGGTGGTGGGGGTCCATGACATGCACACCCGAAATCGGCGGGGCGGCACTCGTGGTGGGCGCGGGTCTTTCCATCCCGTCTGGACCCTGGGAGACATCGTCGTTTGTTCGTTCGCCCCAAATCGAGTCTACGATGTCCGCACCACCGCGCGTTCTGAGTCCCGTGCATACTACACTCGACAAGGCTTCTGTGCATGATGTCTTGTTCTCCAAAGCTTGGCCAGACTGCTCCAAGGAAGGAACGTGGCATCCCGTCAACCCTACCGTGTCGACGGAAACTCACATGCACGCGAGCCAGCTCCGTCGCCCCGCAGGCCTCTTCCTTCAAATGGAAACCAGCTCGTCCATTATCCTTGTATCTTGGGTTCTGTCACTCTTCTCCGCGAACCACGGCCTGTGAACAGGCCGCGGTTGGCCCGCAAAGCTCGCATGCTCTGGGCTCGGCTCACGAATGCCTTGCAGGAACGCAGACGATCTCCTGGAAGACCCGACGCTTGCTCACCACGGACTCGAAAGATTATGAGGCCAAGGAATGACCGACCGAGTTTTCACTGTCCCTGGTATAGCCAAGGCCTTCCTGGTGCCCTCGCGTGACGAGCCAAGGCTTGGGGCAGCCTGCCGCAGTCTTGGCCCGCCCAGCGCGGTGGCCTTGTCCGGGACCATGGCGCTGTGCCCCACACTGGCCTGCGGCATGATTGGAGATTCCGACGGAGATGGATCTTTCAAGTCTCTAGGCGCTCCATCTTATCAGATCAGGTTTTCTGGGCGCTCCATCTTATCAGATCATCGAGCAATGAGAGGCTGCCGGGCCACACTATCGATGGGAGATCCAGAAGCCTCGTGGTGGGGAGAGAGACGCAATTTTTCCCACACTTACCTTCCTTGTCCGGTTGTCGGCGCGTTGGCAGAGTCGAATCTCCCATCGCATGGCGCTTCCGCTGCGTGGGTACCGGGTATATAACACCAGCTAACGCAGCCCCTCTCGCTTCTCGTCCGTTGTCCTCAGGATCCATCGCTTCTGCACAAGTTACCTCATTGGGCCTCGCCTCCCGTCTTCACCATGAGTCTTACAGCTGGTGGTCCGCAGCCCACGGCTAGCATCGAGAGAACGCCTCCAGCGTTGGATGCTGAGAAGAGTGTCGGTTACAATGCCGGGTCTATCAGCCCCGACCCCAGCACCAACGAAGTGGACATTGATGGAGAGAAAGTCCAAGAGTTCCAGAGGGGCGTGGAGCGCATTCGCATCATTACAACCATCTGGGACAAGCCTACGCTGATCAGCATGTTTATTCTGTAAGCCTTGTCCTTGCGGAGCATGCGACGTCTACTTACTCCAATAGCTTGTATCTCATCAGTTTCGTGGATATGCTGCAGAACTACATCGACTCCGGTCTCAACCCATATGTCACATCTGAATTCGCATCGCACGGCTTGCTCACCATAGGATCCGTCATCTCCACAGCACTTGGTGGCTGCACCCCACTCACCATGGCCAAAGTCATCGACATCTGGGGCCGTGTCGAGGGATTCTGCTTCATGCTCCTGGTCTGCGTCTGTGGCATGATTGTCAAGGCTGTGTGCACCAACGTGCAGTCTTACATTGGCGGCCACGTCCTCTACTGGGTTGGGCACATTGGACTTCTTTACGTTGTCGATGTCATGTGCGCCGATATCACGTCGCTCAAGAACCGCATGATCATCTACGGCATCAACGAAACACCCAGGATCGCTGCCACCTTTGCCGGTCCCGAGCTCGTCAACAAATTCCTGCTGGGCCCGGGTTGGCGGTGGGCTTTTGGAGCCTTCACCATCATTCTCGTTGCTTGCAGCATTCCTGCAATGGCTCTCATGCTCTTCATGTACCGCAAAGCTCGCAAGGCTGGCTATGTGCAGAAGCAGAGATCTGGCAGGAGCACGATGCAGTCGATTGCCTACTACGCCATCGAGTTTGACAGTGAGTAGACGTCTTTTGCATCGATTGTGTCTGTACTGATAGTGACCAGTTTTCGGTATTATTTTGATCATGGCTGCGTTCTGCCTGTTCGTGTTGCCGTTCACGCTCGTCGCCTACGCCCCGCAGGGATGGAAGACGCCATACATCATCGCTATGATTGTCCTCGGGATTCTGCTCTTCCCCACCTTTGCTGCTTATGAAAAGTACCTGGCGCCGGTCCCGTTCCTTCCGTGGAAGTACCTGCGGGAGCCGACGATTCTCGGCTCATGCATCCTGTACGGTGTCATGTTCCTCTCGGTGTTCTGCTGGAACGGAATGTACAACTCGTACCTACAGGTGGTGCACAGGCTGAGCGTCCAGCACGCCGGCTACATCCTGAACTCGTTCTCGCTCACCTCGTCCGTCTTTGCCCCACTCATCGGAGGGCTCATCAGCTACACTGGAAACTTCAAGTGGGTTGCCATGACGGGCGTTCCGATCCTGCTCCTCGGAACGGCGCTGTTGATTCCGTTCCGACAGCCCGACTCTCCCGTCGGCGTCCTGGCTCTCACGCAGGTGCTTGTGGGACTCGGGACCGGCATCTTCGCACAGTGCGGCCAGCTCGCCATCATGGCACCCGTCACGCACCAGCAGATTGCCAGCGTCAGCGCGCTGTGGGGCCTGTTTGGCGGGTTCGGAGCGTCGATTGGCTACTCGATCGCAGGCGCCATCTGGAACAACGTCACCCCCGGCAAGCTGCACGAGCTCCTCCCCGAGGAGAGCAAGAACCAGTCCCGTCTCATATTCGGCGACATTGTCACGCAAATGTCTTTTCTGGACGGCACGCCCGAGCGCGCGGCGGTTGTGGGTGCGTACGCGCACTCGCAGCGCTTGATGGTGGTTGCGGGCGCGTGCTTTGTTCCGCTCTGCATTGCGTCTATTTTCATCTGGAAGAACATCAACGTCAAGAAGCTGGAGGAAGAGCGGGGCAAGCAGACCAAGGGCTTGGTGTTTTAGGCGTCGCGTGTTTGGAACGCAGTTGCCGCAGTTGCGCAGGACGGAGATGAGAAGTGTATACGCGTAACCATATTATTTTTAATGCTGGAATGAATTCAAGTTGCAGGTCAGCACAGGACACAAGTTGCAGGCCAGAACAGGATTCAAGTTGCAGGCCAGAACAGGATTCAAGTTGCAGGCCAGAACA